AATGCTGTATTATTATTATTATTATTATTGTTGTTGTTGTTGTTGTTGTTATTACCCATTTTAACTATCTTCAACATTTTAACAAAGTTTCATGTTACGAATGGAAAGTATTTTATGATTGATACGACTGCATTACGACTGGTTTGAGTCAGTATATATCGGGAAATTCGCCCATTCTTTTTACGCGTCTAGCACACCGGGTCATCTCGTCGAAAGCCCCGTGCTTTCGTGGGCCGCGCGCGATCATCGCCAAAAGCAGCATCGGCGTTGCTGCGGGGACAGTGGACGCGAATTTCCATAAAGTGGAAGCCATCGTCGGCGCGCCAGAAGCCAGCACGAGCCGTACAGAAGGGCTCGCGTTCGTTGCCGGGCGAGCGAAACGCGGCGGCGGCGGCGACGGCTGCGGGGGTGCGCTAATTTTAGAAGTGCGTCCGGCGAATCGGCAGCTGCGCCGGAGAAGAAAGGATCCAGGCGAACGAGCGACCGCGCGCGCGGCACCGAGTTTAATGGATTTTTGATGGATCGAATCCAGAGAGAGAGAGAGAGAGAGAGAGAGAGAGAGAGAGAGAGAGAGAGAGAGGGATGAAAGAGCGAGTAGCCGCGCTCGCTGTACATCTTTGCGGATGATGACGACGCCGTTTTAGCCGCGTGAACAATCGGGTGCGCGCGAGCGTTATCGGCCACGGCGGATCAATTGGAGAAACTGACCAACAATCATTCGATTGTTTGCTGACCTACTCTGATGCACTCCGGTGAAAAAAAAGCGTAAACATAGCAGACTGTCGCCACAAGTGGTGCGGAGAGCCAAAAAAAAAGAGACTCGCGTCGTCATGTGGTTGCTGCGAGAGCAGAAGAAAAACGAGGAAACGTGTGCAGCGTCGTTCCTTTCTTCTTTCTTTTTGCGTAAGTTCGATCCGTCATTGCGTCAGGCCGACGAAATTGGCGCAACAAAATTAAAAATTTCCGTAACGACGCGTTGGGAATAATCCCGTGAGCGAAAAACAAGCTAGAAATATTTTATTATAAATATCGAACAGCGACTATGCTATTCGATCGCTATTCATAAAACTAGCATTCTAAAAACCACCCCACACAATGTTCGCATCGTAGAGAGAGAGAGAGAGAGAGAGAGAGAGAGAGAGAGAGAGAGAGAGAGAGAGAGAGAGAGAGCAAGAGAAATCCTTTAGCCTCCCGCTTAGCCACGCAACCGTGATACCCACGCGTCTTGTAGTCATTGCGGAGGTCAGTGCGTCGAGCACATCTGTTTCTTTCGGGAGTTCTCCTACGCGTAGAAGGCCGCCCGCGATAAAACCGAACCCGATTTCTTTATGCTCGTCGAGTCGCGATATTCGTCGCAGCGCAAGCGAGAGTCTCGTGGCTCACTTATTTGCACTCGTTGTCGTCCCTTCGGCATCCGCGCGTGCAGCTTCGAAGCGCGATTCGCCAAAGCACTTTGGCCTGTTCGTAACGCTGCTCATTCCAAGCCCATCGACAAGACAAGACGATCCTAAAATCAATCGCTAGACTCGGTGCGCAATGCATATCTGTGTCCACGATGGGCGCTAATCGGCCGCGGTCGCAACGACGACGGCGACGACGACGGCGACGACGCAGGCGGGGTCGCGCGCCGCGCGCAACCGTGCAATAATTAAAACTCGGGCACGCGCGCTCTCGCACTTTCCTTTGTCGTGCGATGATTTACGAGAAGTGCGTGCGCGCCGCCGCGTAACGCAGGCCGCTTGAAATATACGCGCCGAGCGAAACATCGCGAGCGCACGCGCGCGCCAGATGCCCGCGCGAGACACGCGCCGCGGTGCTTTTTTTAGTCCCGCGCCGCTCGCCGGAAACGCTATTTCGCAGTTTCATTGCCCTCGTGCCCCCCCCCCCCACACACACACACCTCCCACTCACCCGGTCTCTTCCCCGCGTCTTGAACACGGGATGTGTGTGCGGCAGCGAAACTTAATTTGCGCGCGAAGGTACGCGCGCTTTCCTTATACGACGCGCCAACCACCACCTTTTCTTTTTTTTCCGATCGCAAGCTCCTCGGCTGGCCCTCGATTGTTGCGGCGATGTGCCCGATGGACCATTCGACGTGCAATTTGGCGCTCGTACACACCAACCGGTTGTTGGAGCTTGCGGCTATTTTCCTTGATTTTCAGATTTTTCGCTGGAAGATTGTGCAGAGAATAAAAGATAAATAAAAATCGCGCATTGAACGTTGTGAGGCGCGATCCAGCAAAATGAAGACACGCGCGAAAATCTTCAAAGCCGACGTCGACTGTTTGAAAAGAAATTCACCGCAGCCAGCGCGCACTGCTCAAATTGTTTACACGTTGAAATCGTGGGGCAGAGGGGAAAGGGAGCATAATCTCGAGCGCGCGAGAAGCAAGTGGCTGCCCAACGTTGCCTCGCGTACAAACAATCATCCTCGAAAAATCATCTCGCGAGAGAAAACAAACATCGGGCACGAGAAAAACGGATGTGAAAAGTGAGTGAAAACACTGCCGGATGTGATGTGTTTCTTAAACGAGCGATTGTTTTTCCGGATAAATAAATTTATATGGCAAGGATGGGAATAAGAAGGGTAAAGGATTTCTTTTACTTTTTTTTTTCTTCAAGGATTCGACGTGGGTGATACGCGAACGAGTGTCTGGTTCACGTCTGTTTGCTTGTTTATAAAGTATATACTGTGACGACAAGTCGATTAATGGGTGCATCTGCTGCTTTTCTGGACTTTGTCGAATTACTTGCGAGCTAGTTTTCCATTGCATAATACGCTTTATCCTTTTTTTAACACATAAAAAATAATGTTACCGAGATATTTATAATTGCTGTTATATTTTCAATTATACTATTGACGATCTTTTACGTAAAAAAATAAACAGCCGCGCTTTATCAATTATTGGTTGTAATCGATCATATTTGGAACGTACGAAAATGTAGGCTATTCGAGGTATAAATGCTATGCGGAATTCAATCTTACTAGACGATAATTGTACGCACCTATCTTCGGCAACGACAACATTTCCTTTCCTGCAGAAAATATCGTTTAAAATCGATTTCAAAAACACGAATAACGTGCAGACAGAAGAGTGTAATGGGCTTTCGAAAATTCAACAAAGGCTCCAAACAAATCAGTCCGAGTCAGTGTGGCCCGATTACAATATTTTCCCAGCAACAACGCGAACGCGTTAATCAATTTTTTGTCCTCGCCCAAGAACAAGAAGCAAACGAGAGATGGGATCTTCTCACGCGCGCGGCGCTGCTGCACTTGTGCCTCCCATTCGACTCGGGTTTCCGACGAAGCGTCGCCGCGACAACCTGTTGAGCGCGGCGCGCACACGTGTTGCTGGAAAATCTCCTCGAGGGGGAGAAAAACCACGCCTGTGAGAGGAGAACTTCTTTTCTCTCTCTCTCTCTTTCACGCTGCAGGATGTTTGATCAGAGCTGCGTTAATTACCGGAAAAGTGTTTCGATGGGAATTACGCGGCTTGAGATAATTTTTGCCTCCCTGGGGTGACGGTATGTCGAAAGAGATTAGGGTGTCCACGTTGCGCGTGCACGTTTCGTTGATGCGCGAACGATTTATGATTGTGCGTTTCGCGTGACACGCACAAAAAAGTTTGTTTTGCGACAAAACAACCAACAACAGATGAATTTGTTTTTTATGAAAATCCCTGCGTTCAAACGTACACGGCTCTTTTCTCGTTGCTGATAATAATACACTGTTGTCGTCCAAGAGTGTGCCTATCAGTTGCGGACCGGCTTCGGAGGGAATCCACGAAAGGAGTAAAGCTCCCTCTGAAATCCGTGAGTTTTCAAGGAACCAAGGAAGTCAATTCGTTGGCCTCATCCGGTGAAGACGAAAGGAGGGAAAAAAGGAAAAAAAAGGTGAGCTGCATTTTTATTCTCAGTGAAATATGAGAAAGTTCCACTGGTTCCTCGCGCGATCGAACATGTGGTTATTACGGCGTAGCGTAAGGAATACGACGGGCAACGCCTGTCCTCTCTCGGCTGCGTGTACCAACGACGCCACGCTGAATCACCACTGAGCAACATGTGTGCTTTTCAGATGGTGCAGTACACGTCTTTCAGGAACTTCAATTTGAGCGTAGCGAACTCGCGTGTTTGTATAATTTATAATTGGTATTAGTTAAGCGTGAATATATACATGACTTGGAGTGGAAAATTCCATGTGAGAATGAAAACAGAGAAAGAGGAAACCTTGAACTTGGGCGTGCATCTCCAAGGAGGGCATGTAGCCCTATTGCCAACCCACGTGTGCGTCTCTCTTGATATTATAATAGAAAATGCGTAAGAGCTAGCTCTAAAAATCCATATGCGCAGAGGACCAACGCATTGTAACGCCATCCCGGCTCGGTGAAATCTTATATGCGCACTAAAATCAAAAAAAGGACGAAATACATGGCGTACACGTCAGCTGCAGCTCCGAGCCAATTCTCTGTGTATACGCGCAACATGCTCATTAATAGAGAGGCCCATTTTTGTCTCATTCGTTTTCTCGTCTTGCTCCGAATACAATCACCTGCCCGCATTGTTTGCGCGGAGTGCGCGGGGGCGCGTGCCGATCGTATAACTCACGTATATATATATAAATATATATACGTACACTACTCGCAGTCCCTCAACTTTTTAACGACATTTCGCGGGCATCTGCATATGCTTGTTTCTGCCACTGCAGACCTCCCTCTCTCTTTGTGTCAGTTTCTTTTTCTCTTTCTCCGGCTTTGTTTCGGAAACTGAGACAGACACACTTTTGATTCGTCAGCTGGAGCCAAATTGTAGATTTCAAAGGCGTAATGGTAGCGACCATTGCAAGTGGAAATTATTTTAAACTTTTGATAAGTGTTCTTTGTGTCAAGTCTACTTATGCAGCCATTACAACTCTATCGTACCAATTAAAATAACATTTGTATATAGGAGCGCTTATTCCTTTATGCAATGCTGCACAGTCAATAAAACAATTTCATAGAACATTTAATTAAAATTTTATATCTTTTAATTGTCTAACAAATCACAATGAAATTAAAAAATTTACATTTGTATAAAAAAACATGTGCAAGTATCATATTTCTTAAAATAGAAAAATATTCAAGTCTTTTAACACCATTCAGCTTATATCACATCTTGAACAACAACTCCAGATCTCTATTAAGTTTTGTCGAAAGAAAATATTCAAGCTAAAGGTTCTTTAAATATTGCTCCAATCACTGAACCTTGCTGGTGAATGAGACATTGCCTATGGAAAAAAATGTTTTGTTATCAATATGCAAAACATGAAACATGATTGTTTATTTATATATATTAATAAGTTGTTGTTCCTTATATCTGGCATTAGTGTAATTTAATAGAAATAATTTTCTGTTAACTTAATATGTACAAATAATTCTAACAAAATATCACCTAGCTTCATTCTGAAGAGATATTATTGGAGTTTCTGAACCAGGCTCAATTTTTGTAACTAATTCAGCCATCGCAGCAATAACTCCTGCACTATCACTTGATACCTTGCCTTTAACTGAAAAGAATTTTTGATAATCAATAAAAAATGTCGAATCCAAATACGAAAGAATTATTCAAAAAAATTTGTTAATTACTCAAAATTAGAATAAACATTACCTCCTAAACAAAGTCCAGACTTATCTGTTAAAATGCATCCAATCACACCTTCTTTGTTAGTACTGAAATGGTTTAATATTTTTCAATTCTCTAAAAATTTACTAGAACAACAAAGAAGCCTAACCTATGACGTGATACTTACACATCTTCCATCTTTTTTTCGAAACTCTGTTCCATTTTCGTAGCTTAATAGATGATAATAAGGAAATCGATATTACAAAGGACCTTCACTACTGTTTAATTAAGTTATGATATTAGATCTGTGCAGAATTTTTATAGAATGCTATATGACTCAAATTCAGACCTAAATGAAACACAATCAGTTGATTTTGTTGGTAAATGTCACACTGTCGATAATCTTTTAAAACTCTGTAGATAATTGAAAAACGTCTGACATATTTATATATATTATAAATATGCAAGATATTAATAGATAACTTTGAAAAAGTTGAAAGAAAATTGATTATTTATATAAATAATCAGTTATAATAATCAAGTGGTTATTTATGTAAATAGAAACTCAACGGTAGTTAACTTTTTAAAATAAAAAAAAAATTAAAACAGTGGCAGATGTCATATGCACATTGAAATATATTTTATTTTAAAAATTTTTATGCTTTACAGATTAGTAATAGGTCAACAAACATATATACTACACTTGCTTAGTTCCTATTAATGACTACTTAAATTAAATGCATGTGTACAATAAATAATTAAATTAAATTTGTAGCAATAACACTTTGCTTTGATGTTAGTTAAATTTATAAAATTATTATTAAAAAAAGTCATTATATAATAGATCAATTATCATTTAAATTAATTTACATATTGTAGAAATGTATGGAAACACCATGTTTAGTTTTAGAAAGTTATTACATAAAAATAAAGTAGAAATTAAATTCCAAGTATTTGCATTTCACTTTCAGGTGATATGTCATCATTATTAGTTTCAAATCCAAGATATTCAAAATCATCAGAATCACTTGACTTTAATGCTACTGGAAATATTTGATCAATAGTTTCCCTATCTGGCGACATAACAAAATTTAGATCATGTTCTGGCACTTCAAATTTAATTTCATCTATTAATTCATTGCACTTCAATATATTATCTAAATTAATTTCTTCATTTGAAAGATTTTGTTGATTTTTAACAGAGTAATTTTGGTCTTCTATAACTTTTGTCACAATGGGTTTGTGCTTAATAACAAATGGTTTGTGTTGTAAAAAATAAGGATGCGATTTTAATATCACTTTTTTTTTTCCTTTAATAAATGTTTTGGTGATATTATCAGTATTAGAAACTGAATTATTGAATTGAACTTTTTTCAATACTTTTATCACAGGATGAATCTCTTTTTCTGGTGATTGAATGTTAAACTCTGAGTACTTGGTATTTACATTTGAATAACTATTTTTCAAGTTTTTTTGTGCATTGGTTAACTGAGTTCTGGATTTTTTATGATTAGTCTGTTCTATTTTTTGTAAAGTCTTCACATCACTACTTAACTCACTTGATAATATAGAACTTTTAGATTTTTTTCTTGCATTTTGTAATTGATTGCTAAATTTTTTACAATTAATTTGTTCCATTTTTTGCAAAGTTTTTACAGAATTACTTAAATTACTTAATCGTGTAGAACATTTAGAACTTTGTCGTTTGCTTATTAACTGATTATTGGATTTTTTATGATTAATCTGTTCAATTTTTTGCAAAATTTTTACAGGACTACTCAAATCACTTGGCAATATTGATTTTTTTCTATTCGTTTGTTTCATATATAAATTAGATTTTTTGGTAACAGAGTCATCTTTATTTTGAGGAACTAATAAAAAAGTTCTCTGCGGTTCTTGATTGGATATTCCATAATTTAAAATTTGGTTAAACTGAACTGTATTGGCAGTTTTTATAATATCATCTATAGAGCTAACTTTATCAGGTTCGTCAGAAATTGGCTTCAATTTAAATTTTATGATATTTCTAGTTTCAGTTAAAGTTAAATAATCTTTCAATTCTATCACCAAACGATCATTACTTTTATTTGTATTTGTTACTGTTGAGTGGTTTTGCATTGCAAGCCTTTTGTTTTTGTTGACAAGAGCTTTCTCCATTTTTATATCTAAAGCTGAAGAGATAATTGAGTCTGTATTTGGTTGAGTAATAGATGTTTTTTCACGTTTCACAATGTTAATTGGCTTTGGGTCATAAAACTTAATTTTCTTGACTTTCTGTTCACGAATTTTTAAATAATGTTCAACACCTTCACCATCATTCATTGATGCCCTATCAGTAAATCTTTTCAACTCAGAAGATGGAAGTGAAAAAATAGGTTTATTGCGACGACGTTTTTTATGTCTTTCCATCTCTTCCATTATCTAGCTTTATAAGAAATACAAACAGCAACGAATTGATGAATTCACATAACTTTTGTGACAACCATCGATTTGATAGATTTTTTCTAAATACTTGCTTAAGTAATATTCGATTTCTACCAAAAGTGATATAAGTGAAAATTATGAATGTTCATCAGCAGTTGGCAATCAATTATGCTGTTTATGTTTTTTCAGATTCGAGAGGTTATAAAATTCGTTTATAGAATTTATCTATTTAGGTAGTTCGTTTTTCGAGAGTCTAAACATCACATTCGACTAATCGAACTTGATTCTTATCGATTTACCATATCTATATGTATGTACATTATTATGACTATGTATGACAGGCAGATATAATAATTATTTAATAGTTTTATAATAGCATGGTTGCAAAATAAAAATAAAAAATTACTAAATAGCTTGTGCAAGTAAAAACAATCTCACGATTTACGTAACAATCCGCAGTTAGATTAAGATTAATTTGCATATTTCATTATTTAATAACGGTAATAATTTTCCTTATAAAATTTTTATTTTGTCAAAGGATTAAGAAAGTATATCATGATAATTTAAAAAATATATTAAAGTTTGATAATTTAAACTTATAATTTACAAAGCAATTTACAAAACTATGTATATCGTGTAGGAGTGAAATCAATTTTGTTTTTCCAAAATGTTCTTTATAATTTTGAAATGTAAAATATTTATTGTCAAAACTTTCTATTAATACACGCACTTGATTACAGTGACAATGCGGCAATAATGTTTCTCTTATCATTGTAAGCATTAATTAGCCATTTAGGATTGAAAGGAATGCGAGCATCACGAACAAATTGATATCCTTCAAAATTGTAACTCATCTAAACGGAAACGTAAAGCGTTAAATTATTATTTATTTTTTAGTAATTAGTAAAATTATCAATTAGAACTTACTTCGACTGAGTAATCACATTGGGCGCGGATCATTTTAACGAATAGATAAACATTAATAACTATAATTGGGTGTGTATAACCAGCCATCGGTTTGGCCCATTTTACCTGAAAAGCGTGATACTTCAACGTTATGCTGCTGATCTCGTCCATGTGATTTATTTCGTAATGCCAATTTGTCAGTTCCTAAGAGAAAATTCAGTCAATACTTCAGTAAATTTATGAAAAACAGATAAAAAGTCGTTGAACAATATTTTTCGTGCCGGCAGTTTATTCCATTTTTGCATCAAATCGTTTACATGATAGAAGCCATTTTCTTCCTTTTCTCGTTCGAGAAATCGATTATCCCGTGAATATTCTTCGCAGTTTAGAGGGGATCTCTGTTAAAGTATTATGCTATGTTTGTTAACAATAAAATATATCCATATGTGTGTGTATATATAATTATATACGATTTAAATAATTTTTATAACCTTTGTCGATTCCTCAATCACTTCATGAATCAAATTTTGAATAAACTGACATATTACTAAGCTACAGTCACGTTTTTTTTCCGTTTCTTCATTCATATTTGGATAATAATATGCTATAAAAAAAATTTGCGACTTGTGTTTTCTCTTTATAGAAAATTGTTACCGTGGCAATTTGCATAGTCAACAATTTTTTTTGTTAATTCACATATTACATGCAAATAAAATAACAGAACGATAACTATAAATGCATCTATTTCAGATAAGTCAATTTATTATTGTGTGTAAATGTGTAATAACAAAAAAAATATTAAAAACGACGAGGATGTTCATTTACTGTTAATTTTCTATCAAACGAATTTTTTCACATTTATAAATATTGAACATTTTTTCTTTGAATTAAATTTATATATATAATAGAGATTGTTACCAAATAAAACAATTTAGCTTAATATTTTCAGTTTGAAAAAAAAACCTTTACCAAATATTTTTATAGTCACGTGTAAAAAGTTAAATAAACAAGCAGAATTCGCAACGAAGAAACAATTTGATACTTGAAAATGTCATAATCAGTAATAAATATTTTATATGCTTTTTCTACAATTACGAAAATTATATTATATTTTAAAAATAATTATGTAATGATGTTTTATTTAAGTTTTTCTTTCAATCTTGCTCACTTCAACAGACTTAATCGTTTTCTATCTCAGACATGAAATTAAATTCAATTTTAGAGTAATCAGTTCGACGATTTGTACTGTTTCTCAATTCGTTCAAGATCGTAGTTTCGAAAAACTCGAGCGAAACAATCTTTCCATAAATGTTATGACCAGAAAAGTTGTACAAAAACACCTAAAAAGAACCGTAATATATACAAATCTTTTCATTTTTCACAACAAATACAATCACATGACAAAGTATTCACCCAATAGTGAAGTAGTAAAACATTAACAAGAAATAGATAACTAAAATTCTGCCAGTATTGAGCCAGCCCATCAACAAATAAATTAGTCCACATATGAAGGAAGCAACTTCCTTTGTCACAAGTTCTTCATGTAGATACTCGCGTATACATACGACGCCTAACAGCAAAAAAATCTATACAAAGATCAAAATTTATCACATCTACTTTTTCAATGCAAAAAAAAATGAAATAAAATAACTAGGTTTACACACATTGCCAGGATCAAGTAGACTCTTGTCAAATAAAATGAATAAAATAAGGCATGCTCCTTCTTGTCGTCTCGTTGATTCTTTTATAAATAAATTAAATCGAGTGTAAATTAAGCCGGCTAAAAGAAGAATCTGGAAACAATAATTATTTGCAATTAAGCTTTGTGAATGCCACAAAAATTATAAATAAAAATAAAAAATAATAAAAACTTCTAATTATTCATCTTTATACATTTGTCATCAATATATGACGTATACATAACCTCAAACTGAATGCATTACTGAAAGTTTGAAAATTTTTAATCATGAAATAAATTTAGTGGCAACAGTATTTACCTGGGATTTAAAAATCTTGATTTTTTAAATTTATGAAATTAAAATATTCATTCAACTTACATTTGAAAATTGAAAGCCATTGTCGTACAGTAAATACTTCAGTAAAAGTACTGAAAGAAAGAAGCTGAAGATCAATGCTGAAATATTTATAATTTCTTTGTCAATTTTCATCTTGGTAATGCCACAAAGCTTCATCACAATAAATAAATTCCGATTACACTGATACTAAATTTATACTATTTAGCACTGAACTTCGTTCCTAAGATATGATTACTAAGATAGCTCGTCTATATTTTGATCATACGTTAACTCAAGTAGACTTTATTTATCTGTAACATGCGTATCTAATCACCTATCTTATAATAGCAAAATCTTGTACATCATTCAAACTGGGAATGAAATTTATGTCATTTGTTTAACAGTAGAGATTTTTAAAAAGGGAAGCAAATAAAATTTATTTTTATGAAAACTACATATTTTGTATATTTTGATAACAAACATTCTAAGCAAGAATCGTCGACTTCTGTTTGGAAACTGAATTTCGTGTAATAGCCATTATTTATAGTAATACCTTGCTAGTATTTGTTACTAATCGAATTTTGTTATTCTTTTCACTCTAATTTTCTTTACTTATTTTTCCAAAATAAGTATATCAAATATAAAATTTATTAAAATTAATTTTTCGACACTCCGTGTGGAAAGTACGTTTTTCCCGCACGCTCGGCAAAAAACGTGCGTTGAAAATCGCACTTTCCACACGTCGTATCAAAAAATACGGTACGACACATGTTTGGGAAAGAGTTTCGCTCGGGCGTAAACGCCACACGAGACAAGAATCTACTTTCCCGCACTAGTATTGTAATGTACTATTTCGTGACTATTATTCTGCAATATAAAAAATTCATCATAAAACACCAAATAACAAACAATTGTAAAATAAAATAAGTATCTTTTTTTTTTTGAAAAAATGTAAGATTTTTATTAATTGATTTTCTAAGTATTACATGCCAGTTTTATCATTCTGACATGGAATTTTTTAGTATACACGATCTGTACATACACAGCACTCGTTTACACAGCGATTAATAAAATTCTAAATCCTATATAAGGGTATCGAAAAGAGAAAATATCTAATTTAAAAACTATGCTTCAATATCGAATTAACAGTTTGCCTTTGTATGATTCATGTGTTCGTTCGGTACTCTCAAAGCCTTTGTATAGGCCTCCAGACTTGTCACCGCGGCGAGTACTCGAAAGAGACTCTCCTTCAGTCCATCCAATGTTTCAGATAAGTCATCTTCGCTTCGTGTAACTACAAAAATATCTACAACAAGCAATAATGTACATGAAAATCTAGTTAATGAAATTTCTTTTATTTTCTATTCTCAAAGAAAATTTTTTACCTGCTCTGTCTTGACCCAAGTGCTTACAGAACATACTAACGGCTGTAGTAATGTCGTCGTCGTCATGGAAAGGATCACCCACCCATTGGGTTCGATGTACTCTAACAATCTCTAGGGCAGCAGTCCATTTGGCAGCTTTTAGTAGTTCTGCTATTTTTACCAAATCCTCGTTTCCACTGTTCGCGTCAATAGACTGAATAAAAAAAGCATCATTGATAATTAAACCGTTCTATCATTGAACGTACATATCAATGTTTAATAATCAATTACCTCCGGTTGAGGACTAGGACTCGGTGTTGGCGTGCCTCTTTCACTTTCTCCACTATCGATTTCAATCGATCGAGCTAATGACTGTTTCATGCTAGCAATCTCCGCAGACATATCTACTAAGCTAGCCTGTGAATTTTTCGCTGCGCTTATAAGTGCTACAAGCATTTTCTTGGAAGTCTCAACGAGAAGGAGTATTTGGAAGTGCAGTTTATAGAGAGCACGGCCAAGATCTAAAAGCATTTCCTCAAAACCGCTTTCCGTTTGTGAGTGAGATTCACCGAGAGAATTCAATTTGTTGGCCGTTTTTACGGATTGCAAACACTGCAACGATATTACATTTACAAGAAACCTCGGAAAAATGTCCAATTTCGAAAATCATATTGATTACCTCAGAAGCATGATCTTTTCGATCCAAGATGGTCTCTAGGTGCTCTTGTATTTCCAACAAACCGAATTTCAGAGTTTCGTGAAGCTTTTGACTAGCGAAAACTGATGATGCGAACCACACGATCGGTGGCTCGCCTTTTGAGCCCAGCAGTTCCGCGTGACTAGATAAGTGAGACGCTAGCTGCGATGATGCGACGCAAACATTATTTAATAAGGCGCACGCTTCACGAGTAATCCCAACTGATTTATCACACACATCCTACGAGAATATTGTTATTATTATTATTATTATTATTATTATTGTGACTTCAGGAACTACATCCACGTGGAATGCTGTAGAGGTACACTAGGTACCTGTACGCATTAGTTTTGGTTCCCTATAGTCATGAATATATAAACCCATCTTCTCCACCATTTTTTGAAAATGTTTAAGAGGAAAAAGTTTTACACGTATCAAGACTGAGCCTATAGTTTAAGGTGGGATCCGAACCACCGGAATCGCGGTAAAACAAACGTATGAAAATTTCATTTCTAAAAATCTTCACATTCCTGGGGCTCAAACTCACAAGACACCGTGACCCCATATTGTCAATCAGCTTACCCATCAACAATTAAATTGAAATATCTGGAGACACTTACTCTCAAAATTTTACTCAGAAGCTGAAAAACTTCGAGAGGATTGCATGGATTTTGAGCGATTAGATTCTGTATTTGCTGTCGCCAGATCTCTTCGGCGTCGTCGCGCACAATTTGTCTGAATGGCATTAAAGCTGAAAGGTTTGGTGATGCGTTGCACGGTGTAACATCACCCAGATCGCCAGCACTCGAACCACTGTCAAAGCGAATAATTAAATTTTTCTTAAGCAAAGGAACAAATGACACTTTTATAAATACTCACGATGTATCAGACCTTGTTGAAGAATCATGCCTTGATCGACTTGGAATCAATGATAAGGAAGACGGAGGATAAATTCCAGGTATACTAGTTGCCTCTTGGCCTGTACTGGAACCGCCAGGCACTTCATCCAGTGGTGATTCAGAGCCAATTTCATCATCGGACGATTCTTCAGCCACTCCTCTCTGCAAATAGCAAGTGAATCGAATACTTATCATAGAATTTTATTGTACTAGAATTTAATTATTTATGATTTTTCTTACCCTAATAGTTTGTTTACTTGACGAAACAGTTTTTTCACTAAGACTTTCTTCAAACGTACGTAAACTAGGCTCTTGCTCTTCTCCTTCACTGATTGGACGTCGTCTGACTCCCCAATTGAAATTATCTGTACTCTCACCCTAAAATTATAATCGAACATTGAACGATAAAATGTCAATTGTATATTTGTAAGGTAGTAAGAATAAATTACCTCAACACTTTCACTCTCATATTCCAAAAAGTCGAAGTCTTTAAACACACCAAACTGCTCGTCGTCTCGTCGTGATCCACCGCTCAAATCGTTGTTTGCACCAGATACTTCTTCTGTTGACGAAGCCATTGACGATTGTCTTTCCATTAAATCAGAACTTTGACTAAATATCACCTATGAAATGAAATAAATTAAATTTTATAAACCATATAAAGAACATAATTATTTTCATTAATCTAACACACAACGCAATCAAATTAATCACTTTTTAATCCTGATTATTATCGATTATCAAAGTAGTACAATTTTATAAATGAATGAATTTTGTGATTGTGATCAGCTTATTTAGTGATATTACATCTTAAATAACAAAAAATATGCTGCTGTTGTATTGGTGTGCAAAATCGATGAAATTGATTAAGCTATGATCAAAGGAAGCGTGAGAAAACACTTGATTCCACAATTGGTGCGAAATAATTATATTTCATCATATGAGTATGTAACACGTTTCTTTAAAGATTCGATTTACCTTACTGTATAATGTCAGTGTACTAACGTGATCATCCTAAAAATGGGTAGATAACGAGAGTGAATGTTGCACTTGTTTTTTACACATGAATGATATGTAATTGGACGTATGAAGTATACCTGATAATTGTTATAATTATAATAATTAAAAATATGTAATGAATAACTTACAGATGGACTCTTCGGTAATCCTACACGTTGACCACATGTCGTTAATAAATTGACCAAACATTCTCTAACGCGGCCCTAAAATAATTCAATTGGTCATTAAAATAGTATTAAAAGCTACTCATACTCACAACAAAGACTTTTTAAATAATAACCTGAGACATCCACGGTCTCTTCCATCCAGAATGGGGTCCATTATCCGCTGGCGACAAAGACATAGATCTCCTCGGCGAATTAGTAATTTTTTCATCGTTAAGTTGACGTAACAAATATTGTTTTCCAATTATCGGCGTCTGCGATACATCATACGTAAAATCCATTGTTCTACCTGCAGTCAAAAAATCATTTTGCAATTTATGTTTCATATTTAATCACATGCGTGCACATTATACGATACCTACATTTTACAACACAAAAATTCGTAAATAAAAAGTTTTCAAAAGAAAAAATAAACAATAGATGAAGCGAAATAAAAGAGGGAATAGTAAAATCAAGATAAAATTAAGAAAATAACAATCCTTTATTGAAGGTACAAGAGACTAAAGTCTAGCATTGTTATTTTTATCGCAACCTTAATTCGTGAGATCCATTCGAAATTAATGCCAGCCCATGCAACGTAAAATATAATAATTCGTTAATATCAATTGACCAACACATGCACGCAAATTTTAATAACTATCATGCTCTCTATATAAGAGTGCTTGTATCATTTCATTAGTGCTAAGTAGTTAGAGAGCATGATGCAAATACGATAGAAACATACTGGCACTTACCGGGTAACTCTTTTTTCGTGAATATTTCATTGTCATTAAAACTTGGGTGAGGTGAGGATATTGATGATTCCCAGGTGGGTGCATGTACGGTAGTTGGTGGAGCAACTAAAGTTGATGATCGAGTAACTACGAGTTTTAGAATCTTTAGAGCCTCCTTCCACTGTGGTCCCTGGCATCGCATAAAAAAATATTATTTAGAAAAACTTATCCTATTTTTTATTATTGCAATTCATAGTACTTACCTCGACGTATTTTGATATAACTCTGAGCAATTCGATGTTGGTAGGCTGAGCAGCTTGCGATGAAATGTCGATGTAGTGCAGCATACAATGAATGATACTTAACACTGGTAAAGCAACGTTTGCTGGTCCTTTTTCAAGTACTTCGATGAGAAAAGCAAGCATATTGTAACTGAGATGAGCGTAAGTGTCGTAAAGATATTTCACGACGCACTTTGTCCATTGAAAACTTTCTTTACTGAACGTTCGACGGCTATATAGTGTCATCACAGTACCCAAGTTTTCGAGTTTCTTTCCCTTTTCAGCGCTTATCTAAAATTCAAAACAAAATATTACAGAACACAATTATTTTTAATCAAGCACTTGAAAATTCTTGTTTGTGAAATTGTACGTACTTGAGCAATGTTTTCAGCACTTCTTATGCATAATTCATTTGCATCTTCGTAGTTTAACAGCATATAGGGCAAAAGCGAAACGACGTTCATTGGGAAAGCCAGGCTTTGCGTAGGATCAACGACTGGTAAATCCAGCAATAAAGTGAATTGCGATAATAATGTCACGACTGGCTCGTACGTGTTTGGATTTGTACATCCCTTAAATAAAAAACAAGAAAACCATCAAGTCGATAAAAATGTTATGAAATGTAAAACAAAATTATCAATCAATTACCTTCAAAAGTAATGCATGCACACCAGGGAATGAATTCCATCTCAACTGTTGTTGTAATTTTTCTACCTTGTCCCTAGCGTCAGGTCGATCGAGAGGCAATCTGTGTAATACTCTATCGAGAAGTCGTAAAGCCAGAAGAAACTCGTGCTCGTAGTCAGACTCAAGTAATGAGACAGAGAGCCAGAATAGTTGCGCGAGTATTGTCATTTTGTCATCCTGAGTAGCTGAATCGCCGAGTAGCTTTAGAGACTGAGCCGAACGCGAGCGTGAGAGATTCGAGTTGATATACTTAGCACTGCTTTGTCGACTTTCCAATTCTGTTGTGAAGTTAACAATCACGGAACTACTTTTCAAACGAAGCCGTTCAAATAGAATAATTAATAACTTACCTTTAGCTTCGTTGGCAGCGGTGGTAGCAGCTTTAGTTCTCGTCGAGTAGCTAACCGAGTAACTTGTGCTGCGCATGTGGCCTTGTTGATTCAAATGCGAGTACATCTGCGTCCCAGGTGGATAGTAACCTGTTGCTCCTGCCGAGCAACGTTTTGCCATACTTGATGCTGCATCTTTATTATTCAGGTTTGGTGTTGATTTGAAAATCTCTTTCATGAAGTCTAATGGTCGGAAATCGGATTCAAGAGAATCCACTGCAGCTTCCAGGGTGAGCAATAATTCGGTAACGTAACCCTGTAACAATAAATTAAAGGTGTCGTTTATCCATTTTGGAATATTTTAGAAGAAATATGTATCAATTCTAATATAATCAGTTACGGATGCATTCAATATATAATTTTTTCAATTGAAAAAAAAAAGAAAACGAGTTACATTCTTCAGCTTTTAATGGGACGAAGAAACATTTAACATCAATTTTATGAATAAAACAAACTAAATTATATTTTTCAAGCAATCTTCTTTCACTCGTTACAAACAACAGAACTTCTCAAAGAGCTCGCAAAAGAAGTTCCTTCGTTAAACAGAAACTCACTCGTTATTGTAGTGCAAGTGAGGTATAAAAAATTTTCAATTTACCTGCATGTCCTCCCCTTGCTCGGCCACAGTTTCAACCAGCCTCGACAATATATCCGACAGCATGCGCGAAGTGATTGGCACTCTAAGAGCACGGAACACCTGCAGAGAACGACCGGCATAGTGTCGGGAAGAGCATGAAAGGCCCAGCTGCAATGCCGTCTGCGCCCATCGCTGACTCACTAACGCATGTGGCAAGGACTCCCTGAATACGCGTAACACGTGCCTCAAAAGTATTGTCAGCTGGTCGGCGCTTCGCACCCACCATACCTTCGCCGTCATGTCCTCGTAATTCCATAACGGTTGGTTTGTCCTTAAAGGATATAATGTTCTTTTTAAATACATTCTTTAATTTTTAATGTATTTTGTGATGAAGGCAGAATCATTACCTGGATGCCAGGAAATTGATCAATGATTTAATAACGTCCTGAATAGGCATGTTAGGCCCTGATTGAGGTCCTGGCCAGTTAACTCCATCTTCGGGAGTTACTATGACGGCTGGTGTAGTAGTTATTGGTTTGTTTGTTGAGTTCCAGTTGTTTTGCTGACACGAGGAATCTGAAAATAGAAATTGGTAACTGTCAAACTATTTTTATTTGTTGATTGAATTGTTCGATTTACAAAATTTTGTTATGTATGAATACTAATTAAAAACATGCATGGTACGAATAAAACTGGAAAAATTTGTGTGATTAATTGTAAGAGATTTTGTGAATCTCAGCATTTAGAAGAATGAAATTTCAAAGTATTAAAGTCTCAAAGTTACGGTCAAAGAACGGTCCCTTCAAGACATATCTTAAGACAAATATATTCATCAGGGGGCGTAGCTCAGATGGTAGAGCGCTCGCTTAGCATGCGAGAGGTACCGGGATCGATACCCGGCGCCTCCAGGACTTTTTTTTTTCTTGACAACTCGACAAAATATAACTGAACTTTTATATAGTTCTTATATAGTTCTTATATAGTTCTTATATAGTTCTTATATAGTTCTTATATACCCTTTTATACATTTGGTAGTATAGGTTATAAATAATTTAAAAAGCCTAATTTAATTTAAAAAACGAATTCGAAACATTCGAAATATCTAATGAACAGTTTCTTCGGTAAAATTAATTTTACATTCAAAATAATAATTGTAATTACAATTAATTGCAACTGTTAAGTTATTCGGTTTTGTAATATTTGTGTTATTAAAATTCATTTTTAAGCCGAAGAAGTTACGTTTTTTTCTACATATATAATGTACAAAATTACTGTATTAACTATATATTAAAAATTAAGAAATTTACATCATATCCCAAACGGCATGATATTTATACAACATATATTTCACGAGTATACAAAATGGTATAATGATTTGTTTCGACACATCTCTCATTTCAGTAGTTTTCATCCATAAATAATTTTCGTCGTTGGCTGTTGCGTAATTCTTTTCAATTTTACTGTTATTAACATTGACGAAAAAAAAACCTCAATAGTAACATTTACCAGTTGTGCATCAATCAGTACACTTGTCAAATAAATTGTTGAGTATCACGCACATTGTACAAGTTTTACATGAGAGTTGACACTTACACATGTCTGTTGATATCATGAATGATGTATTACATGATTTGCCTTTCACCGAAAGTCCAGTTGTATGTATATAGATATAATGATTACCGGGAAAAAATCGAATGGCGCATCGAATATATGTCAGGGGGCGTAGCTCAGATGGTAGAGCGCTCGCTTAGCATGCGAGAGGTACCGGGATCGATACCCGGCGCCTCCAAATTTTTCATTTTTTGTTGAGCAAAATAATTTATTGCGCATTTTCGACCGTTTAAAATGCTGTTATCGACAAGATTAATGCGAATACGCGTCTGTTGTAAATGCAAAGCGTAATAACGCTAATAAATTAGAAGAGATAAGAAGATACAGTTGCCAACAGGTGAATCATTCCGCGGAACATTAAGCATGTTTAATGTCATTAGATTTAATTACTTTATTAACCTTTCGTTTAATCGTAATAAAATTAGGAGTAATTATTGAAATTGAAACTAACGTAAATATCATAGACGTTAGCAGGCAGCTCTGAAGATGAACTAGTTGCACGAGTTGATAACATCTAGTTCTACACGCGGTCTTTGAAGTGGATATTACTCGAATGCGAAAATCTCAAATTTCATTTCATCATGACCTGTCGTATTACACACGACTCTTGCAAATGATTTTTCCCTACAAATTCGAGTTCAAATATCTCATGCATCCCCGATTTCACATAAAAAATTTGAATTCATGCAAATTAGGTGCTAGCTCAGCATCTAAAAATTTATTTAAAAAAATGAGGCTTTTAAAATTACTTTTCGTGACCCAAAAGCACTAGCTTTAAGCCACAACTGCATATCGCCTTAACTGCCAAACTTTCTGCGAAAACATGAGACTGACAAATGGGTTTGCTTTTACATCGGCAAAACTTTGGAATTTCGTGTTACTCAGCGAAAAACAAATGCAACTACAACAATGCCAAAGACTCCATTTCTCCGCTCCAAAAATATATTAACATAATAAAGAATCTTACCATAAGCATAAATGGCGGTGGGATTTTTAGTTTCATCGCCAAGATTAGCAGGCAGCACTTGTCTGACGGTAGCCGGTGGAGTATTACCAACATTGTTGATAGGAGAATGTACCGGGCTGACATTGTTGGAGGAACATGTCGAAGAAGATGTTTCGCTACTCGTTGTAGCTACTGCTGGTAGTGGTAGTGGTGGTGGAGGAAGTGGCGGTGGTGGCGGTGGTGTCGGTGACGACGGCGGCGTACACGCTGGCGGTGACTGCGACTGCGGCGATGTCGGACCGACTGGTACCACCGATCTGCAAATAACGAGGAGGGTTATCAATATGACGTGTTTGGTTTCTAGATTTTAATTGCCGAATGGGTGCGTACTTTATTACACAAAGTTCTGTACTTGTGTGGAGTATAATGATACGGATATCTCTGTTATTAACAAAATTTTGTTTCAGTTATTACAGAATAACATATCTAAGCGATTTGAGTGTTGTTTAAATGAACAAAAGTAACAAATACAGAGCAAATAAATTTTAAATATTTTTAAATATTTTTAAATATTTTTAAAACAGATTACAGAAGGTATCGAGTTTTATACACGATTTTATTTTTAACATTGTTTCCTGACCAACAACGATAAAAATTTACAAACGCAACAATCCTATAGTAATTATTAATTTTTTAAATTGACAATAAATAGTGACTAGTATTCGGGCATTTTTTTAAAGAAGTAACAGTAATTTTGAATTTCTAAAAAATCTTTGAAATCTATACGATATTGCTGATTATAGTTTGTTAATATATTCATGAAGTATAAAAAAAACTTGTAGTCCTTTGGAATTAAAAAGCACGTATGAGCGTAATACCTACTGAATTAAAAAATACAAAATTGATATACAACTAAATCTTTTTATTAATCGTTTTTTTCATAAATACAATTTGTCAGTATAAACGTAAAATTCGTTACTGAATACCATAATAATTACATCGTTTCCACCCTAAAGTGGTCTACAATATTAACCTGATCCTGACAATCATTCGTTTTAGCAACTCTTATCAAATCCTCACTTTCTAACTGTGGCAATTTATCATCAAAAACAGGCGTCTCCCCAAGAGGAAACACTGGTAGAAGGTCATCGAAACCAGTGAAAAGTTGGCCAAGAAAGTGGCCATCCAACTTGTCGTTAAACTTTGTTCGTTTGTTGCTCTCCTGTTCGTACATCGTGCGCATTTCGCTGGATAACCGACTTACCCATCTGGTAAACTTGTCAGTAAAGGTTTTCCTCCTTACAACCTCAGCGACAGATTCAACATAAAGTTCTGGTGTGAGATGTACTTGCCATAGAATCTTAAGTTCTTTACGACATGACGTTAATTCATTATTGCAAGTAACGATTTTATCGTTAATACCCGATAGTTTCGCCTCTATTTCAACAACACACCGTAATTTATCGCGAATGATTTTTGATAAGTTATCTTTTGACAAACTCACTTTCTTGCGTATTTCTTGCATATTTATGTAGTTCTTTTGCATAGACTTGATGAACTCATAATGCGACTGATGCTTACATACGAAAACAGTCCAGTCTTTATTGCCGGCTAATCGATCATGATCCTCTCGAAAGATTTTGGCAATATCCATTTGATCAGACAATATAAGCTTTATCGGATTTATCATCGTCTCGAGATAAGAAAGTCGGTTGCCAATGTTATGAATTCTTTTCAGATTTTCATCATGAAAGATTTCAACAGTTTTATTCAGTTCAGAACACAAGGACATTACAGTGTTTTCGTCATAATTCTCGACACACCGAGCACACCGATCTGCCAGATCTTGTATTTTTAATTCAGCTGATATCCACTCCAACAGCGAAAGCTCCTTGGAGCATCCTTTTCGTAAGCCCGGTAGTACTGGCATTGTATCTAGCACCCGAATGTCTTCATTCAACTCCTGCAATACACCAGCGTATTTGTCTCTGTCAGCCATGTACTTCGGAAAATTCTCCATCAACTTTTTATTATTATTCTGGTATTCCCGGACGATATCCTCAAGATAAACGACAACGGCCAACCATCCTTGCTGTTGATAATGCTGATCCCTAATTATTTCCTCAATAACTTTGTTCAGTTGCTTGGACGCCTCGAGAAGATCTTGTGCCATCTGAGTTCTTGCCACTAAAGTCTTGTAAGTAGTTGACATCGGCACGATCGCATCGTTCACATTCACCTCTTCGTCTTCGTGATAACTTATTGACAGTGAAGGATCTGTCAATATTTCGTGATTTTTGTTGTACAAGTAGAGAGGATTGGTTTCGGTACCTGTTGAATAGGAATTTATAACAATGTTTGGATCTAACACACCTCCACCACTCATCACTAGCACCAGATCTACAGAACGCATGCCGTAGGTACGGTCAATCGTTTCTTTAACTTGGCTCACAGTCTGGGAGGCTAGTTTCTCGTTGAACGTCAGCATCGCGCCGTTTGAGATATCGAACACGTACATTTTTTTTGGGGTACAGTCAACATTCAAAATTCTAGTCTAATTGTCAAGAGGTCGAGGTTTTACTTTTTTATTCTTGAACTGAGAACAAACGTGATACACAAAAAAGACGCCGCTTAAAATTGTACAAAACTGTAGCACAAGAGAACCTCGGCTCGCGAGAAAGGCCGACTTTTCACAAAAAGATAAGTTTCACCACCATATTCACCAAGCGTACACTACAGAGATCCAGAACAGCGACTTACATGAGCGAGCGGAAATTTCCAAGTGTCCGTTACAATTTTCTCTCTCACAGAGCTTACCCCTCAGCGCTCTACCTTTTATGCTATCAATTTTCCACAGGGAAAACTACAAAACAGATACCCCGAGAAATTCAAGTTAGCGAAAATAACGTTAAGCTGTACGTCACGTATGTGTAGACAGTAAACGATTATGTTTTCAAAACACAAGAGAAACTCAAACACAGATGCAACCATGTCCGGTAAATAACAAAAATCAGCTGTTACTTATGCATCAGCAACATAATGAGCGCCATTACACTAGAGGAGGAAATGTTTTCAGCACGGGATAGTATAAGCTCGCTATGCTCGCTGCCTCGGCTTCTGCATCCCGCTATACAAACATTTCCCTCTCCGATGTTAAGGCGCTCATTTCACTGCTGATAAAAATTAAACGAAATTACTTATGGATAATATTGAATGGGCAATTTTAAAAACTCTAATTATTCTTATTTTTTTTATTTTGTTCAAAAATTCAGTTAATGCCACTTTCTTTAATTCGGCTTGCGTTGGCTATTGCAGTAATGTTCATTTAGCTAACTTACGCCCACGCGGTGAGTAAAAATACTATTGGAGAATGAGTCATCCTCTAGTATAATGAATCCCCTCTCCTGCTTCCTTAAGTGTATTGGCATTATTACAATAGGAGAAGCTATGGCCTTATTGTGATGATGGTTATGTGTACTTGAACGTTGCGGAGTATATCATGCGCCCATCGTGTCCGTCAAAACTAATTAACAATGATTAGTTACTCCATTGACAATGTTCACATTGTCCTTGTAATGGATAAATCTGTGAACAATATACTGTGCAGCCTCCAAGTACACATGACCAATCAATATTAATATTATATTGATATAATATTAATATTATATTAATATTAATGTTATATTGATATAATATTAATATACAAAATCCATTTCAAACATAGCAGTTTTTAATATCATATTATTTCATATATATTACAAACTGCCCTGATAATAAAGTACATTGTGGAAAGGACAATTGTTATTAAAAATACGATTGAACACCGCGTAAACGAATACGACTACCTATAAGCTACTATTATAGTTGAAGATAAAACATAAAGAATGGTTCAAAAAATACTTCAATAGCTCGGGGTATCGATTTCTCGCAGGCGGTGATCATAACATATGACGAAACATTCGTGGCATGGATCAAGGTCAATAGTTCAAAATTTAAAAGGAGCTAATCCGGACTCAGTAATGCAAGCAAAAAATCTAATTCCTATATCTAAGGGTAAACCTACGTACTGGCCCTCCGATTCAAACAAATAATTGACTACATTGACTTTACAGTCGTCAAAGGATTGTGCCCCAAAAGACTAATCGCCAAATCATATCTAGAATTAACTTCAGACCATTCCCTAATAAATATATACTATTTTTCAGAAATAAAAACTGATACAAAAAGTATTTCTCTCTAATATAGCAAAACAAACTAGGATATGTATAGAAAAATATTAAACGAAAACAAGGTGTACCATACCGCTCAAAGCTAATGTATATATAGATACTGCTACAAAAAATTTAAATAAAAATATCTATAAAGCGATAATAGTACAACCTCGAAAGATTCAATTAACTTTATAACCAATGCATTTATCTTAAAAACGGTTTTAGAAAAATTAAAAGAAAAAATACAATTAAGAAAAATGTGGCAACATAGTATATCAAAGCCTGATAAAACAAATTATAATCGATCAATTAAAAAAAAATAAAAACAATTCTCAATGAAGAAAAATATGCAGAAATAAAATTTCACTTAGAAAATTTAACTGCCACGAATGACACAGATTATTCGCTCTGGAAAGCAACAAAAATAGAAAATCACCCGCAATGATTTTCTCCTTACACACTAAAAAACGACATGATATGGGTAAAAATAGATAAAGAAAAAGCTAATTCTTTTTCTAAGCATTTAGAAAACGTATTTAAATCTTCACCATGTAAAAAATGAAAAATTAACATGGTTTAAAAATATACAAGCAACTAGCTGTTATAATTATGTAGTTAATAATGTAAAAGTAAACGAAATAAACCATACAATAGTAAAACAAAGAGTCCAGCAAACGATAATATAAATGGAAAATTACTTAAAGAACTACTTCTCAAAGCCAAAAGACTCATTATCATTATAATTAACGCAATTCTCAGATTATTATACTTTTTCATTTAATGGAAAGTAGCAACAATAATATTAATTGCAAAACCAGGAAAATCATCCGAACTTATTTCATCCTATAGACTTATCAATTTACTTCGTACCCTGTTGAAAGTATGTGAATAATAAAAGATTGGATTAAATATTAATAGAACAAGATATAATGTCCGAGTACATCCCATAAATTTACAAAAAGCTTCGGTGGACAGCAAAATAAGGCAGCGATTATTTTGGTCCTAGTTGACACTCGAACGTTTGCAACACATAGAACCGTGCCAGGTTTTCTCTAGGTTTTTATTGTTCGGTCATCTTGTACGCTGTCGCTCATCTCGCTATATGGGCCCGTGTTTTTCCTGATTTATAATTTCGCGCGTGCTTACTCTTTTGCGCCGCTTGTCCGAGTTTCTTCTTAATTTACCACCCACTCGTTTTCATATTATTTTCGAAACAATATCAAATTTTTGACGTTCATTATACTAATGTATTTTGCTTGATGAAGGTACACTGTGACACCGTTTGTTATAGTTATTGGAAAATTCTGATTTTAAATTTTAATTTTCTGATTTTAGCTGTGAGGGGGCAACCATGTTGGTGAGCATTCTATTCGGAGCGTGATTGGTTAGGAGAGTAATGCTGCTATTGGAAAAAATAACGCTAAAAATAGACGTATTTGAATGATGTTTTAAAATAAAGTTATTTTCTAACGTCATTACACGTATCATAAATTGGCACAATGACATTATTTTTATCACATTCAGTGGGCAAATATTTATGAAATGATGTTATTTACCTTCAAATAATGACGTGATTAATACAATGACGTTATTTTTATAGGACAATAACGTTATTTTCAATAATTTTTGCTCTAAAAAATGAAATAACATCATTTTTCTATAGCGTTGATATTGAATATATTTTAATTAATCGAAATCCATACGATTCCTTATGTTGGCATCACGCTGATATTTGCGCAACATGAGTAGTCCTTCAGAAACTGCAGTATTGTAGTGATAAGTAAGAAGTGAAGGATATTTAATATTATAACTTATATTTTTTTAATAATTTGTAAAATTTTTATTTTATTTTCAGGAGACCCAGCAATAGAATTAATGTCTGCAAAAATAGCATATCTCCCCATGTGCACCCCTCTACATCGCAATCTATTAGTGTAGAGCATGGTAATAAAATTAAGTTTCCAAGTAGAAGTTGCACATATACAGCCAACTATACACCACGATCAACGAGAAAATCTGGGCCAAATACTCTGTTATCTATACAAATCCCAAATACATTTCGAGGACACGCTGTATAGTCAAGCCTTCCAAAGATGTTTTCTAAATCTTTGAACAAACAGCGAATATCACAGGTAACAGCTTTTGAAAATTCTAAAAAGAAAAATCAACTAAGTTATAGGAAGAAAGAACCGCGTCTATGTACGGAAAAAATGAGAAATAAAAGAATCGTCGCTACAAAACCTACTGATGTTATAAAAAGAAAGTAGCTGTTTACTAAATGGTCAGCAGATACGGAAGACGAAACTACTAGTCACACAGTTAAGGCACGTATTAATTATTTTGTTTATTTAGGATTACATAGTTATGGAATATCTCCGGACAGGAATTGAAAAAAAGCAATGAAGACAAATTCTTCAACATTTTTAAGAGAATTAACTATTCCACATATGTAGAAAAGAGAACATTTCATTAAAAAGGGAGTTTAAGTTGGACGAACGACATGCCTTGATGATAAAGAGTCTTTTGCCCTAAAAACTTTTGAAACTGGGAAAAGTTTTAAACAATTGATTAAATTAATGTTATATAACGCTGACATTTAATTGACATTTGATTTTTCGGAGCTTAATATTGTTTCAAGAGCGTAGGTTAATTAAAAAAAATCTAAAATTGAAGAATGAAGATAAAAAGGAGGAAGCTAACAATGAAGAGGTTGCTCTTCAAGATGGTGAATACTCCCATTAATCGACAGATGGAAAGAATGAAAATTATTTATGACCGGCAAATGAAAATAAAGATAGTGAAAATAAATTTGAAAGTATATAATTAACATTATTTTGTTGTATATTGTACAAATGTTTTCTTTTTTTTTTAAGTGAAAAATGTTGAGAGCAGATCTACGAGCGCGGCACGCTCGCTTGATAAACTTATAGTTGATGTAAATTGTCAACTAAATGGATCTGCTTGGATAGCATAATGGTAATATAACAATACCTATTGTTTATCTTAAGAATCTCGGGACTAAAGAAATTACTAATTTTCATTTCTTTTATCATTGATGTTATCAACTTGTATAGTTCTATCGCACAACTTTCATAACGACAAGTCTAAATTTATTTGACACTAATTATTTAAACAATGTAAAATAATAAAAACTATTCAAATTAAAAATATTTAATTTAACATAAAATTTACATATTTAGTTATGATCAAAGCTTTATAACAGTTACGTTTTCGGCTAATATTGACCTATAATGCTTATGGAGCTGTGTGCATTTCTAATAAATTTGAACTTTTCTGCGAACGTTCATATGAATTGTATAATTGAATAATATTCTTAACAATAATTAATAATCCAATTATTATCCTCCATAAATACTTTTGTAGTTGTATAAAACACGGTCCTTAAATTATCAATAGACATTTGGACGTAATAAATTATCGATCGTTATTTCTCTGAAAAGTGATCGGAATCAACAAATACGTCCAAACAAATCAACAAATCTGCAGAGTAATTAAGATCCGACTGAATTTAGCTACACGTAGCCGTCAATCTCTCCCCATGCAAAGCTCGCCAAGTAAACGTAATTATAACTTGACTTCGCACCCCCATTCATTAGCGTCCATTAAAGCAACTATTACTCACGATGGTGGCCCGTACAGGTAGCTGTCGAACTCAGGATCGACCTCAGTAAAGTTGTGCTCAACTACTGGCAAAGGTGGCATCGACAATCCCAGTCCAAGTTGGTCGGTCTTCGTAGCCAACAGGACACGCGCGACGCCCAGATGATCGCGATGATCGCCGAGCACCACGAGCATGTTGAGAAGCAATAGACGGCAGTGATCACGCACGAGTGGTCGTGAATGGTCGAGGCCCAGGAACACGATGTGCAGCATTAGCGGCACGTGAATAGCCCAATCCAGCTGGATACCGTCGATCACAACATCGGTCAACAACATCACCGCGATGTTACATCTGCAATTGTTTGTTTGATCAATTTAATTTCATTGTTCTTTTTCCGTTAATTGTGGTGATTAAATCCTGTTTGCCATTCGTGTTACATTGCCGGTTCTCGATTGACACTCTCATGTTGAATTAATAGCAAGCCAAATCTGATAGGTACACGAATATTATCATTATATACTACTGTGGGCAAAAAGTAAGGTGAATTTTCAATTTAAACTTCGCGGGCTTAACATTTCGGGCTAGTTCTTTTTTTCTTGAGTTGGTAGGACTGCGAATGACATCTGGGACAAATTTCATGTCAATGTCATCATCAGTAATATATTTACGCTTGTGTTTACCAAACGACCAAGAGTGCATGTTTCGATTTTTACAATGTCTGATTTAATTGAGCAAAGAAGTGCCATCAAATTTTGTTTGCGGAATGAAATTTCGGCTGCGGAAACGTTGAGGATGTTGCGGAAGGCCTTTGGTGATTCTACCATGTCGCAGAAAAATGTTTATAAGTATTACAAAGACTTCAAAGAGGGTCGAGAACGTGTTGATGACTTGGAGCGCTCCGGACGACCATCGACGTCAACAGATGACCAACACGTCAATAAAGTGAAGGAATTAGTGCTCGAAAATCGTCAGTTGACTGTTAGAGACCTTACTGATATGATCGGAATATCAGAAGGATCTGTGAAAACAATTTTGAAAGATCATTTGGGCCTACGAAAAGTCAAATCTCGTTTGGTACCGAAAACGCTCAATTTCTTGCAACAAAGTCGCCGCGTTGATGTGTGTGAAACAATGCTTTCTGACTATCAGGACAAGCTCAAATGCATGATTACGGGAGATGAGACTTCTGGCTATTCCCAAAACTCAAGAGACCACTCCGGGGAACGCGTTTCGAGTCGATTGAGGAGATAAGAGCTGAATCGAAGAAGGCGCTGATGGCTATACCGGAAAGGGACTATTTGGCATGTTTCGAGGATTGGAAAAAACGTTGGCATAAGTGTATTTTATCGGGAGGGGATTACTTCGAAGGGGATGACATTGATGTAGAAGAATAAATAAAGATTTTTCATTTTACAAACAAATTCACCTTACTTTTTGCCCACAGTAGTATGATTTTGTTTTAGCGGCACACGTGAATACATTATCAAAACGCTATACTACAGGTAGCTTAAAATTTCAAGCCCCGCAGCAAATTTCTCGGGAACAAACAGAAATTAACCGATCCGTGTCTGTTAATAATATTGCGTGATAAATGCTTACAACCTCTCTCGTTAAATTCGGCGCGCTTCGCATCAATTCTCGAACGAGAGCTCGACTCTGACTTATTCAAAGTAACACTGACCTGTGAAATCCGCTGATCGGCTGCGAGCTGTCGGGCAAATACTCCGTAAGCGGAGCAAAGTATCCGCCGTACTCGGGCATCGGCAATGGATGCGGTTGCGGCACGTCGACCTTATCGCCTTGCGCGCTGTTACTCTTGCCGTTGAGCGCGACCGGCACATTACGTATGTAGTAGGCATCATCAGCTGTTAGCTGAAAGTCAAACCACTGTAAACAATACATTAAAAGCGCTGTAGATCCGTGTACATCCACCTATGAGCTTGCTATTAATTATATCGGCGATTCTTTACCTCGGTCTCCGTCAACGGTGTCGATTGCGAGTCGTCGGCTACCAGGGCTGAATTGTTCGCTACTCGTGTGCATTTCTGACTTGTTGACGGGAAGCCAGCTAGCGCTCGCAGTGCCGTTTCTGACTTGGAAACTCTGCATAATTTACAACATGTGAGTCAAATGTGTATACATATGTGTGTATGTGTATGCGCGTGAATATATGTATGTATATATATGTATTTTTTCTTCGCTAAAAGGATCGACGAGTCGAGTTAATACTGAAATTTTCTCGCTACATATCGAGTATAATAAAAAATCGCGCTCCGGGCAGTCGAAATGTAAATTGAAGAGTATACACAAGAGATAATTTTGCGAGCTCGGAATCGATGCTGCAGCATAAGCTTACAATTGTGGGATTTTGTAAAGTCCAATAACCCAATAATCCAACAAAAAACATATCTCTTGCGCGCGCCGTATATGTGTGTGTGTGTATTCACCGAGAAGTTGAAACTCCGGCTGCATGCCTTATCAATGCGCGAATTGGAATCGCATAATTCTCCACTCGGCCAATTAACGTGTGCATCGACTATAATAGTCAAGCAGCGGCGCTACTCACCCAGTTTTCACTGGATCCTCGCCGGAATGACGTTTGGTGTGTATAGTGCCTTTCTCCACTTGCTGGCCAAGCTGATCTTTAGCTTGCGGATTGCCCGGATCAGCTGCCGGTGCGTCGCTGTGAGATGACGCCTTGCGCATACTGGTTAATCGATAGAACGGTGGCGTTTGCGTCCGCTCGATTAAGCAATTAAGCGTCTCGACAGTTTGTAATTCCGTCATCATCTCGTCTACTAAACGCTCTGGACGTGCTCGACCTAAATACAGCACCACTCGCTTCGCCTGAAAACCATTTGCAAGCCTTGCTCCTTAAAGAATACTTTCGACGAAGCGCGAACAACCAAACGAAATGACCATCTTTTTAATTAAAAACTAAAATTGCCGGCTGTATTTTCATCTTTTCATATTAAGATATAATAAGCTATAAAAACATTCATTTCGAGGTACATCATTTTTTTTCTATGATTATAGCCGTCCTTCGGCTGAACTTTTTAGCTCATTTTAACTGAAAATCTCTGACGTATCTCCCTGAGTTAAAAAATTGAAATTATCCAGAGCAAGCAAGACACCAGTATTTCCATAATAACAAAGTCCATCCTTCAAAAACATGATAATGCACTTTCGCATGAGAAAAAAACAGACTACACAGAAAAAGGATTTTGTTTTCTCGTTTAACAGGAAAAATTGCGCTTTATCGCCGAGCTGGAATTTTGCATTAATGCAGTAATATATAAATATAGAAGTGACTTACGTAGGGCAGGAGCTCTTGTGGTGCCATGCCCGACACGATTATGAGGTAGCGTATTATCACCTTGAGATTGTTCGGCCAACAACCGCACAATGTCGCCCATAATTCCTCCGTCTCCTTTGGATGCTCGTCCGAAAACTAAATTTATTTTATGCAAATCGTACGTTAATGTCAATTAGCGTGATTTTTAAGAAAGCTAATGACTCTAATGAAGAGAAACACTAGCGGGTCAGCGACTAAATTAATGGAACAAAAAAACGTCGCCCCTTCGAACGAGCAATTCATCCTTGTCCTCGGCCGAAGGGTAATAATTTACATCGAAAGTAACGTTCTAGTTAACGCTTGACTGTTTATTGAAAGGAGAAAATGGCGTGTAACACAAGATGCCACGCCGCTGATAATCTATTATAAAAGCTCGTCTTCCTCGACGCATAGTCGAAGCCTCGTAACGGGTCGTCTAATCTTTCCATGTGTCGATATGGTTCGTTAGCACTAATTAAGTCGGATGATAAATCATGCGTTAAGTTGACTTCCCTTGCCCGTGGCTTTTCCGATTGCCAATCCATAGTGGCTTTTTCGTAGCGTCAACAATCCAACGGAACATGAACAGGAAGCGCGCAATAATCATTATTCCAAACTCCGTCAGCACAACCATGCATTTAAATGTTCCATAGATGAGGGCGAATGGGGATTTGCATTTGAATCAGTGCCGAAATGTCGGCAGCGAGGACAGAAAAAACTCACCTTGGCGGTTATGTAGAAAAGATTGTTCAGCACCATTTCAGTGGCCTCGACGCTACCCCAACCCTCGCGACGGCAACCTCCTCGGCTCACGTCGTTACCGTAGACCTGCAACAAACATTACCGTAAACGCCTTGCATAAGAGGATTCAATTCTGAAGAGGACAGGTCGTCGTGTGTGAGTTTTGAATTTTAATTTGCCTTCACGGATTTATTTTTCGCTCTCGTCATTTTTGACGGATTGTTTGTTAGGACTCGGACTTTGACAAACGATTGAATTGTGCGTGTATTTTTCTCTATACGCGCGTGCGTATCTTTATATTTGCCGCGTGGGGATACATCTATTTTACGAGCACCGCATTTCAATCGGATTCCATACAAATATAATATAGCTGGTTTTTCTTTTATTTTGTAGGTTCAATTTTACTCTAGAAGAACGGATGGGAAAAAGGTATCATTCTTAATAGCGCGGCAACGAAAGAATTGCGAATCAAAGTTCTTTTCCGAATATCATTTCAGCTATCTACGACTATATTGCATATAATGTTGCAATTAACTTGGCGGAGTAAATATTTCAATAATAAATTAACATAAATTATAAAGACAAATAGTCATCAACATTACGTAATTCCTCTTTCAAGAAAGTTTCATTTTTTTCTGATATTCGTAAGCGCCATGTGACGACGAACATACGATAAAATTAAATAGGGCACACGTAAAATGGAAAAGATTAATTAAGCATAGTCGGAACTGGAAAAACAATTCATGTTTCAAAGATAGATCAAGAAAAAATATATACTTTATATATATAGACACACACGCGCGCGCACGCAGAGTTGGCTTTCACCAGAGCACGTGTTGATTGAATGGCTATGCTGAATTAAAAAACATGAAAGAGCTGCTCATACATTAATACGTGCAACGCGCCGGGCAGGGGGCGTAGCTCAGATGGTAGAGCGCTCGCTTAGCATGCGAGAGGTACCGGGATCGATACCCGGCGCCTCCAAATTCTTTTTTCACAGTGTGAAACTTCATCTTTTTTAAGTCACTGACATTTATTTTTATGACATTCGCAATTAAATAAGTTATGTTTAATTAAGCGTAATTAGGTTAATTTAATTAATTACAATTAAATATTAAAAATCACAAAATAAAAGTTAAATCAAAATTGTCCTTATAAATGACAACAAATTAAATTGAAAACTATGCATGATAGAAACAAAATCTCAATGTCTCCAAAGAATCAATATTTTAAACACTTGCAGTCAAAAACTAGGAGGTGAATAAAAATATACTGAACAACACTTATAAATTTCTAATTCAATTAAAAATTAATTATGGATGCGTTGCGTACAGTTCATTTACTGATCGTATACCGCAAAAAATAAAATCAATCCTAAATACAAGTATGAGAATTGTCTCATAAACATATAAAACTCATAAACAATATAAAATTAGTCACCGACCTAACATTTCATTAAATAAATTTAAAATTCAACAAAGAGGACTGCGTAACTCGAATAAATAAAGAATCCAAGAAGAATGGAATATGATTTCATAAAATAAAACTTCAATAAACGATTTAAGAAATTAATAACCTAGAATAAAAAACTAAGAAAAAAAGTCTAACACACAAACTCCTACTTTACAAATAAAAACAACCGTAGATATTGCAAAACACTAATGTTACTTAAACATTTTGATTCATTGCTGACAATTCAACGTCGAAAAAATAAAACACAAGATAAGAAGCCTCTCAATATACGAATTACTCAACAATCCAAAATAGTGCAGTAATGTCATAAAATTTATAGAATCTATAAAGTTAAGATCCTTCTTATAAAAAATACGTGTAACGTAAATAAGTCATGTAATTTATTATATTTGTATCAATCTTATAATATTATAGTATTGAGATGAGTCGCTAATACTCATCAGGAGGTGCAACACAAAATAAATAAATGAAAAAAAATTTCTAGGTAAGTATTTTGCAAATCAGTGAATAAAAAGGGATATTTATTTACGTATTCATGTCTGCGTATTTCACCATCAAATATTTTTTAAACCGAAAGTTTACATAAATGAATAGAATTTTCGATACGAATCAAACAAATTTTGTTTTTCTTATTATTTCGATTAATATTTAAAATATGTTTCGATGTAAACATATAATAAATAAAAATCTATTTTTACTTGAACTAATTTTGAAGTTTTATTTCCCATATTTATTCTGAGAAAAATAAAAAAACTATTTTTAACATTTAACGAAAATATTTTTTTTTATGCAACATTGAAAATGCTCAAATTACGAATATTGATTTATTCTTCATATTTTTTACTGACAGCGTTATTCCGTTTGAGATTTTTTATTTCAGAGAGCGAACAGCTTAACATATATTTTTCGCTCTGATGCCTCTTACAACAAAAAATTATAAGCTAACAGAAACAAGTTTATAATTTTTTATTTAAATGGTGAAAAAAACGAATGTATTTTCATCTCCGGTGAAATTAATTAACAAAAACCTTGCATTAAAAAACCTTGTATTAAAAAAAATGTTGTATAAATAAATTCGCGATAATCGTTGAACTTCATGAAAAATTTAAAAATGTTACGAAGTATTCGTCATTATAATAATCATATGTATATTGTCCATTGATTCGCGATAAAAGAAAACGATAAGAATTTACTATTGAAATTCGACGTCAATTTACTGACTATTTATACCACAACTAGGCTTGTCAATTGAGTCGCTGACGACATATGCGTAGAACGTTTGATCATTTTCGTACGCCTTTCACCGAAAACTAGAGCGTGTCAATGTCAACTGAAAATACGGATCACGTTTAAAATACAATGCTCACGTTTAGGAGGCGTAGCTCAAATGGTATAGTGCTCGCTTAGCATGCGCGAGGTGCCGAGATCGATACCCGGGCGTCGTCTCTAAATGCCTTTTTACTTTTTTGAGATCCTAAATTTGTTTGTCGGTGCGAAGAAAAATAAATGATCGAACAGATCGAGCAGATGCTTTTGTAAAGAAACAATTCCTTAAAGCTGTTCAATTTTTTTTCATAGTAAGCATTTGCAATAGAGAACAACTCATAGGACTACTAAATTATGTTAACATCAATTTCAAAATTGAAAGTTGATTTATTTCAATCGGCACGCCAATCAGTACAAATATTTCCAATCTTCAATACAGCACGTTCACGATAAGTATCACGAATCACTCGAGTAAATGTCAATGCCGACTCGTTAACTGATAGAAAAGTACAGCGTTTATTAGAAGGATTAATATAATTAGCAGCGTTAACGAAAATTGTATCGCACAGAGTGCAGGTAAAAAATAAATTGGCAATCAACCTGAAAGAAATACAAACGAACGGAGAAATCGTTTGACTAAGCATCATTAGCGCGCAAATCAACACAGGGAACGCCAAATAAAAACGCGCTTACCGCCGTGTCGGAAAATGGCGTGCGACTGTTGATATATATATATATATATGCATCGCTCGTGTTGCGGTGATTAATGGCTATCCATTTTATGCTTTCAGCGTATACAGAAAAAGCTCATATAAAGCCAGTCTTCGCAAGCTCGTGCAATATCATCCTATATCTTACCCCCTGAGAGGTGCTCGACTCCTTAATTCGCCAATGAAACATTTACTGGAATAATAACTAACGCTAACTCACTCCAGTCAAGGTGTGTATTTTAAGATTGTTTTTTTCTGGTCGAAAGGCAAATGGTTTAATATAGTGCACGTGTGACTAATGACTTGGAAATAAAGATCCTAAAAATATACCTGGAATCAACTAATAGTAGGCGTCGTTGAAATCAACGCACCAACTTTCAGCGCGAACAGGTATTACATGGAAATTGTCAGCTGTCACGGAGATTGAAAATGATGTGTCATTCAAACGTTATACAATCCATTTTCTCTCGCGTTGTTCTGCGTTGCGGGACGCGTAGCAATTTTACGTCATAAATTTTGAAAGCTCCATCCTAATGTTATAAATAATAACGCTGCATCTCGAAACTCTTACTCATCTGTTTATTTGGTAACTAAATGCTCGCTTACTTGAAACTTGCCATAGCTCGCTCAATATACAGATCGACCACTCACACTCATACCATGTCTATCTTTATAATAATAATTGAAATAATTGGATTTCTGACAGTCGCAAAATATAATGCTGTCTAATTACAAATTTTACATATACTGTATCTTTGTGCTAATTCAATAAGTGTCAGATCCGTCTTTTAAAGCAAAAAATTATAAAAACCTAAGAGATCTATTACTTCTTTTGATCACAAATTGAGTTAAATTCTTGTTGGAATTATTTTGGGAAGTAGGGGAAGTAGGATGAATAGTAGAAATGACTAGAATAAATGAAAAATAATGTTAAAAATAGAATATCTGAAAATACTGTATAAATGACGTCAGTGATTGTGCCTTTTCAAACACGCTTTTCAAATGAATGACAGCAGCCTAAAAAGTGATTAGTTTTGCTCGTGCAAGGTATCGTTATCCGAATTGAAAATACAAATAAGACGCGTATACGTACTAAGTGTGGACAACTCAAATTTTATTGTTGATTAATGAGATTGTTGAAGCAATCGATTATCGCGAGACTATGGATGGTATTGGTTGTACTCGCACGGATTTTGCAAACAGCACCGTATAAAGTTGACGGCCAGGATCACCGATACCGTACACAACTGTCCAAAAATATTAGCACTTTATGAAATTGGCGAAGATAGTATTGTGCGATGAATCGTAATTAGATAGCATGACATTTCGCAACTTCCGAGGTTCTCAAAAATAACGTTTCGTGGATTGGAGCTAATACATTAAGATTAAGCAACTGTTGAAACAGTGCATCAAAGGCATAAATTCTTAGATACCGATATCACATAATGTTTGGCGCGCCTTCGACAGCTGACCTGGTTCACATACTGCTGCTGAGCTATAATCGTTTTCGTCGATTGGAATACCCTCTCTCTGGCAAAAATACTATTTTCTCTGTGTCGAGCGGAGAGAAGAACACTTACCACTCAGAGCTCCTACATGGCACATATAGTTTCTGTTCAGGGGATCGCGTTCCCTGTAAATGCTCGCTCGACTGTTTATGGCTTCACAAAGGAGAATTCCAATCGAAGCCAATTTGATCGATTTTTTACGGAACTTCCTGAAAAAAACTCGCATTACGCCGGGAATTGGCCACTGTAAGTAAAAGGAGTGGACACATTGCGGATCGTCGACGTTCTTAAAGCGATACTCGATCGTCCTGCAAGCTCGCACTTCTATTGTACATTGACGCGCATTCAATAGGCGATATCGCGCTTGATAGATTTTACTAACAAACAAACGTATTTCACATTAAATCCGTACTTTTTCGTTGAAATTTCGACACTCCAAAATACATCGTAATTCCAACAACCGAGAAAAAATATAAAAAAATGGAAAATCGATTGTAAATAACGAACCGCAAAGAAAAAGTATCTCTCGAATTCTACTTGCCGACTATATACACATATTCAGAGCATTTTTTTGTGTAATGCCAGACGTCGAGATTCAACGGCATTGGTGAAAAGACCTCTTCGCGCTCTTATCTTCTGCTCACCAGTCGGAGATGCCACGTGGGAAATTCTTTCTCTCTCCGTTGATTCGCGTAAAAACAGTCGCGCGCGACCTAAATAATAGCTAGGCCTCGGAATCTTCGATGGGTCGTTCGTATTGTCGAAGCTCTATCCTCTGCTACACGGAGTGCAAAAGAAGCTATCGCGTGGTTTTTGCAACGCGTCACACATTCTCAAGGCGCTTACGTCGTCGCGCACAATTGAAAAATTCACGCGACCGCTCATTTTTCACCGTTTAAGATACACAGCTGTGTTCTTTCATTACGTGGATTAGGTGCTAAGCATATTTGGAATACGATCTATGTCGCATGTATTACAATTTTTTAGCTAGCAAAACTCTGATCAAAATATTCTTTTGACGAAATTCAGACTGAATTAATGCATAGAACGTTGGAACATAAAACCATCCTAAAAATGATTTTATTGGAGCAGGGCGCGAAGAAGAGTTCCAGCGCATACGCAGTTAATTAGTCGTTCATTATAGCCAGCGTATAGCGACAGGCTGTTCTCGTTGCAACCACAAGAAGGCAGCTTCCTCTAATTCTCCTCTGTTTTTCTTTCTGCTACTCGGTTTGCCATTACAGTGCACAAGTGCACCAACATGGCTGCGGCAGAATTTGTAAGAACCGATATGATTTTGCCTCCCTGTTTATGGCTCTTATAGTAACGAGGCATTTGTGCAAATATTCAGAACACACAACTCAAACATAATAATTCGGAATCATCAAATACGTAATTCGTTCGGAACTCTCAACGAATTATTATATAGCAATGAATCTCAATAAATTAATTGCAGCAAAACTCTTATCGTTAGCATTATTGAATAAATATTCACAATTTCAACGAATAACGCTTTCAATAAAGCTATAACCAATGTATCAGTCAGTCAGCATTATTTGTTAAAAATTAAAAATAACTTTGATTATTAATAAATATTACTTTATACGATAGTTTAATCAGTAAACATTTTATGTTAAAAACAAATTAATGAAGACCAAGTAAACTATATTTTTTCAAATTTTTCCAAAATTCATAAAAAAAATCGGAGATACAACTTGCTCAGTTAGTAAAAACGCATGAACTATGTATGTATACATCAGACATCATGAAGTCATAGTGTTTATAATGACGGTAGAAATAAAAGATGCTATACTTCAGTAGTAGAGAAAAAGTGAAAAGTACTGTTTCGACCAACTTGAGTTTGATAAAATGTTTGACGTGAAAAGGAAAAAAGAAAATAAATATAAAGAATTCAATCAAAACTCTCTATAAAGAATGGAAATACTCTATTTACCGTGTTAATAACGGGATTCCACTTTTTCGCCAATGTGCTTGGTGTGGGATGAATAAAAAAAATGGTCTACAAGAGAAACGAAGAAAAAAATGTAAGAGGAATGCCACTCACCTGATAGTAACTGAGGGGATTGGACGGTGGTGGAACATTGGGGTCGACCAGTTCCATGTTATGTAGCCATGGTAGCAAGTACTGCAACAGCAGCTGGCGCACCTCGCGACGCGCTGTCTGGAATCTGTGAGTTATCTCTGCAATTGAACACATTCCGTTGGTAATTAACGTTTAATACACTTTTACTCAAGGCTTGAAATACTGAGCTTAAACATTTACAAACTTCTTATTTCCTCTCTCCGGGTTGAAACTCATGTCACCATTAGAAGAGAAATTCGCGGACTGTGCAAAATTAATTTCATATGGTTCATGTAAAATGTAATTTGAGGAATAACTAGACCCCAAGCTATTTTAACATATAATGAAGCATAAATACGGAAAATCCTTCAATTTTCCTTGCAAAATATATGACAGGTACAGTATTTGTACAAAAAAAGTTCAAGGGTTCTACATTAACTTTTATAAAAACGATCTCTATATCTGAAAAAATCCCCAGTAATCATAGGATTCTCAGTTGACTGCAAAAGTTTAATCCAGCTGACCTCCCCCAATTATTTTTCTAATTCACCTTCGTACGCGTGGTAAGATTTACATAATCCAATTATCGTGAAACAAGACTTTTGAAGAAGGAAGAATTATTGTGTTATTCAAGTGTTTCCCTCGTACTCCTCCTCTCTTTTACTGCTTGTAATTTCAAGTTGTGCTCGTTTCTCAAACCCCAGTTTCTGTGAGAATACGTTGTAACCGACGCCCTTTCCAGTCCAATATTATGCCAAATTTTAGGAAAATGTAATGGTACACAATTATTCAAATATTTACATTCAGTCAGTTTTAGTACGAAGTTGGGGTGGGGGGTGGAGCCTCACCTTGTGTCGTAAAAATTATCAAGGTTGCGCAATACGAGGGAATTAATTTTTTCCCTATGAATGACTTTTATTACTCTGTCGAGCGCGCCAGCTGCACATACTCATACCCGCGAATATGTAACATTAGGTCTGATGACGAGGAAGCTGCGTCCAACGTCACGAAACCTCGCATCACCGACGAGGAAGAAAACAATTTCTCAATTTTTATTATATATTGCGCGTCGCAAAAAATTAAATATGAATCGTAGTAGAAACGAGTTAAGATAAGATTGAATGCTCTCTTTTTTTTTCTTTTCTTGAGGGGAAAAAAACGAAACGTGAAATAAAATGAAAGTTTCAATTTTGCAAAATAATTACTAATTTATACCTCGTAAAAGAATTCATTGTACATATCCCGAGAGAAAAATACCCATGTACATACGAACTAAAATTTTCTTCGCAGTTAAAGCGAGTTTCAAAGTGTGAGTACGTCGTCGCGAACAAGTACTCGAATTAACCTTCGCTCCTTGTAATCTGCTTCCCAAGCGTCGTCCACTTGTTCAAGCGATGATTTTTCTCTCTTTCTGTACTTGAGCGTTCTCTAACGCCTTTTTTACATGAAACTTGCATTTTTTTTAAATTTTGTTGTCTCTAATTATACTCGTGTTGGCAAGCAACGTGCACGTACGAGCATGAGCTTTTAATCGGACTCGTCGACCGAGTACAGTGTTTCGTGATGAGTTTTCCTTTTATACTAGTTTTGATGCGATAAAACTGCGAAATTACGAGGTACGCGGCTTCACACGCGAATTAATGGAAGTTGCACGTTTTACATATTTTGCGTGCATTACAACTTGACCATTTAACGAGGATGTAAAACGGTACTTTTACTTTGATGAGTACACGTGACACAATTTTGTCAATTATAAAATAATCGTTTCATGAAATCAATTGTAATAAAAAAAGATTTGAATATTTCGTTAAAAATGCGATTAGATATTAGATCATAATAACAAGACAATCTGGAGTCATTTCACAAATTAAATCAATGTAGCAGTTAGTGAAAATAAACAAGAACATAAGGTTACACGCGTTATCAGCATCCAAATAAAAACAAAGCGTAAGAACTTATACATTTCTAGGACGCACTGTCACAAAATAAATCCAGCTTAACGTGTTCATTAAAATATAATCAAATCAACCATATAAAAAACAAATTCATTTAAACTTATCAAACAAATAAGAAAAAAAACAGTAAATAAATAGCAGGTTATTGGATTGAGCCAAAGGCACTAACGAGGAAATAGAATACATGCTATATTTCTATAGTGTATGTTAACGAAAGTATGGGAGAGAGAGAAGTAGGTCGAACAAAAAGCTATGGGCAAGTACATAGCTATTATTAGCATACCGAAAACGCAGAGGAAATATTTCATGCGGAATTCGAGGATGAGCTTTTTGTAAGCACGTAGCTATCTGATTGATTATATGAAAGCCTTCTTTTTGTTTCCACGTTCGTATTGAAATTGCGCGTGACGTTTGACGATTTTTCACTTCGTTAATAACTTGTTTTTATAAACCGTATACGTGAAATACATATACTTGAACTATATTCATTATTTTGTAGAGATATCGAAAAAAAATAAAATAATAAACTGGCATGAAAACAAAATTCCTCCTCAAGATATCAACCGAACATCAATGTTTGGAATCATTAATTAATTTAAAAATTCGTGCACAGAAATCTATACATATTGAAGAATTCTTCATTAACATCCCCGTTTAACGACAACGCAAAATAAAACTTCACTGACAATGTATTTTTGTTCACTTATAACATACATGCGTGTTTATGATAAACATAAATTTTAACTTGTGTTGACACAAACAAAATTATTTTTTAATTACATTATTTTTAATTAGTCAAAATTAAAATCTACCGATCACAATACATCACAAATAAAATTAAAAGGAATATTGATTTTATTTTTATCGATATGTGAGCGTAAAATTCAATTAAAAGTTTAGAAAATTTTTATTTTTTAATCGGTTCTCTTTGATTTTTGATATAACGATTAATTTGAGCGCAAAGCGTATAGATTATTTTTGAAAGCCGCAATATTTATCTATTGGTCCTCATTAATTATATTACCAATTCTAATGAATTTTAATTCATTTTTATCAGGTGTTAAAATTTTGGATGTTCAGAAATGAGAAAATTCTATAGGAGAAACTAAACAAGTGCAGCATGCAATTGTATAACCCTCTTCCCTTATCGCATTATGCATGCGTTTCCCGGCTGAGTACGTGTAACTGTTGGTTTCATAGCGCGATCAAGAGAAACAGATGGAGTAGGAGTAGTCTTACTCCAAGAGATACGCCTGCACATATTCCTTTAAAATAGTGTTTGACACTTACTCACACAAAATTATAGTGCGCGATTCTAAAACTTGGAATTTTCTTTCTTTAAGCACGGACGCTCAACTTTTTCCTTGTAAAAAAAAGAGGTTCTCGTTTCATTTTTGTGTTCTTCCTAGCATAAAATAAAAGTGTTTTTCAAATAAAGATAAAAGTAAAAATATGGCCCGCCGTCGCATCAGAAACTGGCTAAACTTGCTCGTAATGGTAAGCCAGAGATAACGATAAGAATTGTATTCATTGTATTCATGAAATTCTTTTAGTGTATTTGTATTGAACGTTGTTAATTTAATGTATATTGATCCAACACTATCGTAAATTACGCTATATATAAGCGATACAATCTTTTTCACCTGAAATCTGTCGGTTGCCTGTGCCTATGGCAGTCTGTGGCTTATAAGTGCTCTTCACATACCGTCAACACTAAGCAAGTGTTAGCCTTTAGGATATTTGCAAGGAGATCAATGTATCCAAAAGAAGAAACTGAAGTTAGGAAAAACTAACAGCAATCAAGTTAAGGTAAGTGCTACGTCGTCTTCGTTCTTCACGATCAATGAAACGTTTTGCAAATTCATTTAATCCCTTATTTTACTGCATTTTAGTAGTTCACGCCTTTTTTATAATTCCCATCGTTAAATAGAACTTTGAGTTTCCTTTTTAATAATGACGCATCATTCAATTGAAGTGTCTTATCCAATTTGAGACATCGAATAGAAAGACTTACATGGGATACGTTTAGAAGCTGTGAGAGGGGCTATGAAATAAAGAAACCGATCGCGTGAACCAACATTTGTCTCGGCTAGCGAAGATGTGAGGAGAAATGAGTACCGGAGAGAGAAAGAGAGCGAGCGTGTACGTGCGAGAGGGACCGAGGAAATTTTCCGGTTTCCGTTGGCCAAGCCGCAAATTTTCCGGGCGCGCTTGAATTTTAGTAATATTGCTACCTTTGCGAAACATTTGCTCGCAGAATTCCAACTCTATCTCTCTGATCGATGCGTGTTTATACCCCCCGCGTTTCAAGATGATAATATTCAACTTATTCTCAAAGAAAATTGATTCATTTAGTTAATACTTCAACAATAATTTGTTGTCATAAGAACGCTAATGTAATAATACAATAAGAAAACGTACAATTATTTTTCAGAACAAGAGAGTAGAGCAAAAAAAGAGCGAAGTTGAAAGGAATCTTTTGAGGTTAGTAAATCTATTTATTCGTTAAGTACATGTACCCTTTTATTCGACAACAAGTGTTATTAACAGTTGCAGATATTTATGCGATATAGGAAATTGAATAGTCTTTCAGAAATGGAGAAGATGTCTATAACAAAAATTACATTTATAATATTTACCATTCTATTCTGTATCTCTGAATGTTATTCATCAAATTGCAATACACTTGATAAACAAATACATGATTATGTGGCAAAACTAGAGCCTTTTTACGAAAAAATAAAGTCACATCAGACATTGTCCGCTAATGAAGCAAAAGTTGCAATTGAAATAGTGAAAAATTACTATAATTATCTGGTTGATCACAACATAGTTTACGCAAAACTCGCAAGGGATGTAGTAAATAATCATGGACTATTTGGAATAACAGCAAATGTTCACCTTGAATACACAGCCAAAGCCGAAGGACATGCCAATGACATAAAGAAGCTTCGGATTAATATACCGGTATCTTTGGCTTATAAGGATGCAAAATTGAGATCAGAATGTAAAGTTGTATCGTACAGAGCAATAGCAGATTATCATTACGAAACGTTTCAGCAGCAAGGTTTATCTAAATATGCTTGGGGGGGAACTTTATTAGAAGAATTTGCAGGCAGCGGCTCTTATATGCGCCTTGGTGGATACGACAAGACGATTCCTTTTTCACCAATCAAATTGACACAGGCAATCGCAACCAATAAAGAGGCAAATGGCGTCAAGGCTCGAGTGGCTCTCAATTCACTTAAACATCTTCTTTTAGTGGATTCAGGAAAAATATTACGTACTACTGTTTGTGAAAACTGGCCAGTTTTGTGCAATCCAGAAACCTTATAAACCGAGAAAAGCTATTTTTTGTCTTTAACCGGGAATATCAAACTTTGGAGGATGTAATAAGCAAATACTAGTATACACACAATAAAAATCCTAAAATATGAGCATAAGAATAATCAAATACAAAAATTACATCATTTTAAGCAAAGATATTCTGACGTAAGGTTGGATTTCCTCGGTATTTAAATCAAAAATTACTGTATTTACAAAAAATGCCATTTTGGAATTGTTGTCTTTGAAATAACATGTTGAAACATCTTATTTTTTTGCGAAATAGCAGTACCTCTCGTTATACCATTAGTTTGAAGAAATAAGTATTGGAACTTGTATGCTGATAAAAAAAATAACCTTTTCGACAATACATAATAACTCATGTAATTTATTGTAAAAATTAGATAAATTTTAGTAGTGTTATACCGTTATTGCAGGATTATATAAACATACAATAGAATAAAACGTAAATTAAAAAAAAAATTGTTATAACTTTAATTTTTTTTCTCCTCCTTTTAAAATCATAACCAAGAAATGCTTGATCGTAAAGAGTATTTGGATTATAAATATAAAGAGTACAAAGGCCAAAGCCGTAGCCCAAGCCATATTTGGCTTTCATTTGTGAATCGTTGCACAAACAAACTTCAGTCAGCAGTCGTGCGGAATGAGAAAGAATGAAAAGGGATGAAACGGATATCAGCGAAAGAAAAAAACCTTTATGAAGACTGATGTTTTCAATGGAAAATAGGAGTGCGTCTCGATTATCGGCTGCCTACTGCCGAGAATCTTTGGCCAAGTCGTTAATTGTCGTTTGGCGGGATACGCCAACAATTTAGCGGGATTAGCTGGTGATACGTTAGCGATTGCTTTCTTCTTTTCTTATTTTGTTTTTCTTTGATTTCGAACTGTTGTTTTGTCGAAGTTTCATTCGTTGAAACCATTCATTATTTATCTTGAAGTAATTAAAAAAGCGAAGTTGTGAACATCTAATAATTGTAAATGTGAAATTAAATCGTTTTCTTTTCTTTAAGCCCATAATTTTTTATATAATCCCAAGGATACCAATTTGAAAACAAATAATCTTATAGTATTTAATGGAATAGTAAAACATGTTTAACGATCATTTGTATATATTTTTAAGAACTGTTTTCTTATTCTATTGTGATTATGTCACTGAAAACAAGGACAGAGATAAATTTTTAGAAGTGATATTGATTTTTAGTAAAAGGCAAACAAGTAAGTTGAAGTCAAGCACCGAATGCTCATTTAACGAACCTTTGCTAAATAATCTGATATTAATTTAATTTCAAGCAAGGGGCAACGAATAAAAAAACTATCGTTGAAATGAGTTTACAGCTATCGACAAGCAAATTGACAAGCGGAAAGGTATCAAAATTCTTGTAGATAGATATCAGTTATGTAATTAGTACATTACGATACAAGTGCGGGAAAGTAGATTCTTGCCACGTGTGGCGTTTACGCCCGAGCGAAGCGATCTTTCAACGCACGTTTTCTGCCGAGCGTGCGGGAAAGACGCACTTTGCACACGGAGTATCGAAAATAATTATGAAGTAATGCAAGTGACGCTAAACTATGTGTTTGTTTCGAAATCAATCCATCACATAAAAAAATCGTTAACTTTATTGTTTAAAAAAAGAACGAGTTACTTGATCAAATGTTTTTTGGATTTCAAAATAAAAGTGTTATTCTGAACAATTTTGAATTATTAAGAAAGCTCGATTCCAAGGTAATCATCATAGAAACCTCCATAAATCCTCCCAAGTAGCCATTTAACTTCTTGACTTCTTATCTCGCAGCCTCCATCGTCGATTCTCAAGTGAGTTTGAGCACCGAATTAAGAATTCCCTGTTTGCACGAGGGGTCTGATAGTCCGAGAAGCGATTAAAAGGTATTTTAATGGGGCCACGCTTACAAGGACTTGAAAAATCCCCCGCCAACATCCTTTACGAGGAAATCGTTTACGTGGCCACCGGGGGACACGACTCCCTCTCGCGGGAAAGTAGAACTATTCGCACTTTCATTGAATTGTTTATATGTGCTCGTATCTTACGTACGCGAATTCCAAAGAAGATAACTTTTCGCTCGATTTTCGATTGACTCGATTTGACGAAGACTCGATTTTCCTTTGAAAATCGAATGGTATAAAAAAAATTGTCAATAATGAATTGTTTAACGACGAAATATTCTTTGGAAAAATTAAATGTCAATATCAATGGCAAGTTTGTTTTGTAAAGGAATTAAAAGTGGATTTCACAAATATTATTTTACCGGGTGATTCATAAAAGTATAAAAATTAGCGAGGTTGGGTAAACAAGTTGTTGCAAAATATTCTGAAAACGTGCTTTTTCGGAATTGTAAAATCATGAACAAGGTATATATGTCATTACGATTTTCGGAGTTGAAGGAAATAATAGTTACTACACGCACGTGTATTTGAAAGCCTTGATATTCCAGAAAATGTCCTATTCTTCCCGGAATACATCTACGGTAAGTACAGGACAATGTTTACCCGGCGACAACGTAACCCCGCTGTTCAATACAGCAGGAACAATTGGTGAGTTACAAGACGAGATTACGCCCAAGTTCCGCACAATTGTACAATTAAGCAAAACGATTGCGTGAATGACTTCTTACGTACGCCAAGTTTGTAGCTATTTCAGAAGAAATTATTGCAAAGCTTGAAGTTTTCCGCAGACAAATTGCACGCGTTATCCAAACGTCATAATGGAAAATATGCATCGAGTATTTATTCGACGAATATCAAATGGCACACAAAAAACTATGTAAAAGTGCAGTCATAAATCTCCCGAGCGCGTGCTAGTCAAGAGTGGAATAATACGACATTCCATGTTGATACAACGCTACGAGCGTAACGTGAAATTGATCGACTAACCCTCGGTTTGTTTTTATATACCCCCGAGATGGTTGAACCTTGCTCTACGGTCAATTGCGAGCTCGAGCCAAGCGCTTTTCTGTTCTTCTCCTTCTTGGAAAATGGGACATTCATGTGTACGAGTGGGCGGAACGGAGAAACAATCTTGTTGACAACTAAATTATAATATGTATATTCGCGCATTTAAACGTTTCAGTGATTTACAGGCGTAGTAGATCAGAATGTAATATATTCAACAAAAACGCGCTTTTGATATCGATACATTTGGCAGATTAACATAATGCTAGATAAACGTTTATATTGATTGAAACCAAATGAAATATCCAGCTACGTAAAATTATTGAAATTCATCGCTTATTTTAATCAACTGGTCTTTCACAAAAAACTTTCTGCTGTAATTAATAGCAGGTTTCCAATGATTACGCGAGATCAAATTGAAATGTACATATAAATTTGTGTAACACACGATTGATGTACAAAAGAAAAATATTGAAATTGGAATATAGCTGCAGTACATCACGAAGATTAATGCATTGTTGCACTGATCTGCAATGCGCAAGCGCCGCTTTACATTTCATGGTCGGATGAAAGTTTTAATGCCAGTTTCTATGCATTACATAATAGAAAACTAAAAGCAACATCAAACATACAAATAGAAATAAAAATATTAGAACGCCACTCACCACTGAACATCGGCATTGTAAGTTCAGGATGTAGCTGTGCCAGTTGCCTCGACAAGTATTTCTGGTTGCGACAGTATGTGGTCGTTAAAAGGACATCGAGTGTGCCAGCTCTGATTGACTGTTGCTGTTGTTGATGTTGTTGCTGCTGTTGCTGTTGCTGCTGTGTTGTCGCGTGTCCACCTGCAGCTGTTACTATCACGCTTGTGATTGTCGTCGATGTTGTTGCTGATACCACAGCCACACTTGCCGTTGTCGTCGAATCATCATGAACTGCGAAAAAAAGAAAGGATCGATATATCTCTAAAAAAAATATAAGAAATTTCATTAATAAGTTCACTCGGCAAATATAATTTAATCGATAATACATGAAATAGCAAAGAAAGATTAATCGAGGATATTCCCCCAGGCTTCACAAATCGAAAATCTCAAACAAAGCATTACAACATTTTTCTAACTTTTTGGTTAAATGCCCAGAAGTAATCATTTATTTCGAATACTATTTGCGTGTTTTCACGCTTTCAGGTGAATCTTCATTTTGCTTTAGTCTTTAAATCCCGTAAACTGTTAATCCACTGCTGAGACGATACTTTGTCTTTTCATCGTGAAAAAAGCGACGACAGTCGTTTCGCTCTTCCGTTGTCGACGCCGTCACTAAGTATCTAACATTGATTAACGGGTTATCCATGAAACTTTTCTCTCTCTCTTTCTACCCCCCCCCCCCTCCTTTTTTCGCGACTATAAAGCCACATTCACTTTCGTTTCAATTTTCTATTGAAATAGTGATTACAGAAATAATCGCAATTAACACAGCTATTGATTTTCATACTTTGTTGAATTACTAACGACCTAAATTTTTGTTAATTTTATCACGATTGAATAATAACATTCCATCGTAAGCAAGTTAAGCCCGGCGATCGCACAATGAAAACAGAAGTAGTAAAAAGCCATATGCTATTTTCGTACATCGTCGATGTTTTGAGAGGCAATATTTTAACAACCCGCTATGTACTACCTATAGGATCGTGACGCGTACAAGTGGGGCTCGTTTCATCTTATCGATTTTACACTTTCAGCTGGGCTCTTGCGAGTTCTAAGTCTCTCTCTTGACTCAATGAACTTTTGTAATCAAGTTTTCCTTGGGTTCCGACAGCACAGACACCGGAAGATTGTCGAGTCTTCTCTTGAAAGCTCGTGATGGAATGTTCAGATTTTATCTATTCTATTCGAAGCAAGTACACGTTCCGCCTTTCGAGTAATGGCTTGGATTATCTAGAGGAGATTTTATGAGATTTTTAATGTATTCAAGATTCTTTGATATGAGTTTTGTTTGAAATTTGAATTTTTACTTTGATTTAAAAGATGACTTTTATTTACTTTGGAATGTTTGATTAGTGAAGTTAATCAAATGAAGTTCTTCAGTATTCAAAGTTATTTGCAAAAGTACGATTCATTATATTATACGTAATAATTTAATGATACTGCGTAACTTAGTTGTTTATTTGTTTGCATAACTCCATTGCATAATTTCATTGTTAGAATGTCAAAAAAATTCATATCGAACATTTCCAAGAAAAAAGATACTACAAAAACACACCAGTATAAAGTCCAAATACAATTACCACCAAACTGAAGAATCATCGATTTGCTGTAAAAGCTACAGACAAATTCAGTTCTTACTGCGTAGCTCTGTTCTAAACGACGTCGACCTAAATACTCGCTTAAGAGACAGAATACGAGGTAAGCGAAATTCGGAAGTCGCTTTAACAAGATAACTATAACACACAGTCGGATATCAATTAATCGAACCGGACTAATGAAGACATGTTTGTTTTGCTCCTTAATGAATTTGATTGATTCGCGTATATGTGCGTCTTTTATTTTATTACCCCTGTCATTCTTATAATATACTTTTGGCGTTCGATAGTTCACTTTCTTTTTATCAATGACGAACGTACACTCTGGCATTTATGTTATTTAATTTTTTAACGAATGATTTGTTCTATCGACAAAAGGCAATTTTTTCTTTTAACGAAAGTAAAATTTTATTCAACTGGTAGCGTGAATTGTAGATAAATTAAGGTAATTGTTATGAAGAAAGGAAATCTCTTGAATTCATTTTGAGTCATCCAAATAACAATTTATAATGTAAACTTTATCAAATTTTACTATGTTGTTATAGTAAATTTTACTACGATTCAGAAGTAGATGAAAAAATTGTCTAAACTCCTATATTATTAAAATTCTTTTGCTCCATCTTAGCTATACGTACATGTTATACATTTAGTCAGTTACTAACTGATTATTTGATTTCCCCGAAGTTTAATACTGAAGTTTTATTTTGCTTGCATGACCTTACATACTTCCTGCTGGTATCAATACACTTATATCCATAATAACTTTTATCATAACCGAAGTATGTCCCTACTTTGTAATATTTTACAGTAAATTTTCCTAGACTTTTAGTAAATTTTAAAAGGCCATTTCACTCAGTGTGCGAGCTTCCACTAGATGAAAATGTATTTTATTGATTTCTGTCTATAAGCCTACAAGAGTGAACTAACATTGACCTGTCATATGTCAAATCAACAAGATATGATACCTTTACTTTGTGTGGATAATTTTTCAAAATATGTAGGCTTGGAATTGATAAACAAAAATCTTCAAAATATGTCATCACATTTTAGATGAATATATCTGTTACCGAACCAATTTATTGTTTATTGTAATAATTGTAAGTTGCGGTTCATTGTCATTTTGTTAATAATTTTATAAACTTCAAGTTGAAATTGTACTTAAAGAAATTAAGGATCAAATATTAATAAAATTTATTCGCGAGTGTCGCCAAGCATGAACGAGGAGGTTTTTGATGTGGGTAAAACATGTACAATAATCGAGTGAGGTGGTGATTATTGGTACTGAATTTTCTAATTTATTGATCGATGATTAAATGATAAATAGATACCGCGTGAAAAGACCATGATTGTTATTTCTTTTCAACGACGGATAGCCGAGTAACGCTCGCGATGTTTAATCCCTATGATGAGTCTGCGCTCCTTAAGTATTACTTCAGACGTTTTCTGTTTCTCGATTAATGTAGTTGATTTTTCAACTAAATAAATATAATTGACGAATTTTTTATTTTATTTCATATGTATCGATAACAATATTAATCCATCAAATTCTCTTTTTCGCTCATCGATGATTGACGCGATCGAATTAAAATTAGCACTTCAAAATAAGTATCATTATATTATACGTAATAATTTAAAATATATTATACGTAATAATTTAGAATTTACATCACTTCACATTTCCAATAAATTTTCCAAAGACCAATGTAATTGCAAACCGTATAATTTTAATTTCAAGCTTATAACTACTTTCAGAAGCGTTTTTAAATTTTTTTGTATTATAATATTAAAATATGAATGATCGTAATTCATCGATGGTAATTTATTACAGTGATAGATTTCTTCAGATAATAAGTTTTGTTTATTCTATATTTTCACGAAAGACGTTTTATGCGAAATAAAGATAAATAGAATAATGATAAATCAGACGTGATCTGTTTTAGGAATTATATGTGACTGTTCATAATTTTAATAGACACTAAGGTTACGTAATTTGATTTGAAATAGGAAATAGAAGAATGGTGTTAAAATTGAAATTGTGTTAGTTTTCTAAATTAACTTGATGTAACATAAATTATTAGATTGAATGATACATATCACGTTTCTATAATACAAATAAAGTTAAATACTACTTCAAAGTAACATCTTGTAGAATATGTAACCGATTGAATCTCATAAAAAATATTGAAATACTTTCCTAAGTTCTTAAGTTGTTAGGTTGTAAAGTTTCGTACTTTGAAACATTTTTTATGATATACATCTCAACATTTTTAAAACAAAATTGAGATAAAAAACAAATAACAAGCAATTGCTGCATTCCAGATTATTCGCAAGTAATCTTTTTTCAACAGCTTTGAAAATTTATCGCCTACGCAGATTTTTGCCCCCTCTGCGCACGCGAAACAGTAGCAGATGTGAACACTCGACGCCACTAATGGAAGCAGTTCAAACTCGAGAGATAAAAAAAATAAATTTTGCCTTTGTGTTTAATAATTGTACTGACAAAAAGAAAACGGAATATATGGTTCACATTTGAAAAATTGTGCACAGGTGTGAGTGGCACAATATATTTCTTACAGCAAGAGTAATTTTAGGCCTTATTATATTATTTGTTATTTCTTGTTTGCATTGAATTTCATTTTAAGATAAAGAAATTTTTTTGGCCGTGATGTTAACTTTTTATATTGTCTCTTAATGTCCAAACGTTCTATAAAAAGTTTTAGAAGTATCTTAAAATTTTACTTGTAAACAGTAATACTAACTTGCAGTATTGAAACTCAAATAGCGTTATGCATTTATGGAACCCCAACAAACGTGCGCTTGCACCGAGAATTGGAATTGAATCGATCGAATGTATTATATCACGTTACAAACCGTATCGCACATTGTCTTTATCTCGTATCATAAACGTAAATCAAGTTATAAAGCGTTAATTTCTCCAAGTGAACTCGTTCGCATCTAGTTGGCATTCCCATCCGCTTCTGAAATTGAGCCAAATTAATTCGAGTAGCCGTTCAAGTAGTCGGAGTTAATAGCGACTTCCTCAACTTTATACGTAGCCGACACTCAAAACTATGCGTAAACCGAAACGACGAGCGAGAGAAAGAGAGAGACGGATCTCTCTCATGTGAGATTATATGCACAAGCATTTAGAGTAAACGCTGTTTTCAAAACTCGTTTTATCTATAATGCTTTCAAATCACAAAACATAAAACAGATTTCCCTTTTTAATTTCCACTTTAACAACAACTGAATACTGAATATATCTAAAGTTCTCTTTTCTTGTTTTCACACATATTAATCTATGATTTTTTTTTAAGAGATAACAAAATTTACAATACGCATTTCAGTAGTTCGGATCGTGTTTTACTTCTTTAAATAGAAATCTGCTTTTTTTTTATTATTATTTGGCAAATATTAAGATGATCCAATTTTTCACAGTTGGAATCTAAGAATAGCATTACAGCTAAACGCTAGGTTGCTTTACGAAATCTTTTATGTCAAAAGTTCAGAATTGTATGCTTTTGTGTGATTTTGTAATCCATCGATAATCTTTTTATAAATAATTAAACTCAGTAAAAAATCATTGAATACCATAGACAGCCATTATTAAAGCATGTCAGAATACATTTTACAAAGGCTGGGAAGAATATTTTTTGTATTTTCCATTGTTTGTTGACAAATACAAGAAAGTGTTGGACTCAATACATCGATACGTTCCAATGAAAAAAAAAACCAATATGTTAGGCAAACATTGATTTAGTCAAAATAATGAATATTATTATAGGTATAATTCATAAACTTTTTCTTCAGAATTTTTAAGAAATATTTAAGCTATTACAGAGGATAATATACAACTATTACAGAGGATACATTAGCGTTTACGAATCGCTCGAACAATTCGCATCTCTAATTCAATCTACCACTGTGGTAATGCAATTGCAATTTAATACCAACATCCATTAACGAATATTCTAACGTCTGAACATAATATTATGCTTCAATTAAATTGATCTCTTAAATGAAATGCTAACGTAATATACGTAAGAATAACGCTAGTCCAGGCAACAGAGACAAAAAAGGCCTGTTTCAGACAAAAATTCCGGGATGGGTTTTCTCAACGGAAATCGCTTCAGTACAATGTAAATAGGAACTCTTGATAAAATGCAACTCCTAATTTATTATCAGATTTTTTTTATGAGCGCTCAAAGTTGACGAAATATGGTTTTTTCAATCTGTAAGCCACGGTATGCATTTTAGCTGAAAAAGTTTCGTATAAAAGTTGTAGGCAATAGCAAAAGCTACAATTTGAGCTGTCGTGCAATTTTTTTCGTTTGTTAGTTATTGAAAAAAGCCCCAAAAACCCTTAAAAATGGCCATTTTTACTATATCGAATATTTATTGCAAAAAGAACTTTTTTTAATGTTTATGACTCTTAAAAGAAAGGTCTTGTGATTCTAAAAAAAATGAATCGTCGCACGACTATTTATTTTTATTAGTTACTGATATATTCTAATTAGTTAATTAAGAGACGCCCAAAGTACGGGACTGTAAATTTTTTTTAGCCGAAGATATCGAGTTATAAAACAACTCAATCTCTTTGTCAAAACGTCAATTTTAATAAATGATTGGGAACGAATCAAAAAATTAATTTGCAACCCCTAAATTTTGACTTTAAAAAAGAGCGCCTTTTTTCTTTTATAAACAATTAGAATTGCGGCTTCCCTATGCATTATAGAGATTTCTTTTTTAGAAATTCTGAGATCAAGGTGCATATTTTGAAAAAAAAAAATTGTTTTTCGACCAATAGGAGCCGAGATAATTTTTTTTTGTTTAAATCGCCATTGTTGTAATAATGAAAATTAACAAATCGGTCCAAGGGCATTCGATCGTTATTAAGTTATATTTTCTCATTACGATACAAGGCTTTACATATTTTGGCTTTTTAACAATTAAAATGACGTTTCATTTCCAGCACGAGAAAAGCCAAAGGCCGGAGGCGGTGGTGGGGGGCCTCCCTCGCGCGCTTGGAAATACTGAAAATCCGCGTTCAAATCGACGCGCTTCGCAAAAATCAGGCTTATCTCGCGAACTATTGCATCAAATTCGATCATTTTTTTTTTAATTTGAGGTAGCTTCAAAATTTATTGAGATTGATGTAGTTGTAATTACTATATTTAGTGCCAATCGTTTATTATTAACTTAATTGAATTCATACATATCAGTGTATGTATAAATTCCAATTAATTATTACTTGCTATCCGTAAATATGGATAAGGATAAATAATAATCAATATATTTTCAATTATTAATAACAATATTTTAATTTATATGCATACGTAGGCTATAGTTTACATGATTACTTATTTTCTAATCGTACCTAGTTCTTTTCGGCGCAGACTCATTTATTTCGTTTTCATTGCATTCTTCATTTAACATTACTTCTACAAGACTACTTAAATTATACTCTTCGTTGTCAATATCTTTTACGTTCGTACAGCAAAATACACACAAGCGAGAACATTTGAGGCCATGTTTGCTGCACAGCCTTTTTGGAATATATATATATATATATATATGTGTGTGTGTGTGTGTGTGTGTGTGCTTATTTGCAAATACAATCGTGGCTTGGTAATGATTTGAATCGTTTGAAGTATGGGTGGCATAAAGTCGAAAATACTTTGGAACCCACTCATTCTTCAGAGCCAATGATACCTCCCGAAGTATCAGAAAAAATATCTTGTAAATGCCAAACAGGCTGTAAAGCTGCGTGCAGCTGCTGCAAACATGGCCTCAAATGTTGTCGCTTGTGTGGATTTTGCTACGGGGATAATTGTACGAACATAGAAGAAATACATGAATATGATAATATTGATAACGAAGAGTATAATTTAAGTAGTCTTGTAGAAGTAATATTAAATGAAGAATGCAATGAAAACGAAATAAATGAGTCTGCGCCGAAAAGAACTAGGTACAATTAGAAAATAAGAAATCATGTAAACTATAGCCTACGTATGCATATAAATTAAAATATTGTTATTAATAATTGAAAATATATTGATTATTATTTATCCTTATCCATATTTACGGATAGCAAGTAATAATTAATTGGAATTTATACATACACTGATATGTATGAATTCAATTAAGTTAATAATAAACGATTGGCACTAAATATAGTAATTATAACTACACCAATCTCAATAAATTTTGAAGCTACCCCAAATTAAAAAAAAAATGATCGAATTTGATGCAATAGTTCGCGAGATAAGCCTGATTTTTGCGAAGCGCGTCGATTTGAACGCGGACTTTCAGTATTCCCAAGCGCGCGAGGGAAGCCCCCCACCACCGCCTCCGGCCTTTGGCTTTTCTCATGCTGGAAATGAAACGTCATTTTAATTGTTAAAAAGCCAAAATATGTAAAGCCTTGTATCGTAATGAGAAAATATAACTTAATAACGATCGAATACCCTTGGACCGATTTGTTAATTTTCATTATTACAACAATGGCGATTTAAACAAAAAAAAAAAATTATCTCGGCTCCTATTGGTCGAAAAACAATTTTTTTTTTTCAAAATATGCACCTTGATCTCAGAATTTCTAAAAAAGAAATCTCTATAATGCATAGGGAAGCCGCAATTCTAATTGTTTATAAAAGAAAAAAGGCGCTCTTTTTTAAAGTCAAAATTTAGGGGTTGCAAATTAATTTTTTGATTCGTTCCCAATCATTTATTAAAATTGACGTTTTGACAAAGAGATTGAGTTGTTTTACAACTCGATATCTTCGGCCAAAAAAAATTTACAGACCCGTAGTTTGGACGTCTCTTAATTAACTAATTAGAATATATCAGTAACTAATAAAAATAAATAGTCGTACGACGATTCATTTTTTTACAATCACAAGAGCTTTCTTTTAAGAGTCATAAACATTAAAAAAAGTTCTTTTTGCAATAAATATTCGATATAGTAAAAATGGCCATTTTTAAGGGTTTTTGGGGCTTTTTTCAATAACTAACAAACGAAAAAAATTGCACGACAGCTCAAATTGTAGCTTTTGCTATTGCCTACAACTTTTATGCGAAACTTTTTCAGCTAAAATGCATACCGTGGCTTGCAGATTGAAAAAACCATATTTCGTCAACTTTGAGCGCTCATAAAAAAAATCTGATAATAAATTAGGAGTTGTATTTTATCAAGAGTTCCTATTTACATTGTACTGAAGCGATTTCCGTTGAGAAAACCCCCGGAATTTTTGTCTGAAAATTTCTCTGTTGCCTGGACTACGCGGTTTATATAAACGTCCGTTATTTGCACGATGGTGGTTCCCAAAAGTTCCCGAAGCAGTAAAAATTGCTATGTACATAGTAAAATTTATCGAGCTAATCTTTTGCATTCTGTTTACAGTGGTGATTACTATGGATTCTAGCAAAATTTACTGCGTTAGATAATAAAACTTGCAACATTCATATTTTACTAGGTTAGATAGCAGTTTTATTATAGTCAAAGTATATCCTACTATGACTATGAATTGCAGTATTTTTATGACAAATTTTGTAATATCTATTTTCTCGGCGACGAAAAACCTGATACATCAAACAAACGCAACACCCGCCCGCCGCCCCGTATAACTCTGCTTATAAAAAAAACTCAGGCCGGAAGAAAACGAGGCGGAATGCCAAACCGCAAGCTCTATGAGACTTTAAGCTTGGCACGTAAAAAAGAGGAGGGAGCGTGTTGGCGGGGGCGAGAGAGCGAGCGATGAATGCAGCATATCGAGGCGCCAGCGTCGAAGCTCGCCGGCAAAGCGCTTAGCGCCTCCTGCGCGAACGGACGTGTTGGTGTGTTGCTGGTGCTCATCTAAAGAAAAGCTTGTTTGTTTTTCTTTTCAGTGCGTCGGAAATTTATCGGCTGCATTAAAACGCTTTTTGTTTCTTGGTGGGTTAGATTGGAACGCACCGACAGATTAATTGTTTGCGATAACGATAGCCTCGCTTTCGATGTACGACAAGCGCGGATTATGACTGAATACTGGAGCTCGAACTATGCATCGAAGCGAGTGATTTGATTTGATGGACAAAGCTTGAAATTAATTGAGCGGATCTTAGTATAAAATGAAGTTCAAAGTACCGCGGCTGCATGAGCGGCGACGCAACAAAAGATAGAAGAAACGATTGCAATTTTGTCGCAGAAGAAAAGAAACGAATACACGGAAAAAATGAGCGAGTTGCATTACTCGATCGCCTGGCAGGTGATCACCTTTCTAGAAATCTACTACCTGCCGGTATTAGTGGTACTTGGCTCGCTTGGCAATTGTTTATCGGTGTACGTGGTGTTCGCCAGCAAAATGCGCCGAACGTCGTCGAGCTTTTATCTGGCCGCACTGGCTGTCAGCGACACTGGCTTTCTGGCATCAATTTTCGTCGCTTGGCTTGGACTATCTTGGACGAATGTGCAGATTATGAATAAACAGGGATTCTGCCAGTTTTTCGTCTACCTGACCAATGTCTGCAGCTTTCTTAGTGCTTGGTGCGTGAATTGAGATTTTAGTTTTGTGCTTGCTCTTTTTTTTTTTATAAAGCATTAAACGATAAGAGCAGCTTTGTGGAACTTTGATTGATCGATATTGTACACCCGCATCCATAAAGAAAAGAAATACGATACATCTCGATTGGATTGTAAAAACTTCCTAACGATGCTGCCCTATTATGTCCACGTACCTTGCGGTCTAAAAAAGTTATCAGCGAGCGAAACACGTTAGCCGCCTAAAGTTAATATATAGCATCGACGGTTGCGCTATTAATCTCACGACAACCTACAACGTGATCGAAACTAATGGCTGTCTTTTATCAAAACATCCGAGAGCTCATCAATTTCAGATTAATATTGTGAAATATCTAAAAAAAATTTAGATAACAACCAATGTATTTACGATAATTATTATCGTCCTTGTTTTTTAATTATATTTTTGCATGTTCGGTAATTATGGCTTTTACCGGATGACGATAAATGAATTTTTTAAATATTATTCAGTAATATTATCTGATTTATCAACAAAATAATAAAAAAAAAGAACACGTGTAAAAAATGAAATATTTAGTTTTGCGTGTTTTTAATAAAAGCATTGCTATTGAAGTTTGCTTTGAAATAAAATGGTCTAGTAGCAAATATATATATTGTTTAATAACAATGTAATCAAAAAAATCAAAAGTTGATTACTATTAGAACAATAGCTATGTAAAAAATACGCAAAAAAATAAACAAATAACACTATGTAAAGCTAGTGGTGAAACCGACGTAGTAAGAGAGACAAAACAGCGTGTATGCATAAATCTTATATTTGTGGCAAGGGCGATTCCGAAACCGCGCGGGTAATCCCGCAACGTGTTCAACTTTTTCACAAAAGCAAAAAGCTTTTTTTCACATTTATCTCTCGCGAGCATTTGAAACGCGCGCTTGAATGCGAAAAAGATAAAAGGATGATAATGAGTTTTTTATTCTTGCGATTGGAACGGGGAGTGTATAGCAAGCTCACGATGCTTTTTCTTGCATTCGCGCGTACAACATACGAGGGCGGCCTGCGCGATTGTGCGAAATAAAAGAATCATAATGAAGGTGAAATCATCTTGAAATACTATATTTACTATTTTACTGTGAACTCTACTAAATGTGCATGAGCACTAGAGCCACATGGATTTACATTTGCATTCACAGTGACGTTGAAACTAAACTTTGATATTATATTCCCTTGAATGTAAGTTCACTCACAAAAACTAGAACAACACAAAGCTTGAATTTTTCAATCTAACACTATAAAATCATTGATAAGTAATGCGGCAACTAATTATGCGACTTATAATGCGTTTGGTGAAAGGACTACATGCCCCGTTTGCCCGTGCACCACATTAAGCCGCGCGAGCGTACTATTAATCATTTCAGTGGAGAACAATTGCAGCTCTGCGTGCGTGTATCAGCAATGAAACACGAGCTACTTGGAGAATCAGTTATCCACAATTCATCGTGTTAATAAAGATGAACTTCCGAGGAAGGTCGTTGCGAACGTATGGTGCTTTGTTGTCGCGGACGTTCATTTTCTCTATGAGCAATTTTTTTATTCAGCACAAGTCAAAACCGCTCGTTAATTGTCGTCGGTGAGAATCACAGATTTTTCTTTCCCCAGTAATTCGATCTTAATCAAACTGTGGCTATACAAGCTATTGCTTTTAACGTTGAATGGACACGCTACAGTCGACTCGTTTACTTTGGATCAGTGTTGCAAGTGTTTCACACAAGCTTCTGCCCATGCCCTGTCATTTCTGATTCTCCGATTTTATTCTAAAGAGACTTTCATTTCGAAAACCACTTTCTTCCTAAAGAAAAGTTTATCGGCGGGAATCTTCATTTTCAAACTCAAAGGCGGCTTTTTCCTAGCAAACTATGACAAACAATGCACTCTTTTCCAAGCTTGCGAATGCAACGAAAGACGAATGAGACAATACAACATCCGCCGTGTTCCTTCGACTGAATATTCCACCACTCGAGCGAGGAAAATAATTGAGCCATAAAAATAATTGGTTACTCTTTCCTGACTGCAGCCGGTCAATTAAGGCGCCGCGGAACACTGCGCGTTATCTTGTATAAAAAAAAGAAAGAAAAAAAGCGAACGCGTATGCGTCATTGCTTTGAAAAAAGTACAAATAGACAAGGCGTGTCCCTACGCCCGAGAGGAGTTTTCTTGTAATTATTGATCAAAAGCGGGATAGTCCAGAGACTGTTATTTTCTCCAGAGCCAGCCGACGCTGTCGCCGCGTCAATATGCTAATATCGCTGTTTTTTATGGCAGCTACTGATCTTACGATAGCGTGGCAATGTGATTTCGCTTCTTATGCAGCTGGAATATTTTTAAATTCACGCGGCAGCGCGAAAAGACTTTTGGCAATTTGATCACTAGGTTATTAATAAGTTCATAATCAATCACGAGTATAGAGCAAACGTACTTTGTTTGCTATATGCGCGCTGCAGGAGCCCATCCTTTCTATCTTCAAAATAAAAGTCTCTATACTTTAACGAACCCGAGATTATGGTTTATGCTCTCTTGAAAAATAGAAACAAATTTCGCATGCTAAAGATATTTTTAATTAAATTCGAAACTCAAAAGAAATTATACATTACACTACGCATGTGCAAGGCAGATAATTTCGGCGCAAGCTAAACGAGTCCGGGAGTCACCTACGTGCACACGAGTATCGTGTACCATATTTCCTCTTAAAATTGCGTAAAATGAGATGGCGATTGAGAATATGGAAGAGTGCTGGGGGCTTGAGGGAAGGAGGAGTATATCCTCAGACAAAAGTAACGTAAATTATAGATCAATAATACAAAAATGTTAAATTATGACGGTTGACCAACAAACAGAATACACACCCACACTATAATTAATTCAAGACCTTTATATTACTAATTGATAGTTGATTTTATTTATGGTAACCCCGCTCCCCCAGCTCCTACACCATCCCGCCACTACAGTCTCAATCATAATATCGAATGGGTAGTCGAGCCATCATCGTTAACACGTGGCTATCTAAAGTGTCGTATTGCAGCTTCGGCTGAAAGTAAACATAACTCTGCTGTACGCTGAAATTTAATGACACTTGATTATTTCGTCACATTGTTCATAAACTAGAGAACAGTACGAGAAGCAGATAGTTTACGCACGGCGATAGAAAAATTAAATTGCCGGCATCGAGATTCTAATTAATTCGACGCATTTTCCATTTCACATTCCGCGTTCTTATCAAACGAACTATGCGCGGTATCGATCAGTTCAATGAGCTCGTTAATTGAAATTGAAAGCACCTATTTGCACGCAAAGGTCAAAGATCAAAAGACACATGCCGGTGAAAAGAGTTTGCTTCCCATTTGATTGAACAATGCAGCGCTCAGCCGAACGAAAAGATCGCTGGCGGCTGACCACGAGCCGACTCGCACTACTTCCTCACTAACTCGCCCGTCGTATTTTTATTGCAGGTTCGTCGTAGCATTCACATTAGAGCGTTTTGTAGCGGTCTGCTACCCACTGCATCGCCAATGGATCTGCACGGTAAATCGCGCAAAACTACTCCTAAGTGGCGTCACGTTCGCCGGTTTAGTGTTGTGTAGTCCGGTGTTAGTGTACTCGGGTCCACGACTAATGGACAATACGACTCGCGAGCAATGTCATATCGAGGAAGGTTGGGATAGCGTAGCCAGCGCCGTCAATTATCTTGACACTATTCTCACATTCGCTCTGCCGTTCTGTATTATTTTCGTGCTAAACTCACTCATTGTTAAAACTGTGTGGAGAGTCGACAGCGTGAGGACGTCGCTCAAAGCCTGCGGATCCACGAGAGACTCGCCTCAACCGATTCATCAATCCAAAGTCACCAAGATGCTACTCATCGTATCGAGCGTCTTCTTCTGTCTGAACTTGCCTGCTTATGCAATGCGTGCTTACGCCTTTCTCCAGGTAAAACGTCATTCATGATTTCCTTTTCTTCGACGCGCATTCGATTGCATGCTTCTGCTTGACTGGGAACGTTCGTACGTACAAAAACAATTTCCGTTACGTGGCTTATCGGCACAATCAACGATCGAACAATTCCATAGTTGGAAAGCATGACTCGTTTCCAATTCTTTGGCGCGATAAGCGAAAAAAAACAACCGTTCAAATAAATCGACGTGCCTCGTCGAGGGTCTTCATAAGGTCTTCGGATCTGTCGAGAAAGCATCAATGTATGATTGGGAAGAAGCAGCTTGATTGGATGACGCGTTTCTTTTTTATTGGGGACGTTCACCTATAAGTTCGTTGACGGACTGACTAAACGTATACGTATGGAGAACAAAAATATCTTAACTGAAGACCAAACTTTTGTAAATTTTGTAGATGTCGAAACTTGAAAGTGTTCGCGAAAATTAGTTACACCTATCTTCTGTTTTGGTGCACTGCACGCTCAAATAATTCGATCGCGACATCAGCTTTATTGACATTTATTTCGACCGAGAGTTGTGAAAAAGCAAACGAATCTTGCGCGAAATGTGCGTAAATAGATGACAGCATATATTTGAAATACGAATTATCTCAATGTACCTACCTGTAATGGATTTCCATAACGAAATGAATTAGTGAAGAAAAAGCAGAGTCAAACGAACGCGCGAGATGAATCAGCTGTATTGAATTGACGAGCTAAGTTTTCTGTCGAAAAAAAATCCTTTGTCCTATGCGCCAAATTCTCTCGAAAAGTGAAATTTAATCAGCGTTATAATCGAGCTAATAGCATTAAGTTAGCGAGGAGCGCGTGCGCGTGTACACGAGTACGCCCCCTTTTTGTGCGTTGCAGTGTCATTCACGGGATGCCACTGCCTCCTGCGACATTAAAAAAAAATACTATCTTAAAGCGCTATCGTTTTTTATCAGTATTCCCGTAATGTTGCGCGAAAGCTCTCTTTTTACTTTAACATCTTTCGAGGACGACCGCCAAGTGAATGTCATTCGCGATATTTATTCGACGGTTAAGGCAACTAGTAAATCTACTGGCTTCTGACGGGGTTTTACGAAAATTAGAAGTATTTCCGAGGGCTGGCTATAACTCTAATGAATGCCGAGACAATTTAAGTTTCGAAAATAGTGTTCGCGAGGAAAAATAAAACGATAAGCAAGACAATACCGCAAGCACAATAACAATGAAACTTTCAAATTAGCCAACCTAGTACTCCTATCTTGTTGTCTCTTCGAAACGGTACTAGCTATTTCCATTTAATTTCCACGAGAAAGAATTACATTTGTTTCTTCAATGGAAGCGCGAATTGCAAGCGATAAGCGCAGAGCAATAAGTCATGGAGAATCGTGGACGCGCGATTCTTGTTTTTATTAAATTTGACTTTTAAATGTGCTCGCGCGGCTATCTCATTGGTTATAATGCTAATGCCATTGCTCTTTTTCGGTTTAACCGAGCACTTGTCACGTCTGTTTTTTTGGCGAGGATTTATTTAACGGATATAAGTGCTGATGAAAGTACCATGATGTACTCAGATTATTGGATAATTTAATTTCTTTCTTTCTCTTTGTTGCGCCCACATACTTCACCCAGTATTAGCAAAAGAATATTTCCGAATGAAGTGTATTTAACCGTGTTAATTTTGGTCAGATTAAAATGAAAAATCCAGCTTCGATGTATAAATGCCTGATTTATTTTTGCAATGTATGACGCTTGGTCTTACGCGTACGCTGTGTATCGGATATATATTGAAAACTGTCAGGTGTGGCTTGCAAATCTGACGAGCGTATAATAGAATAATTTGCCCGTTGCTTTCAAGATAATTGGCATATTAGAAAAAGTAATAATGTATCCGCATCATACGAGAAGTCAATATAACTTTGAGTTATTAAGCTTTGATCGGACAAACTTAAAATTGAACGAAGGCGAACAATGAAGGAAGAATTCGGCGCGAAAAATCTATAAGCACTGCACATTCATATAAATTTAAAAATAGGTGAATACTTTTTTTTCGCGACAATATTGATTGACATAATTATTCGAGTTTGAAGATCAATGAGCAATTTTAACTGTTCTTAGCAATACTGGGTTTAATTGAGTTTGCAATAGTGGATTTAATTGACTTTGTCGTGGGAGCGATGCGCTAATTAAATTTTGCTGTTGAATTAAACAAAAATTTTGAGCGCTAGCTGATAGTTAAGAACTCTTCTGAATGAATTCCAGATAATCTCGAGTTCCAAGCTCACTTTGCGAGGCAAAAAAGAATTGCTGCACGTTATATCGAGTTAGAGTAGAAGCAAGTACCGTTCTTTGCCTCTCCTCCCAAATAAAAAAGTCACGTATTCGAATTATAGGCGGCACGTTGTTTGTCTGACTAAAGAAATACCTGTACTACTAGTTTTTATAGCTGCACGGATATAACTTATTCTTGTGTATGGCTGGGTTCAAATGCAATTGACTGAACATACACGTATCGTTCTTTAACAGAATCTCACAGAACATTTTTTAACGTCTTTCATGGCAACTTTACTACTTGCTTACCGCGTACGAAAATAAGTCATATAGGCGGATCCGAAAGATGTGTTATAACGTTTTTGTTACTTTGTTATTTTGCGGGTTAGTTAATGTTTCTTTTGCTGTAGGCATAGTGGATTTAATAATTACGGTTTAATAACAGTGGCGTTGGCATATATCTGTAAGGCAGAATTAACGAAAATTTGTTAAGCATACATTGGAGCGTGAGAAGAACTTATGTACGAATATAATTTATGCATTACAGTGCCGTTCTGAAACTATAACATTTAGTTTGCATCGCTTGCACACAAGTCTGACTTCATTCGATTGCTACTAGTCGATTGCTTAGATCGACTTCCTTTGTTTTATTTGATCAAGTTTGATGGGACGTATAAAGCATTGAGTTTTCTTTTTATACTGTACACATGAACGTGAGTTTATATCCTGGTTACTGCTATGGAAACAAGATTACATCTCATATACTCAAATGTACTTTAGGAATTTATGACGCGCAAGATATCTGTCTGATTTATTTTTTTGTAATTTAATGCGAATAGTTGATAGACCTGTCCGCGTTTGAATCCGTTATCTGTCCATCAAAAAACTTACAAGCTTAATATTACATTGGCATTCAGTGCCACTTGTCGTATAATATATTCTAAAAAATAATCGCAACTTTAGCCCTCATAAAAGTATTCAATAGAAAAAAACCCTCGGAACCCATATCGATGAAAACGGAACTTTCGACGTTGTAATGAAATTATAGGACAAAAAAAGTCTCGCTAGCTTATGATGAACATATGCGGGTAATACAGTGACCGTAACTATGCTTAATCGAAAGTTTCGATCAGCTAGTCTACCCATCTCGGTTAATTACCAATTTACCACGAGAGAGCCAATAACACTATACAGTTTTTTCCTGCCTGTTGCTCGCTCGCGTTATAAACCTTGCTGCATTAGCATTTTATCGATTCCGCATAGACTTTCCCACGCGGTTTATCAGTTTATATCTCAATATTGCTAACGCGCTAAGATGAATGGTTTCGATTCTCTCGAAATGATGGAGCATTATTACTGTGTCGAATGTGAAATTGGATCTGCATTAATTATACTTGTGTGATTGTTGTAATCAAAATTGGTTTCGTAGAAGTGCTTAATCGTAACAAATTTAATTAAGCGTAATAGATTATTGTATATATTGTAATATTATGAACTCGAAGAAGCAACTTCTAAATGCGTTTATAGAAGCAGGGCTATAAATACCGAAAAAGGCTTGCGCATCGAGATATCTCAGTCTCATCCGAAATATATGTCACCCATCCAATACGCAAGACACGCGTACGCGCTGGATCCCTTCGCGACGCTAAAGGTCTTTTGTTAATATTGCATCGATAGTTCTCCTTCACACGTGTTTCAAATAACGCACGTACAGCAAACGCTTGACGAAAACAAACGTATCCCGATCGATATAATTACATTTACACAGCAACGCAAAAGTCTTAATTCTTAAACGAGCCTTAATTTCGATGACTCTCTCGTTATAGCCCGACAATTCAGCAACGGAATTGGAAGTGTTGATCCAGCGAGCGTGTAATCTACTTTTCAACACGAATTTCGGCATAAGCTTTGGCTTGTACTGCGCTAGTGGGCAAAACTTTCGTTTGGCTGTCCAACATTTGTTCAGCTGTCGTAAACATGCTACCAGTTCCAGCTTATCAAAACGATCGTCCACCGTCCAACAGGGTAAGACTTGTAAATTTCATTGCCATTAGGTTTTTTACGAGTTATAATTGAATATTAACCGCGTTGACCTTTCATTCAATGAAGCTTGTGCGATCGATAAAATATCTGCAGTAAAATATTTACTAGCAGTAGACATAAGATTAAAAAAATGTTGCCACCAAAATTATCGAGGATTGCTACGTGTGTATACATTCAACAAAGCTACGGATTTCTATCTGGTGTCGAATCTACTTGCGTTCTACGACCTACAGATAGCCATAGATTTTAATTTCAAACGTGAGATTGCATGCATATATCGCACTTTGCGAAACACTTTTTTTTGCATAACGAACTTTCGTTGCAAGGACGCGTCAACTGCCGTGTAGAAAAGAGATGTACTTCGCTTTCAAATTCAATACCTTACCGCGTAGTAGTTTTCCTTTCAGATCAAAGAAAATATTTTCTTTCCGAGCGAAAGAACTTTATGTGTGTGTGTGTATTTACACGCACACCACTTTCAAAGCAAACATGTTTAGCTATGATGTAAGACGATGACGTTCCCTTTATAATCCTAAACTTTTTTTCGTCGAAAAGCACCAGTAACAATTGTAATATGATAACGCTTAAAGCAGATTTCTCAGCTTCTACCGTGATTTCGAATGAGATACATTCTAAAAAAATTCATTTTGTATTTATATTACAAAATAATTTTTAGCAAAAAAAATATTTTCTTAAAAGTCTATGTAACGTGAGATAAAAACGATGAATTACTGAAATGAAACTTGAAATATCATTTAAAACTAATTTAATTTTAAATTTTAAGAAACAAATTTTCTTATTTTCAAAAAATTATTTTACTTAAAATAAAAACATTTGTTAAAATATGAATTTATAAGTAAAAAAGATTAATGATTAAAAATAAACATAAAAGAAGAAATTTTTTTGCCGTGTACTACAATGTTAAAAGATTGAAATTTAGCAAATGCAATTTGTCTTAGAGTACCTGTATTCCAATATAATTCCGCAGGTACGGATACGATAAGAATAATAGGCACATCGTCAGTAGCCGAGCAGACAATAGTCATTAACAAACCGTGGAAGGATTCATTTCGATTACGAAATTATTCTTGTCATCGTGGATCACCGCAAAGGGAACAGCAGAACAAGGATAACAGTTACTGTGTGACAAAGCCTAAGAAGGATCCTTACGACGTGAGACTGTAACGAAAGAAGATTCGATTTCCCGACGAGCTTGAGGCTACATTGCAAACGGGAGAATCGAATGTCTGATTGCTTTTTCTATTCAACTCCACATGCTTTCTTTAGATTAGGAAGGCACAGTTGAAAAATACATTTGTCAGTCGAGTTTCATTACCAATACGTCTGAGATATATCGACGTCGAGAAGTAAATATGAAATGTAAATGTCATCGCGTGTGAAAATAGCCGCCGCTACAATTTGCAACTTGGATATTGCGTCGAAGCACATAAAAGTAATCAATAAAACTGTTGAAAAAAAAGAAAAATTCACAAAATAGGAATATTACATACATTTATCGCGTCAATAAACTTTCTGAATGTTAAACAAATTCAATATAGAAAGGGAGTAAATGTGTATGATATTTTGCTCGTAGTTTGAAACACAATGCGAGAAAAGGACTGTGTCTTTTCGTTCGTTTTTTATGTTAGCTCGATCTCATATTATCCGTCTTTGTATCTTAATGGTAAATGTATACTAATTGTGACTTGTGACTGAGTTTTATTGTCGATTATGTTATATTTTTCTACTTTTTATTGAAATGTTATGGAGAATATATGAGATTCTGTTCTGCAGTATTAGTATATAAACTGAGCGAGTTGACATGTTTTAAGATATGTGATTATAAAATACTGTTAATCAATGTAAGCGAATGTAAAGTGTCAATTTAAAATTATCATGTGTAACAATTATTTTAACCTCACAAATTCATGGCATAACGGAATTCCTCTGGAAAATGTAATGTTTGTTTTTTCTCTTCCCATCCGTATAAAAATATCTTTCTATTTGTAACAGCTGTTTTGAAATGAACCGCTTTCTTTAACGATAGACACACTTTAAGAATTTTCAAGCTCTCAAAATAAAACATTGCAGAGAAGACATATTAAAACTAGAAAAAAACATATCATCTAGCTTCGTCATTACCCCCTAAAATACTTTGTCACAACAGCATAATTCATCATTAGTAATTTCGATACAAGAGTAAGTCAGATATAGTGTTATTCTTAGCTCTATCAAACAAAATAAGAAAGGAAACTTACCGGTGTCAGAATCGGGAGCAGGCAATGCCGGTCGAACATTGCCGAAGAAACGCTGATCGAGCAGTTGAAGTAATTGCAGTGCAGCGTCGTGCACTGGTGCTCGTGGACAGCCGGTGTTCATCAGAGTCACATTGATGATACTCGTATAGTGATCGCATGGATATTCCCTAACGTTCAATCGGATATAATGTCAATGTATTTTTTTAAATACATGTGAACTTATACAGCATATATAATGATATAACTCATTTTTTGTTTACGCTACAAGTCACAATCTTTGTAGATATATGTAATTTACAAAAGCGCTACGCATTCTCAGTGTGCAACGTAAAATAAAAGATAGAATAGGATTTTGAACATCTCTATAAATTTTTGTTTTCGAACAAATCAAACATTATCAATTCGGTTTTTACTTCGATTTACGTATACTTTATTTTTGAACGATCAAATAAAATATTTATAGAAAATCATTTCTTTCACTAAGACCTTAAGGATTCTAAAAAAATAGATATAAACTGATATCTGGAACTTCGTGGTTTAATACCTGAGGCGAAGAGCGTTTTTAGATAAAAAAGAAAAGAGAACCAAGAAGAGCCCTATAAGCATCATCAATCTTTCGATAGTTCTCTCTCTCTCTCTCTTTCTGCTATTTTCTATTAGTATTTATAGTATTTATAGTTCGGCAGAAACATTTCCACTTTGAACGGGAACACGCGAGCTCTTACGACGAAGAATTCACCGAGTAAACATGTGGAAACGAACCGTAACACATTTTATTGTACATGTAATTATTCAAGGGTTAAAATAGATGTGTCAGTTACTAATATCTTTCTTTTTCAATTATTTAGAGTTTTTTCGAAAAAATATCAACTCTCACCTGGCACTGAAGATAGTCGCCAAAGCGAGAAAACAGCCGTCGGCCACTTTAGGTAAACCAGTATAACAGCGATCAACCACCCAGTCGAGAAGTGCTCCGATATCCGGATTTCCTTCAAGTAATAGCACTACCGTCTCTCGAGCCAAGGTGTAAATCTTGAAAAAACAATTACAAATTTGCATGAAAAGTTTATCATCAAAGGAAATAACAATTGTTAGGTTATATTTAATCGATTTATTAGAATTTCATGAAATGAATCAATTTAACTTATTGTAACAGTAAATACTAAATAAATTTTCAACAGATTAATAAAAGAACATATGGAAACCATTTAAATCTCTATTATTCTCTATTGATATACCGTATTGAAATTTTATACTTCAACAAGCTCGAAATGGAAATTTTGTGATATGCTGACTATATAATATTGAATTTTGATTACCCTATCATTTGGTCGTTTGGCAATTGAAAGATTGTAAAATGGATTATCAAATAAAATTATTAAGGCTGCATCATTTTGCAACTTCAATATCTGCATATTCAACAGCTTTTAAAATAAAATAAAAATAATCAATTATTATAGTATAAGAATAAAATCTCATTAGCAAGTGGAATGAGTTAACGCGTGTCAACCCCCCCCCCCCCCCAAAGAATACCAATCTTTAAGAAATTTTTTTCAATGAAAAAAAAACTCACTTTCTCATCCTTGCTAGCCAACAACAAATCCAACCACTGATAGAGTAATGAGCCTTCCTCAGCCAACGCTTGTGTATTAAAACACGCTCCACAGCATAATAAACCGCTCATTGCTTGTAACGCTGACAATTGAAGTTCCGAGCAGAATGCCTTGTCGTCCTCCGCAACGACAATACTGGCGAGTAAAGGTTTACCATATGGTCCTGCCCAGCTAGCGAATAGCGTGAATAAATTGCGACGCAAATCGCGTTTGAGTAGCGTGTGACATGCCTCCACTGTAAATTACATTTTAATGTTGTTAAAGTTAACTGTATTTGCAGTTTCTTCGATCGCAAAGTAAAATGGATGGCCTGAATGGTTTTGCAGGAAATGAATTTGGCAGTGCTAGATGCGAATATGATAAATTTGAGATATATTTTCCTTGTGCGAGAATATGAATAATTGAAAAAAATAGATAACTACTTTATTTGCAGCAATTATAAGATTCAAAAGAAAGTCTGATTTAATGATACAAATAACTGAATAACTTTATTAGAAGTGATCGCATCATTTCCCTGAAAGCCAGAGTTTTATCAACTTTTCTGTTTGAAAACCTTCTATCAAAAAGTTCAATTCAAAAAGAACAATTAACTGATAATTTAACGAGTTCATCATCGGAGTATAATACTCAAACTTTATACAAAGGTTAATTTATAGTACGATTTTCCAAGAGGACATTCGGTCATAGAAGTTTGAAACAAATCCACGATCCGCGCATTTTGAGCTCTCGGTCGTGAGAGATTAACGGTTAAAATTAATTGGCGATTTGAACTTTAAACATATGTGAACTCTTACACGAAAAGCTCTTCAGCATTTTCCTGATGAAGTTGCAAAAATGCAGCTTAATGTCATGCACTGCAGGAGCTTCTTTGTCCGTCTCGTTCTCAAGGTAAAGGCGTGCACCGTCTATGTATTCCACGAAGGTCGGATGCAATGATTGTGTCTCACGATCTAATACTGCAAGACTGCAATCACACGTGTAAGTTGTTCGTTGTTTCTAAACAAAATTATGTGCGAAACAATTCTTACCAAATTCCAAAAGTACCATACTCGGCAATTAGCTCAAGCACTCGCACAAGTTGTAATCTCAGTGCGTCCCTTCGTCGTCGTCTTCTCATATTCTCTTGCTTGCGATCAACAGCTTCGCGAATATAAGGCACGAGCTCCTCCATTAAGTCTCTGTAAGAAATCAGCATTGTGTATGAGAAGAAGCGCGAGCTAAATCGTTGGTCAGCTAATTTAGAAAATTTTGATAAATGGAAATTTTACGTTTAAATATGTTTTTGATTGTGATGTTAATTCAAATTTTTAAATAGATTAGTTCTCAGTAAACACTTTCGGCTTATCGTTTCCATTGGGGTGGGGGGGGGGGGGGCATAAAGAATATAAACTTTCTGTAATCTTCTGATTGGAATATACATAGTAATATATTGATTTTTGTTTTGTCTTCAAATGAAAAATACGAAAGAACGCAAGTTTTTATCGATTCCTCGTGAGAATAAAAATTGAAATTGCATTTATTCTTTATTACCTCAAGCATCAAAATAAAATGAAACTTACTTTAGTGCGTCAGCATTGACCTTGCCGATAGCATGAACAGCCGCATCTCTCACGTCGATAGTTTCACACCTGAGCAATGGTACCGTCAACTTATAAAGTGCCGAAGGGCTGACATTAGTGCCGGGTGACTTGTTATCACCACGCTCAGCTGACAAACTGTCTGGCGAGGAGCTGTAATTTAATCAGTGAATTTACTTTTCTTCAGATGATGTATAAATATGTTGAAAGACACAATTGACTGTCAACCCTTTACCGATTATGTAAAGTTCTTATCTATGCCAATACATAATTAATTAGTGCGATGATTATTCTTTTTTGTATACGAATTTGATATTGATAGTCACAATTTTTACATGAAATGTCTATATTATATAAGGTTTTAGTCCTTTGAATTGGTGCTTTTAGATATGAAGATTCCGTTGGTGTAGATTCATTCAGACAATAAAATTTACAGAACAGTAATTTAACCTGTTAACCGAGCGGGACATATAAATACGTCAAAAGTAAACAATATCGGGTATGGGTAGGACATATGAATACGTCCTCGATATTTATATTGCGCCCTGGAACGGGCGGGACGTATATTTTACTACTACTATGGTAATACGTCATTCATACATGTCTTGACTTGAAATTAATACGCGGATGGATTCAGTATGATTTCGCTACCGCGAGTGATAAGGCGTGTTTCGTGTGAGCAGTGATACAGTGACGGATACGTACTTGCACTATTATTATTTATTTTACAAGTAAATCCTTACAAATAAATATAATGGCTATGAAAAATGTTTCGTATTATATTTTATTTATATTTCCAACTTTTTATATATATATATTTTGTTTATTTTTTTAGTTACCATCAAAATGAGTGAGAGCGATATCAACGATGACGAAATAAATATACCGGCAAGTAAAAGAAGGATACGTATAATGAGTTCCTCATCGGAATCCTCTTATAGTGGTCATGACTATGACACAGATTTGAGTGACACTGAGAGTGAAGATGATGAAGAAGTTAGTGTTAGACACATTAGTGAATAATGGGTGCCTTAAAATGCCGAGAGACCATCATTTCCCTTCACTGCACAGCCGGGAAAAACGTTCAATACTCCTCCAAAAAAAGTTCCTGTATTTTATTTAGAGAAGTTTTTAGATGACGACCTAATAAAAACAATTACGGAACAAACAAATTTGTATGCCGCCCAATTTTTTGCCAATAATCCGGATTTAAAACCACGTTCGAGACTTCGAAAATGGAAGGATACGAATGAATCTGAGATAAAGATATTTTTGGGACTCCTCATCTTACAAGGGATACTTGGAAAACCATCTTTAGAGTTATATTTTTCTAGAAGAAGAATTATTGAAACACCGTTTTTTTACGAAACTATCAGCGAAAACAGATTTGGATTATTGTGTAAGTTTTTACATTTTGCAGATAATCTAAGTTTTGATCCTAACGTATCTCATAGAAAAACATACAAAATAGATCCAATCATCAATAATTTGTCACAAAAGTTTAAAACATTTTATGTTTGTGAACGAGTCTCTTTTATTGTGGAAAGGGAATTTGTCCTGGAAACAATATATAGCAACGAAACGAGCTAGATTTGGCATAAAGTTATTCATTTTGAGTGAAAGTCAATTTGGATACGTCCAAAACATTATTTTATACACAGGAAAGGACACAAACGATGGTTCGAACTACCCACAAGAAAAACAATCACCAAGAATTGTTTTAGAGTTAACACATGATTTACTGAATAAAGGATATAAGATTTACTTGGATAATTTCTACACTTCAATTCCTTTGGCTGAAGTCTTGTGTCAAAACAATACAGACATTGTTGGAAAAATGAGAATAAACAGAGTCGGAATCCCCAGTGAAATAAAAACAAAAAAATTGGAAAAAAATGAACATATCGTAAGATTTAAAGGCAAACTAATGGTTTTAAAGTGGAAGGATAAGAAAGACGTATTGATGCTCAGTTCTATTCATAATGACGAAAGGACAATGATAGAAAAGAGAGGAAGAAGACAAGAAAAACCGAACGTTATCCTGGATTACAACAAGAATATGGGTGGTGTAGATTTGGGAGATGGAATTATGGTGGCCTACACGGCTGCTCGCAATAGGATAAAAAAATTTTACAAAAAAATTTTTCTACGATTACTTGATATGTGCGGCCTAACCGCATACATTTTGTACAAAAAGGATAGAGGTCAATTAGATCAATTACACTTTTTGATAGAATGTGTAGAAAAAATAGTTGAAAATAATATTGTTAGCACCCACCCAAAACCATCAACCAGCAACTCCACACCAAAACCAGCACGCTTAGTGGAAAGATATTTCCCTGAGCAAACAAAAAGCGATACCGGAAAAACTAAATCCAGGAAATGTCGGGTTTGTTACAAAAAAGGAGCTAGAAAAGAATCAACATACTGGTGTCCTGATTGTGCTGTAGCATTATGTATCAATAACTGTTTTAAAATATATCACACAGAAATTGCGTTTTGAATTTTATATAATTGTACCTACCTATATTTTTGATCTCTTTTTTATTCAGTATGCCGGTATTTCATTCATGTGCCGGTATTTTTTTATAATTGTTTGAAACTTTGTTTTTTTTTCATTGTATTTCATAAATATCAATAAACAATTAAATATATATTTCACGATTTTTTATTTATTTTAATTATGAATATGAATAAAAAAATATAGTAATATGAAATTACATTTTCCAGGCGTGACGTAATGACACATCTTAGTGGAAAAGGACGCGCCCGTTATATGTTGCGTGATTAGAAAGGGATTTCCCTGGTTAACAGGTTAATGTTCAATTATAGCTCAAAAGATAGGTGAAATAAAATAAGCAGAGCTAGAATTTTGGTTTTGCTTCAAAAAGAAGGAAAAGAGCAGTGAAAGCTTAGTATTTACAAAATACATCGTGATATTAAAATTTTACCGAATTTGACATTCTGTGGAATGCCAATAACTTTTTCAAAAATGTATATATTGTATATACAACATTATTTTCACTATAAATTAAATGGTGTTGCTATAATGGTAATTATTTTTTGTTAAATAACGCTTCTATAAGTAATTATAGTTTTAACACAACCTGTGTACTATATAAATATAGGTAAGATACGTAAAAAAATTAATGATAAGTTTTATGAGATACGTAAATGAAATCTTTGATTATGTCATTTTTATCTGGTGCAAGATCATATAAAGCGATGAGAACCATTCGTAATGAGTCCACGTACAAACTATGTCATGCAAGAGAAAAAGCATTCAATCGCATACATGAGATATAGCTGAAAATCAATGTACATGCATAAGTCTATTAGATGTTTGATACCAACGTCAAAACTTCGTTTATTGAACTTTATTGAAAATTTATTGAACTTTTTCAGATTCGAAAATCATGTTTCAAACGTTGTCAATTATAGTAAAGTTTTAACGCTAGAGTAAATAGCAAACCACTTGAAAAACTATCCGCTAAAATATAATGGGTAAACATTGAATGAATGATGACGATGACAATGATGAGAAAGACTTGATGAGAAAACTGTTCTTCACTGGCAAATCTAGAAAAACGAAAAGATGCAGGACATAGTTGTATCATCAAAATTACAAGAATTTGCAGGTACAACTCCGTCATAAATAGTATTCCACATAATGCTCTGCAATATAAAGAAAGTATGGACATAGCACTTTATCTTCACAGCTGTTGCATGTGTGCCTCTAAAACACCATTACTTGCACATATGTATTTATACTCAGCAACCACAATCCCGCATCACAGTTAAAAAGCATCCGAGCATTAAAGCGTGCATTTTTGCTTATTTATTTAATTTTTTTTTCGAGGAGAGCTGCTTTTAGAGAATCTCACCTGGTCCGCTTGTGTCTGGTGTAGATGCCGGATATTGAAGGTACCGAGAAGCGGCCCGGTAGGGTCTGCGCCCCACCGAGGTTCTCCAGGCTCTGACTCAACTCCTTACTCATGCACAAAACACCAAACTCCACCGTTTGCTGACCACTAAGGGGGATTGTTTTATATTTTTTAACGAATATTCATATTTGGCTTTTTTTGAATGGTCACGTTTCGCGCAGACTAAATTAATGCCTATTTAACACCTTTGTAGATAAGAGGGAGGAGAATAACACGTTGCAAGAATTATGCGCGGGAATTATAAGAAATGGATAACCCTTGCGTGGTGTTTTTTATAAAATAGTTGAATACATGAAACAACGTCAACTGACATGCAATGTTAATAGAGAAAATTGCAGACAGACAGGCAGTCGAAAACTTGAACTTTTCGACAACTTGTTACAAATGTGGTTGGTTTCGTAATTTTAGATGGTTGTAATTTTACTTGAAAGTTCATTCATCAAAGTATTAATTATAAAAAATTTATTGTGATATTCTTTAATATCTCAGTACACCACCACGAAATATAATGTTAAAAATGTTGTTCGTAAAAAATAGTGTTCGTATTCAAAACCAAAACGTGAATAAGTTTATCTGCAAGTTTCGTTTATATGAAAAGTCGTATGGACAATCATTTTGTTAAATATATTAAAAAAAACTAATTAGTGCTATTAAAAAAAATCTTGCGATGCATAATTCAATACAGCAATATTGAAAAATTAAAAAATTATTAGTTATGCATCCAATGGAGCAAGCAGTCAAAAACCAATTATTATGTTAAATTCAAGATAATAAAATACTTATTGCATTGCATTTTAAAGAAATCTTAAGTTTAATATAGTTAGATTAATTTCATATAAAATTGTATGAAATCCTGCACCTTTCAAATGTATCTCAAAACCAAAAAATTGGACTCATAAGATTTGTGTTTTTTTCCCAACATCAACTATAACAGCTTACCTCAAACTGAGATCCGGGCTGGCACAGCGAATTATTGGACTTGGAATTGGTGGTACGACGCGATATCCGAAAGTTAAATAATTTTTCCATACGTGCATGTAAACGTCTCTTTCGTTAACTGGTTTACGAATTGCTGTAGAACTTCTTAAGAGGGATGCCCTGTTATCATTTACTGGTCTGTAATAGTATTTAAAATATTAATTCACGGTTTTAAATTATTAGTTTATTTCTAATTCGAAATCATATTTCTTACGTTGGGTCTATGACAGTAAATAGAGAATTAATACGGTTAAAAACAATAGGCCAAGAGTGTGCGACGGCATTTGGGCACAACGTTAATACCCTATCCTTTTCTAAAAATGCAAATAAACAGCAACTCCAAGGATCGGCTCCATTTAAATTTAATAAAGAGGAACTTTTTGTGCTGTTTTCGTCATGAATTCCTAAAACAAAATTAAGGGCAAATAATGTTAATTAAGGTATTAATTAGCTAAAAAAATTGCAATGAGAAAACAATTCTCACCAGCCGTCCAAACGCAACTGCTTCTATCTGCAATCCATTGAAGATCGACGTTTGATGTCGAGGCAGCAGCTGCCTTTTCTGCGGGAGGGAGCATATAATAATACTTTTCTAAAACTACCGGACAACAGGTATCAATCACATCAATCACAGGCTGATCATCTTCTAAACTAGCTGCAATGCACAGATAACATTTTTAGTAATTTTATTCTTAATCGATATTTCATTTTAACGGCTCAAAAAACTGACCAAACGTCTTCAGTAAATGTTTGATTTCTCTTAATATATGGACGGCGAGACGTCGTGGATATAGACGACAATTACAAAGCATAACAAGAGCAAAACCCTCGACTAGATGTAAAACATTTGAAACCGGCTCGATTTTTTGCCCATCATTTTTCTTCGGGCCATTATCGATCATTCGCGAATTAAGTCGCACTCCGTCAACTGGCTGTTCTTTTGCTTTTGTACTTGGATTGGCCAGTGCATTCTTCCAACATGTCAAAAGTTGAAGTAACATGCGAAGACCGTTGTCGAGCAATTGCGGAAAAGTATCCTGAAATCAAATTCCAAAAGGTTTATAATATTCAACATTGTGTTACTTAATGGATAATTTAAACAAATCATTACACGATATATATATATTTTATAATTTTTTTTTCCATTTCAATTCGCTAAATTAACTTATCAAGAAACTTAATTCGAGGAAATCAAATAAATAAAATCTATTACTACAGTAACCACAAAAAAACTAAAGAAATTCCAGTGTAAGTATAAAAACACTAGGCAAACTCACTTGCACATCTCGAGCCAGAAATTGGGTGAAGCCAAGCACGACGTCCTGCCGCCAGTCTGGGAAATCCAGAACAAGAGTCTGCAAGCTCTGATAAGCAAGGCCCCGTAATTCCTCGTCCATATGCACGGTAAGTCGTGCTAGCATTTCGACCAATTCGGCGCCAGTCATACCGTCGGGTATTAATCTCGGTACAGCCGCTACGCACGTACGGAACAAATCGATTCGTGGCTTTCGTTCTCCCGTGATCATCTCGTCAGGCTCCTTATTCATATTCTGCGTGCTCGTCATCATTAATGGACGTCCGTAGTGCACATCTAATGCACGCAGGATGTCCACAAAGACTCGACGAACATGCGGAAAATAGGATGACATGCCAATACTTTTAGCCGTATCTTCGGTCAACATCTGAAATGGATTGATAAATACATTTATTTATTCATTCATTCATTTATTCATTTATTTATTTATTTGAAAGATTGTATTAAAGATTTTTCACTATTTTGTTAAAATGAAAATTTGAAAAAAATTACCTTATTCAAGTACGTCTTCTTCACTCGCATAGTATTTCCACTAGGTAAAACACCCATTGTTCGAGGCATCGGTGGTTCGCCTTCTTTTTGTTGTAAACTATCCGCCACAACAAGGAATGCACGTAAACCAATACTCATACGTTCTGGTGTGAGGATAATTTTTACTTGTCGACCAACCGACAATAAATCAAAAACTATTTCACGCATCGCAAAGTCCAGTCTTTCTTGAGCTATGAATTGAATAATCTTGACGAAAATGTTCAACGGTGTATCGCGAGGTACTACAGCTTTTGAACCTTTTGGAAAAAGGGAATTCACGATACTCTGTAAACGACTCTGAGTCGCAGAATTGCTTTCGCATTTGATTCGGATCATGTATACCCATAACAAACGATAAAGAGCCTCTGTTAAAAAAATCCATTAAAATAATGAAATAATTATCCAAGTCAATGAAAATAAAAGTATTATTTATCATTACCTAAGGCGACACGACACATTTTTGGGTCACGATTTTTTAAATGAGAGAGACACATTGCCAAAAAGTAATGCCAATTTTGCAAAAAAAAAGTCTTTTGACTGACGCACAGTAAACAAGTGACCAAAGGGAAAAGTGCGAGACGATGCTTATTCTTCGTACACATATCCAAAGTCGTAGAATACAGCATTTCCACGAAATTTTTTAAGCAAGGAACATTAACTTCATTTTTCACAGTCTAAAAAAGTAGTTCAATGAAGAGAATGAAATGTTTCAATTATTTAAAAATAACAATATACATACTGCAGCTACAGGAACAAGAATTTCTACAAATAAACCGGCCAGTGCATGTTTTATATCCTTATCTTTCACTTCTAAAAAATATTGGGCGCACTCTTGCATGAATTGAAAAGATGCCTCGAATTCTTCTATTGGTACCATCTGAAATTAAACGATAAAATCGGAATAAAAGTCTGACATATTATAAACAACGTTTAAAATATTGAAGAAGTATCTTTACTTTAACTCGAAAAAATTTCATGCCCATGAGTAATGAAATAATACTCTGAGTTGTATGTGGTCCAGGTTCTTTAGCTCTCAGTTCTTTCAGCTCGACCATGAAACGTTTACGAACGGACATGAATCGAGATTGTGCAAGAACTCCTATCACTTCAGCATATAAATCTGCGATTATATGGATATTAGCTGCATTAGGTTCTGTTTGAATTCTATAAAAAAAGAAAAAGTTATAAATATAATGACAAGAAAATAATTTTGTCAGTAATAATTATTTCTCACCCTTCTCTGTATTTGAAATGTTTGAAGGCAATATTTTCAATATACGTAACTAAATCCTCGTGACCCGGATGGAATGGTAACTGTCTCAAAATTTCAATTAACATTAAACAAAATATAAATTCCACAGCCAAATCTCTTCTTTCTTGAAGTAAATCATTTTCACTTTTTTCAACTGTCTCGACGCTTCCTGATACTATAGTATACATAATACTAAAAGAAAAGAATTTTTTTTTCACATCTGATTTCAAGTGCAACTAACATAAAAATTCATATTCTACCTTTTTCCTTTTTGGTCTTCTTTTACAGCAGCTAATTTTTTTTGATCTGTTCCATGATCTGCAAGTTGTCTTTCATACCAATTAAATAAAGATCGAAGTATAGATGGAAGGCAATGTTCAGCAACTGTTCCAAAAGCTGATAAAAGCTGATCAAATTGAGGATCTTCTCCTCTTTGTAAAACTTTAGAAAGTGGTTTTTCCTACAAGCATGAACAAAATCATAAGATTATTAGGTGTCTAATGAAGTTAATCTACACTACTTACATTTTCAGTCATAATAGCCTCTATTTTCTTTTCAGCTTGAATTGTAAAATCAGTGAAGAGTGATCGCATCACATATTCACCTGGTTTTAAATCCATTTCTCCCAATTGCTGAGGTTTCATGGTCTCTTTTTGAGCACCCCAGGGCAGCACTACTGTCACTTTACTTGAAATAGACTCTGAAAAATCATATTCCCATATCATTTGAAAATTGATACTAAAATTACAGCATATGTTTATTGTATAACACTCAACAGTTAACAAACAGACTTCTTTGAAACTACTACAAGAGTTTAATACAGTTTGTATTTTGAATGAAATGTGACTTATTTAGTTATAAATTTTTTCATCTACTGTTATATATATCATGATAGAATAACACAAACTAATTTTCCTGTATGACAGATCCAAACATAAATTTATAAAGACTACTGAATTTGAGTTTTAGATCATTTGGACTTTCTAGTATTGCTTAATGTATTATTGAAAAGAACTAACCATTTCCAGATGCAGAGGTACTAGCAGTATGAACACTTGCTACATCGCTGCCTTCTTGTTCCAAACCATGAGTCATTAAAATCTCTTGACATGGTCCAGAAAAGTTTGCTTCTGTGGCTCCCTCATGAAGACCTTCACCTTGAACCACTCGCGACTCAGTAACTGTTGTAGAATCAATGGAAAAAAATTAAATATTTATTAATATTAATTTATAAATTATAAATGTGATCCTTAAATATTTAAAAGCAATCTAAAGAAATAAAAGAACTTTATCAAAGAGAGAAAGGGTTATTATATTATAATTCTACACATTGAACTGACTAAGAAATGAAGCCCCATTTTGTAACGTAACAGATGCTACCAGTAGAGTTTAACTTAATTATATTAAGTTAGATACCTAACTTTGACTGTATGCTAAAGCTTATGTATAGTCAAAGGGATAAGAGCTTAAGGTTAGGATCTAAGTGTAAAAAAAGCTTCTTGCTTTTTCTTTAAGCTAATTGAAAAGAGAACTTGAAACTGATAATTATGTTTTAAGGTGATAGTTTATATATGTGATATAAATCCAAATCTGTTTGCAAAAAGTAAGAGAGAAGAAATGAGAAAGAAATAGGAAAAATTTTAGGAAAATTAAACAATTTATGATATATAAATATTTTCAATAGTAAGGACTATACTACTTATAAAATAAAGAAACATAAAATATACCACTTTGAGGTCCTCTTTCACCACTGGGTTGAGTTTCTCCTCCTGCAATTAAAAATTCTACATATGTATATCTAGTAGAAAAATACTAATGAGTAATCACAATGAAATATGAAAACATTAATTGCATGCAACATATACAGATTTAGTATAAGTAATCGTAAGTGTATATAAATGGATTATTCAGATCAAACATTAGATTTACAAACCTTCTGTCATGTTTTCAATGTTTGCCTCTATTTCAGGCAACATCTTTCGGCTTTGCTGTCAAGCCATCTCTGTAAAGGACATGAAAATTTAACTAGATAACATGATTTATTTGAATAAAACTTCAATCAAACAGCAATCATGTAGGTTTGTGAGAATTGAATGACTGTATAATTGTAACAAAAGAATAAATTGTTATATATTTCTTTAGAAAGAATCTATATTTCTTTGGCTATATATTTTATTATTATATCAAGTTATATTAAAAAATTGTTTTTTGTTCTATGAATACAGATTTACACTAAGTAATTTCAGAAGTATTCTACCAAAATGTAGACCAACTCATCACTATTGGAAGTTTTATTGATTTTATTGAGTAAATAAAGTAAGTTTCTTAAACTATTTTATTGATTAGTCATTTTTGAGTAAAACATGGGTCTTCTAGTCAAGTTTCATTTTGCGTTAGCAACAATATAAGCTATGCTCCATTAATAAAATTTCAAACTATGTTAATTCCACAACCAGCAACCATTAACAATAAACAAAGATCAGATAAATGTCTTTGTTAATTAAAAAAGAATTTCATTGTGAAACGGAACAGTTCGTCCAATCAACTGGTTAATAGAAATCTCGACAGAAACAAAAAAAATGTTTTTGATTAATCTACAAGAGTTCAGTTTTATACATACACATACATATATATATATACACACACGCGCGCGCGCACACACATATAAGCGCGCGCGAACACACACACACACAAAGCAAATAAATAAACTCGCAGTCGTTAAAGTGCAAAAACTGCGGAACCCATAACCTTGCATGATATTTCGCGAAAACCTACTCCCTCCTTCAACTACCCTCACTGACGAGGAAAATCATCGTCAGATAATGATGATGATAATGATGATAGTAGATAACACAGACAAAAAAGACAAGAAATCGTTATCAATAAGAGGTTATATTAAAACTAAAAGAAATTAATTTACCGTAACAGTACGTGATAATCAATCACCGTCGATCGCCGCAGAGAGTTAACGTCTTCGAGCGAAAAGTCGTCCGGCTTTCATTGCGTATTATTGCTCCCGTTTACTATGCTTTTTTTTCTTTCACTCACAGACTGGGCTTAGGCCTTTATGCCAGTGTTTTTCATCGATAATAGCGGGAAAAGCCGAACGATGGCGCCACGTTACAACGTTACTGGAAATCGAGGTTAACCCGTTATGTTTAGGTGAAAAGCCCGTTACAACAGAAAGACTGAACTTATTCCAAACTGTATATCCATTCTCATGGTAATTTCTAAGGCCGATTCTGTTTATTTCTTTTATGTCATTTTCATGGGTTTCTGCTTTCTTACCAAGTCTATAGGTGCGCGGCTTTCATAACTTGAGATTGCTAATTTTCGATGTACTATACTTATTTATTTAGTTATTTAGTCGTCGGTTTTTTAAATTTGAAGTTTTATTCAGATTTACTGTAAAATTTTTTCTAACAGGTCACTTTTGGATAATTAGAAGCAGTTTTTTCGAGTTTTCATTGAATTAAAAATATACAATTAAATTAAGAATCGTCGTTTTATAATTAGAGGCTTTCTACATAAGGAGACATCGAACGTCACACAACGGACATTAGACGTGTACTGAGATTATCAAGTTAAAAAATAAATTGTTTGTTTAACATATGAGCGTGTCCGTGATTGCGCGGGATGTGAACAATGATAAAAAATATTGATCTGCTGTATTAACATTATTAGTACAGTGATATATCATTTGTCTATCTTTTTTCACCATGGTAAACGTCTGATGGCCGATGTCCGACGCCCGATGTCTCCTTTTATACAACACCTCTAACTGGAAATGATCATTTATGCTGCGTTCAAAAATGAAATGAACAAAGCAAAATTTAACCGCGTTTCAAAATGCATTTACCTTTTTCTTGTCTTTTCCTACGTTGACCTCAAACTGACTGTGAATAGCAAAAAAACCAACTACTCGTAATTAAGGGTGAAGGCTCAGCAACCACACCTTTCCGGACAAGCTACTCGAAAATTCTCCGACAATTTTTACAAACACACCACTCCGCTCGACTTTATTTAACTAAATTCGCATCTTCCGTCATTTTTGCCATTCGCCGTTCGTCCTCGCTTTTATTTTCGCAACAAATTCTTTATTTGTCAAACACACCATTTCGAAAATGCGAACGACAACAAAACAAAAAAATCTCTCATTTCTTAAACAAATCGAGAAGGAAAAAAACGCGAGCAAGAAGAAGAAACGAAATCCCAGCAAGCGCCAAAAAATTGACAATACGAGGTTTTTTTGCATCGGATATGGAATAGGTGTCCCTGGCATTGAAGCACCTTGCATCTTGCGTCGTGCTATAACGGCACTGGCGGCGCAGTCCCTCAGAGCTTTTTTAAGCCGACCGCTGTCGGTCTATAAGCGCACGCATTTAGCGCGTCCACGTGTAGGTATTCCATTGCAAGCTTTCGTTCTCGCGCATGCGCGCTAGCGTGCAACTCGAAGCTTTTGACTTGATGCAAGTCGAAGCACTTTGATTTGTAAATCTCTTTCTTTGTTTCTTTTTCGTTCGTTAATCCGACAAATTATTTTCACACGAAGTTGTTCGTTACGCGACGAAAAGTATGCGGATGCCATGCTAGTTTGATAATAGATACATATGCGAACATCAATTGGCGAAATTGATTCTCGATATATTGGCACGGTAGGCGAAAATCGTCATCAAAACACACGCCAATTTAGACTCGAGAGATAGAAGCAACGTATTACGATCGCGCGACCGTCAACGATGCGCATATAGCAAAAAGCGTTGAAAAAATCACTCGACATTTGCCAAACTTGCTGTTGACCACAGCCTTGTGCCTTATTTATGAGGCTTCTTCATTGAGGCGCAGTCTCAAATTCGTAGTTATACAATCTGCCGTGCAGAAAAAAAAGGCACATTGACCGCGTGTGCATGGGAGAGTTGTCTTACACAATGACATATCTGCCGCATGCCGCGATAATGGAGCATGAATTCGGATTCCTCCGACGACGCGTCATCGTGCGTTGCGCGCATACACGCACACGGTTGATAAGGGAATTTATCTGCGGTACGCCACCCAAAAGCCGCTATGCAATTTGTCTGGCATTTTCGTTTTTCTCTCCAAGATTTTGCGGCGATTGATTGTACCTGGGTGCGGCTACGCTTAGCGATCAACTTCGTCAATTTTACTCGAAGCTCAGAGCGTTTTTAAACTATTGCGCGATGGATGATCCATCACGAAGATAAAAGATTGATCATTTATTATCGAAGGTTATTGCCGAATCGCCGTTATTGTGGCAGTTGATATATCCCAATCCATTGGCTGTTTTTGCTATCATCGCGCGCGGATAAAACGCGTGGCTGCTCATTCAAGTCGATCCTTCTCCGCCTTTGAAATTCGTACATCATGCTCTGACTCCCACAGAGTGCTCAGAGGCAGATGTGGCTTCGATTCGCATACTGTCTGCGCATCAAGAAAATTCGTAATGAAGAAGGCTTGTTTCAACCTCGAACGCCAAAATCTCGTCGAAACGTCGAACCCGACAATAATGCATCATTATAACGTATCATCTCAGACACTTCCAGAATTTCCGGAATGTAGACTTTCTTATTCACAATGAAAAGCAATATCGCGATCGTGTTTCAATCGACGACTTTGAACGCGTCGAGACTCTCTCGCTGCCAAGACACACGCGCGACGATGTCTGCGCGAAACAGGTGTACAAGCCACGACTTCGCGAGCTCGCGGTGATACTCAGCGACATTTGTAGAATGTCACGTTTGTTATCGCTCGAGTCGCGCGGAAACCGAAAGAACCGAGCACGAAAGCCACTCGTTGGAGCAACACCTTCCGTTCGCGCGTTGCGAGCGGCGACGCGGGCGTGGATCGCACGAGCGTCGCAAGATGTCAACACACAAATGCCCGACTACCGAGTCGAGAGAATAAGCAGACGAGGACACGCGCAAGCTTGAGTCCCGAGGCTAAACGGCACATCGTGGGCTCTGGCACACGATCAGCTGCGCTCCGACCGACCGCGGGACTCGCGCTCTTCCGTACGTTCGTCTTGCGCGTCATCGATTAGGGCCTCGCTGTAGTCGCCGGCAATTGCGACTGGCCTGCTTTGCGAGCAACGCGTCCAGACTCGCATTGCGCAAAGGGAAAATTCCCTTTGCGCGCTCGCTATTCGTAGGACAACACCTCGTGGAGTGCTGTGCGTGTGCGTGCAAAGCTGCGCGTACAGGCAGGCGTATTATAAATACGGCGGGGGCTGTAGCGGCGACGTTGCTCCATTGAACTTTGGCTCGTCGCTTGGAGCGGAGCCAGCGAGGATGGATACAGATGCTTGCGCAATAGCTCCGCTGACCTGTTTCATCCTCGCCTTCTTTACTCTTGTTCTATCTTGCCCTTGCCGGTTGTTGTACATGGCGGTGACGACGAGATAGAAGTTGATAAGTGAATATTTGCAGAGATTATGGGGAAACGATTGATGGGTGAATAATGATTTTGCAGTATCAATTTCATAGACTGACATTTTGAAAGAAAGAAAGTTTAAACAACTCTGCGTTCGTTTAATCTTGTCGCGGGAATAGAAAGAGGAAAATAGCACGATAAACAAATGATTAGATGCGAGGAAGGAAAAATATGACATTATATAAAACAATGCCAACAACAGACCTAATAAATTAGCTGAAGCAAATGATTGAATATTGCGAGGACGGGGGTATAAACTTCAATGGAAGTCGATAGGAAGGAGAATGCAGTTTACCTTTTTTATCAGTTTCATACTCCGCACAAAAATTCGTAATTTCATCAGATGTTTGTTATTGTTGATGAGAAAGAAAACGAAGAAAATTTCGTGCATATTGAACAGCTTGAAAATATATGGTCTAAGAGAAAAAATTGACGGTTTCTCATTGTTAAATATTTTTTTAATTGACGTTTCATTTATAAATTATCCTTGCTCTTTACGAAATAATATTGTAATTAACACTGACATTAATCTAACAAATCATACTCTTGATGATGATTGATCATTTTTTATCAAATTGTATTTAAAACACTTTAGAGCATTATTGTCAATGTTTAGGTGTCAAATGTTTAGCTTCATTGTCGTTCTATTAACAGAAAAAAAAATAAAATGCAAGCCTCACCTGAATAAAAAAAAATTATGTAACGGTAACACATATTGATCGATTTTGTCCGCGCACGTAAGCTCTGAATTTTATCGTTAAATTTGCGAAGACAAATAGAAAATGCGCGTCGACAACATTGTGTAGTTTTCGATAATTTTCACGAACAAATTTGTGTGACGTAACGACCGTCTAACATTTTCGTATCATCGATCGCACATGCACACATGCAATATGCACTGACTGCACAGTAGGGTTGTGTATATATATGTTGTATATACGAGCGTGGGTTGGACGATGATAGAAAATATCTTGGTCACGAGTTGGCCCTGACTTCGAGTTTTGTGTGCCGCATTCCGCGCGCGAGCGCAAGAAAAATATGTGGCAACGTTGCTTCCAACATTATACAAAACTTCAACTGTATAACGTGAAAATTCACACACGTAAGATGAATGATTTATCACGTTAGCTGGATCAGCGTATGTATCAATCATGAAATGATCGGCCGCGTTATTCCGTTTTAAGCAACTTGCTTCGTTTGACACTCCTACGTTCATTCGGAATTTTGACTCACGAGTATGCACGGAGTACGAAAGGCCAGCGTTGCCAAGCCCAGCTTTCCCTCAACTTGACATGCGTAGTACATGAACCGAACACGAAAAAGAAGAATTCCGCGGGAAAATTCAATTGCTTCGAACGTTTCCGCGAATACTTCACGTAAACTTGTTGAATGAAAATCTATTTGTTGATAAACTCGTTATGATAATCAATGTGATGATCGAATGGAATATAAATGATTGTTGGCACATGACAGTCGACGAAAAGAAAAACCTTGCACGTCTGCACCTGTGCTTCCGTACTTGACACTCGGCGTCCCCGATGCTTACGCCCTTACGATTGGTTCGTCACTGACCGGAAATACGACAAGTAGACGCGCGAATACAAACAACTCGCTTGAACCTCGTAAATTTTGCCCCGAAAAGTCTCAATTTGTCTGCCTGCGTGACGGTAAACTTGGCGTATAGACGGATAATCGAGATAGCAACAACAGGCAGGTGAATAGATAGAAGCAATAATCGTCCTCGAGATATATCGTGCAACTGTCGAAAGGGGCGGGGGCTGCGCAGAAGCTGGCCACGTGATCTGCGCGTCTATTCTTAGTGGGCGAAGGCAGCTGCTGCCTCGCTCTCTCTCGCGATCAGCTCGACACCTCTGGCTCGCTCACTCGTCGTCCGGCGCGCGCCCGATACAGGAGTCAAGACTCTCCTCTCTTCCTCTCGTTTTTTAACCCGTTAATACCCAACTCACACAAACACATCAAGATGTCTGGTCTCGCGGATCCCGTGGCTTTCGCCAAGGACTTCATCGCCGGTGGTGTGTCTGCTGCTATCTCCAAAACCGCCGTTGCACCCATCGAGCGTGTCAAACTGCTTCTCCAAGTACAACACATCTCCAAGCAGATCGCCGAAGACCAGCGTTATAAGGGTAAGTCGTACACGCATTAATATCGATAGCACTAGTTCGAATGATTTTCGTACCATCAACAAATCGTAATATACTGGGAAAATATAAGTTCAAGTTCGCACCTCGTTCTTCGTCCGCCTCGTGTGTGCCACGCGACAGTGTCGCTGAGTGAAAGTGCGAGAGAGACAGAAAAAGCGTCGGGCTCCCCTCGAGGACGACGTCCGTATTATATAATTTGACTGCTACTGTCAGTAAAGACACTTCGTCGGCTGTCAAAAAACTCGTCAACGTCTTTTTAAAAGTCATTTATTTGCCGTTTATGTAACGATGCGATGGATAAGAGAGAAAGAGAGACCGAACACGCTTACATAAGTGTAGCACGGACATTGTAGCCGAGAAAGCATGCACAACACAAGGTCGCGACCGATCGATAATTCAAGGGAAAACGACGGTGTCAATGGTTTTAATTTTTGATCGTGGCAATGGGCGATGAAACGAAATCGAATTTGAAATTCGAACGAATGAATCTAAGGTAGGTATGGCAGATGGCATAGGCGGCGCATGGCCCTTGTGTGCGCGCGATCGATGACGATGCGGTCCAACATGGCGGTTTGGCTCTGTTCCGTGTGCTCTGCCTGGCCAGAATTGGAAAAATGTACGTGTCCTCGTTTGCGTTCAAAAAATTAAGGATTTTCGAATTCAGGTTGATTCATTTCCATGGAATGAACTTTTTTGACTGTAGTTTCTTTGAGGTTAAAACGTGACAGTCACCTTGCCAGTGAGAACAATTAGATATTCTTTTGCAAAATCGAACGGGATGTTCGACGAACCAGATATGCTATTTTTATCGACATTTCGCGATTTGAGCTACATAAAATTATTATTTTTTGTTTTGTCTTGGGTATTCACAGAACGTTGAACGAAATTAGAACACCTACTTTTTCAAGTACTCGCGCGACTAATCTCACGGTGACATTCATGACACTTCACTACTCATGTCTGTGATATTATAATATATGTAATCGATCAGCTGATTCAGATTATTTAAATTAGAAAATTGTCAGAAAAATAATGAAATTCTATAAATTTTATCGTATACTTCACTACACTACATACTCATGGCAGACTCAATTCCTTAGTGCAATTAGCAACGTGTACTTCTTTCCGAACACTTGTTTGGCACGGCAATTATCGAGATTTAAAATATGCATTTAAGAATTCTTCAAGGGGCAATCTGTAGGAAATCACGTGAAAGCTCGTTGCCAAGACATTGATCGTGTGCTCTGCACACACGCGGATGAAGAGTTCTATTAGGTTAGGCCGTGACCTTGGAAGCTTTTAAAGAGCTGTCGCGCGCGCATTCGTACTCGCGCACCTATGTCACGAGGACTTGGACGGTATCCAGACTGGTTTCTGGGTTACCAAATCGTGCGATGGCCCACTCTCTTCAATTTTTATTCTCGAATGAATTACCATTTTTTCCTTTTTCCTTCGTTTGTTGTATGTACCTACAAGTATTGGATGCCGTATAGTTGAGGTTGATTATAGGTACACCTATTCTTTGCGACATATTTGTTGTTAGTTCGTTACACAATGCATTTTAAAATATTTTTAAATGCCTAAATGTGTAACAAGTTCAGGCTGAATGTCTTCTAACAAAAAAGATATAATTTGATGGTCGAACTTGGAGAGAAGCTGCGCGTGCCAAAAAAGAAAGGAAGAACCTTTAAATGGTTATGCAAGTAACACGAAACGAAACTATTATTAAATGCGTTTGTAATGTTTGGGAACGTGCGCGTTTTTGTCTATGTGTTGCTTATAAATCGATCGATAGATCGAATTTCCAAATGGTGTATCAAGCATGCGTTACTGCAGTTCGTAAAAGAGCAAAATCAGAATTTCGATTACAAAAGTACACATTAGCTAGCAACCTAGGCCTTCTTTTTTTCTGTCAGAAGGATTGACTCGTAGCGTTTTTTTTATAACTTTGTTCGAAGAGGAAAATTCGCGCGTCACCCGTTTTTTGATAGACGTGTCTGCGCGTGTGCTTTGACTTAAAAACATAAGGAAATTTCCTCTTAGGCTGCTTACTTCGTTTACACTTAATCTGCTAAATACTAGCCATTAAACTTCATATTGTTTCAGATTATTTCGGCACTGTTTAGAGGCCGGACATAAAAAAAAATCTATGCCTAGCCCACCATTGTCTAATGGAAAATTGTCCCAATTATCATTCCATGGTGTAATACGAATCATAACTTAAACAATATATGACTTTCAGTAGCTTGGTTCTGCATTAAACAAAAAGGAAATGTGAATACGGTTAAAAACAAATTAGCGAAGATGCAAATTTGGTCACACGATCTGCGGACGAATCATCGTTGCAATAGATTTTTCTAATCGTAAAGTCGCGGCGCGTGCGTGCGACTGACGTCACTCACGATACATACCGTCGAGTTAGTAGTCACACACGCGGAGAATCGAAGAGGAGGGAAAATACTTGATAAATCGGTGCCGTACAGCCGCGCAGTGCCATGCTGGAAAAATTGTGTGTCAAGGCGAGCTTAAAGCTTTTTTCCTCGGCTGGACGAAGGTGACTTTTGGCAAAAATCATCTTTCAGATGTAGGTTTTTCGCAGAGTGCATGACGTAGGCTTATAATGAAAAAAATTTCCTTAATTAAAATTAGACGTCGAAAAATATATTAACAGGGCGGAAATGCAATGAGCGTAATTTTTATAACATTAGTCTTGAAACCAATACTTACGTTCGGATTGTATAAAAACTAACGACAAATATTTATAGATAACTAATAGAGTACGTTTGCTTTGTGTTATATTCAGGTATGGTCGATTGCTTCGTCCGTATCCCAAAAGAGCAGGGTTTCCTGAGTTACTGGCGTGGTAATTTCGCCAACGTCATCCGTTACTTCCCAACGCAGGCGTTGAACTTTGCCTTCAAAGACAAGTACAAGCAGGTATTTTTGGGAGGTGTCGACAAGAATACCCAGTTCGGACGTTACTTCCTTGGTAACCTTGCATCGGGCGGTGCTGCTGGAGCCACCAGTCTGTGTTTCGTCTACCCACTCGACTTTGCCAGAACCAGGTGAATATCTAGCTATTTGGATTCTTTTCTTCTAATCGACCAAACAAACTAAACTTGTTCTCTTGCTTGACAGGTTGGCTGCCGACGTCGGCAAGGCTGGTGGTGAGCGAGAGTTCACAGGTTTGGGTAACTGCTTGGCCAAGATCTCCAAGGCTGACGGTATTGGAGGATTGTACAAGGGATTCGGTGTATCCGTACAGGGTATCATCATTTACCGTGCCGCTTACTTCGGCTTCTACGACACAGCCCGTGGTATGCTGCCTGACCCCAAGAAGACTCCGTTCCTGGTTTCATGGGGTATTGCACAGGTGAGTAGTGACTCACTCGTTGGGCAATTGGACCACTGTACAGTTGTCTAGCGACATTGTCGTTATTTCAAAGAGTATACTGACTCTTGATTATTTTGACGTTTTTAGGTTGTAACCACCGTTGCCGGTATCGTATCCTATCCATTTGACACCGTGCGTAGGCGAATGATGATGCAGTCCGGACGTGCCAAGTCCGAGATTCTGTACAAGAGTACCATGCACTGCTGGTCCACAATCGCTAAGACCGAAGGTACCGGTGCCTTCTTCAAGGGCGCCTTCTCCAACGTTCTCCGTGGTACTGGTGGTGCACTCGTACTTGTACTCTACGACGAGATCAAGAAACTTCTTTAAACATCTTATCATCATCTTACCTTTACCCGACTACAACAATCCAAGATCAAAACTCGGACAAGAACCTATGTTAACAGCTACCAAAATTTTTAGAATCCATCACAACAACAACGTTATTAATGGCGTTTATTTCGAGAATAACTAAACCACCAAACGGTCTTCATGTCATTACCATAAAAAAACCGTTAAATCTTATATAAAAAAAATTTCGATGGAAAAACGTTGACAAAAAAAGAATAATCGTTCCACTCAACTACTAGCCATACACTCCGTTATTTAAACAACTCTCATATCCACCCTTTCATTTCATGTTTCCGGTATAAAAGAAAAAGAAAAAAAAACGTTAAAAAAGTAATAATGTCATCAAGATCAATACAAATCTTAACGAGACCTTCAAAATTGATCACTGTACACGCTCGACTCGACAATTCGAAAGAAAACTCTCACGCAGATAATATTAAAAGCGGGGCACGCGAGTGAGATATAAATGTTTATTTTCCATACGATTCGGTAGTCGCGGAATAGCTGTGTAAAAGAAACACATCAAATTTTATTTACATACCGGATTCAGTATTCACTCATTCTGCGCTACCATCATTTTCTTCTCCTTGCCGACCGTTCGTGTAATTTAATTGAATTCGAGGACACACTCACGTTAAACGTGCGCATGATGCTAGGATGAATATAATTATATGTAAAAATAAGAACCAAGTGTGCGTGAAACAAAAGGGTCGGGTGGAATGAAGTCGATTTCCCAATCTTCCTTCTTTCCCCTTACTCTTTTTAGCGAAACCACACTGTTTACTTTTGCGATGTGTAAATGCGCGCCGCGCGCGTTAAACTCTGCACTTAGTTGAATTATTTTGTGTTGTTTAATTACAATTAATTATAACGTAATGGGGTAACGTCATCGCTCGTGCAAGCTCAAGTCGAGAGTCGCTGTAAATGTTTAATAAGCAAAAAAGTTCAAATGCGAGAGAGAGTCAACAGAATAACTCAAAATAAAGGCGCGACGCAAGATCATTAAACAAATAATCAACAAATTTTTTCTCTCTGGAGAAAAATAAACATCAACGGAACGGCGATGGCGGGGCGCGTAGACGTGGGCCGCCCCCCGCCCTTAACTGAGAAAGAACATTTCTCTCGGCCCATTGTAGATAATTAAAATGAAACTTAAAAAAACTTTGAAGTAAAGCAATTTTTTCTTTGTCAAGAAACGTTTAATTAAACAAAGCTGGAATTATTTGAAAAATAACAAACGGATTAATCAGTGGCAAACAAAATCTGCGGATGAATAAGTTTCTGAAAGGATTTTATTTAAATTTTCGCACCCATATTACGCAGAGATACGATTCTACGTGTAATATATTACGAATGGAGAAGCGTGTAACTCTGTGAATAATGCATACATCTAATCTGTTCATGTTAGGATGTGTGCAGGGAAGACAAATCAATAAAAATCGAAACCAAAAAAATCTCGACTTGTCTGTGTTTGTTCTTCATTTTGAAATTATTTTTTTCTATCTTTTCTTTATATATATTGTCATGCTGCTATTTATAATACTGGAATTTTCTTGCAAATAAAAATAATGTTTTCAACTTTATTTTTGTATTTTGCCTTTTTGTAAAGGTCTGCACGGTTTAAAAATGAAATCCATTAACATTGAAAATTTTTTAATTATAAATTTATAAAGCTAATTAAGTGGTTAGATATTGATATTATAATTATCTATGATCTGTAAGTTAAAGATCAAGATCATCAATAGAGTACATTACGGTGACATCATTTTAATTAGTGTAACGATATGATGCCAAATTTGAAATTAAAATAAAAACAAATTTGATTAAGTAAAGTTAGTTTAATGTTAATGCAGGAACATAGCGCCGGAAATATTACTAGTCCTAAAACAACAAAAATTATATATTTTATAAAATTCAAGTATTTTAGAATCATGGAAAATTTTTGAATACACATTTTCCACATAGTTTATAAGAAAAGCCTATTTTTATTCCCACTTTACAGTCCATTCTTTTACAAATAATATTTTATTTCATTAAAGGCAGTAAACATTTCTTAATTGCCAATATTAAAAAAAATGATTGAAGAAAATTACTTTGGAATGAAGACATCTTTTCCACTATAACTATAACATATGAAAGTACATAATTATATACAAAATGTTCACGTTAAGAACCAGCTTACATGCACTTCAATTAATAACACTTATTAACCTAAGAAAATTGTGCATGTCACTGTAGATAATAACTTTTTTTTTTGTTCACAAAATTTACATGTAATTAATAACATTAAACTCGCCTATAGAAAAACGCGGAATGACAAGTCTGATGATACAAATTCTTAATGAATGAATATATATATACAATTGTATAGTGGCACAATGAAGGGTCAATGTTAACAATGTCATCATACTCTTGTCCTATTCGAGTCGCCTGCCAGCCGATCAAGAATCAAACTGATGCCTGGCATGTTTAAGAATGTACCAAGGATAGGTACTCTTCTAAGGAAGTTGATTGCAACTGGCAGGAAGCCACTATAAATTAAAATCATTGTCAATGATACTGTTTTCATTCTATGAAGGATATGAAATAATTTTCATATTTCATGTTAAAATTTTTAAACATATGATCATTTAAAAAATAAAATAAGTATATGTAGTAGGCCTATTTTTTTAAATATTTGCAGTAGTGATTATATCTGAATTATAACAAAAATTTTCAAGATTTAATACAATGATTACCTGAAGAGAAGAACGAAGCCATATGTCTCAAAAATCATGCCAACAATGGGCCAGCCCATCATTACAACTATTATTCCACCTATAAACGCAACAGTAGCTCTTATTTTGTGTCTTTGAAAGAAGAAACTAAGTGTTCTTCGTGGACCAATAACACATCCTAAACCAGCTATGAACAAGATCTAAAAATATCAAGTAAATAAGAATAATAACAAAAATAAAGATTAAATCCAGCATCTGTTTTTATTTATTATCATTGCATTTCAAGATTTATGAATGAAAGTCAAACTTACATTGCCTAAAGCAAGAAGTGCTTTGTCAAACAGGAGTAGAACTCCAAGAAATAGAAAAGCTATTCCAAAACCAGCAAGTCCTACGCCGATTTCTAATAAAATAAAAAAGAAATATTAATTTACAAAATATTGCAATAGAAAAATACTTGCTTTAGTCAAACTGAAAAGTCGTTAATGAAAGGTTTCGGAAATAACTCATTTAACACTCACTTTGTGTGTCCGTGATTTCGAACATATTTACAATATTGTAATAATTCTAACAAAATTTATACATTTACAAAATAAAAATCTCAACATTGAATGATGCGTTGAACACTCGCGACACCTTGCTTTCAACCTAACCTATTACCACGTCATCCCTTTCATATGATGCAAAACTCTCGATTAAATTTGAAAATGCAACCTTTTATTGTTGCGACAATGCTATAATAGAGTATAAGAAAATCGGTAAGAGCACGTTAATTGTTTTGTTTTAACAGAATAATTTAAATAATTGAAAATGAATTGTCTTAACGTTTTAGTACACAACAATAAAAATAAAAGATATTTATAAAACAAACTTTGCTGGTAGAATCGTCTGATTATCTTTCCGATAGCTGTGTAACCAGGCACACTTTGAATCCGACGAGGTGTTTTAGAAAAATGACATGAAAATATTTTTGAGGTATATTGTTTTTTTTTCAATTCAAATTCATAATTTGTAACAGCTTCTCTTTAAATGGAATAAATTAAATAACTATAATTAAGATGTTAATATATTATACTTATTTTATCAACTTTTATCCAGTTCGAAAAAATAATGTTACCAGATAATATATTCGGTGGTTAGGATCAAATAATCAAATATTTTGTCATGAAAAATAAACTTAAAAAAGTAATTCGCTTTCGAATAATTTATACGTTCGTTATATGCGCATATATACATATGCGTCGAACTTAATTTAAATTTAAGTGAAAATAAATATGCAGGGAACAAAGTTTCGTATTATTATTAAAACCAAAGTCCAATCGGTTGCTATAACTATAATTCATTGCGCGTATGGTCATGTTCCTGAGTGAATGCTCAATGAAGACTGACTGAAATTGCTGTAGCTCTGTATAAAATAAACCAAAATACAGTTCCCGTCTATTTTCACTGATCAAATTAAAATTTTAATCTTCATTAGCATTATGATCTTTTTTCTATCAATTAGAAAAAAAGCATAAACAACCAACTAAAATCTGACTTTTATTTTTATGGATGTTGGTACTGTTATGGATGAAAAAGAAATGAATGAAAAATTTGTTAATAATATTAACAATATGATCAACTAATACATGAAATTTTTGACAAATAATGTTAATTACCTAGTTAATAGTTTTTGTTGCGATTTTTGTAACTCACTTAGTATCTGAGTTTACTCAATAATAGATTCGTATACGGAATTCCTTTCAAGGCATAATCAAAGTCATCCTCTGGTTTTCGATAACACCGCGAATAAAGCCACTTTCCTATTCTATAATAGTATCTACTATGACGATTTTATCTCTAATAAATTAAAGAATATTTTAGCGCGCTTAAGGGTTGAATAAGGTAATAACGATGTAAAAAGTGTTCATTTAGCAAACTTTATTTTGGCCATTACACAATTGGATATTTTTTATACGCTACCTGATTTTCTACAAAGCAAGTAAATAGATCAAATTAAACGTCAATACATGTTCATGCCTTTTTATGATGGAATGGAAAAGTCATATACAAATACAACCAATCAGATAAATGATATGTCAGGATATGAAATTGTTTAATCTCAAGCCTTGCCTCATTTCATCATTATAAAATGGTAATAGTCTGTTGCGTCATAATTGAAGCAATAAAATTAAATGTTTATTAATAGTGCTATTTGTTTCATGTATTTTTCTAAATCCATAAGGGGTACAATGGGTCATTTATTTTTGATTAGTATGCATAATTTTTTATACATACGAAATGTATAAGGTTTTACAAAAACTCCAATAATTTCAGGAGTTCTATTGTATTGAAAACTTGGCCATACCAAGCACTGATCTAATGAATATTGTATGTCTTTTAACATTTAGGAGTGAATAAAATCCTCTTAGTTTTTAAAATAATATAATTCAAATCCTTACATTTATAAATAATTAAATTATTTATGCTCAAAAATTATTAATTGGCATAACTTTATGTCTCTATTAAGCCTCCAATAAATTCAAATGCAACATTACTTTTAGAAGCTTATAATATTGAATTGATAATAAAATAAATCATTAGCTTTGAAAATTTAATTTTTGAAATGTTCTTCTCACTTATGTAATTGGGCCAATAATTACTACACAAATAAATTACAAAATATACTTAATATTATTATCCATTACAATGAGAAATTAATAGTCATATACAATTAATTTTTTATACAAATTGATCTTAAACGTTACGGAATGATTGTATAAAAAAATGTTGATTGGATGATGATTATATTACAATGGGATAAGGCTAAAACATTACTCGTTAGTATGGCTAACGTTTGAAACGCAACTGATGATTTCCGATGAATTATTTACAAACGATCAAAAGTACAACAAATTACAGATCCAACAATAAATCAGCACATGAGCGATGATCGAAGCCACTGAAACCCATAAAATGACCATTTAGATTAGGATTTAACTGAAAAGATGTCAATCGAATAATGAATTGCTTACATCTGTCAAGCTTAGTTTGATGGTTCCGTTTTGCAGTGGATCTTTGCTCTCGAAAATTGCTGCAATAACGTTCAGATAATAATAGTAAATGATCGAACAGTGTACTTTGGTACTTTTAACAAAACTTACCAAAAGCATCATTCAAATGCAGAATGGCAGACACAAAATCTCCGAATCGTAGAGTCCCATCTTTTCTCATATATCGCAGAATAACAATCGACATTACGTCCGTGCTCAATTGAAATCCTGTAGCAAATAGGTAAGCCAGCGTTGAGTCTTATTCAAAATTAAAAGTAAATAATTGAAAGATCATTGAAAGAACGCTGGCCCAACTAACCAACTTCCAGTAGAGCATCGCAAAGTCGTTCAGCTTTGAGTATGCCAGTTTTTTCTTTCGTGTGGTTTTTGAATGCCGCCTGCCAATATTTAAGACTGCACATGAGATCCTTGAAGTCATTGAACTTGAGCCTACCGCTACCGGTAATCTGTATTTATGGTTTAGGAAACTACCAACGCTTCAAGCTATTCGCTTTAACGTAGCCTCAATTTAATTACACAATCATTTTGTTTTCGCAGAAAAGTATATATTTATAACGAAATAAAAGGATACATCCATTGAGAGGATAACTTGTCGACAGACATCCATACAGGCGCAACTTTTGATGTAATCTGCGACAAAATAAAGAGACGTAATGTCGAATGTCAACGTTACATTTGGAAAATTCTCTAGGTTACCGTTTGGCAAACAGGCTTCCAGCAGTTCCTGAAGTTCGAAAGCGTTGACCGTCCTGTGCTCATCAGCCAATTGAAGAAACACCGCTTCGTATTGCGAGAATCCTTTGCCTTCGAGTGGAGGAGCTCTGATGATCGCTGACTTGAGCAGCATTGGCGGTGTGTCTAATAATCTACGATAACACAAAAAATTGCAATATGTAGCGAGCAAATGCTGATTTCATCCCATAAAATCTCAAGCCTACACTAAACGTACGCGTCGTTTTCTTTGAAACACAACATGTTGCGATCTTAATTATTATTAACAGCTTAATCGCACTGTACAATGCATGAACGATTAAAGGAAGACGAGCGATAGTAATGCAATTGGTACTGACTTGAGCTTGAGTGGTTTGCTGCTGTAAACTCGCAGCGTGAAACTCGTTTCCTCAGTTGGCTCGAAGGTTGTCGGTATGAGAAGATAGCCTCCTTGATCCAGCTGACACCTGTGGCTCACCTGTCGGCTGTTGGTATACTGCGAGTTGATCAGCGACTTGTTCTTCTTGAAGAATTGCTTGTTTATCATCTCGCCGCAGCCTTTCGGCAAGGAGTAAGCCGTGAAACCGATGACCTGTTGCGAGGGAGCATGTCCTACGCGTGATATTTGTTTCGTTCGAGAGCGAGAATACTCAAAGGCGAACGTTACCTTTGGTTCCATGATCGAGTGCTGGTTTAGCGACACCACCACTTCCTCCATCTCGCTGAGTATCAAGTGCAGTTGTGGATTGATGTGAAATGTTTCTGCAATGATAACGAACCGAATCAATGCAACAAGAAGGTACTCGCCTCTGCTGTTAGAACGCAACAAAGCGAACTCTGTGCGCGGGGTTCGCCCCCGCCACGTAAAAATATCGCCCATTGTCTTTCTCTGGCGCGATACCACGCCGCGCTGGTACACGTCGATGAGCGTCGTTTCGTTACTATACGCGTATAATCAAAGACTCTGTGGCTCGCAATGGAAATTACGGGCTCTCGAAAGGCGTGTATATGTATATATACCTTGATTGTTGCGACAGCCTCCGGCGGTGACGCCCCTTCTCCAGCTGCCCTGATAGAGCTTCATCTGCCAAGTGTGTTTGCTGTGCAGCGACGGCTCATCCCGTGATGTTTCCGCGTCCAGATGCACCACCTCAAGGTGCGTAAAAGTCTTCACAAAGTCCGAGTACGAGATCCTGAACGTGAAATTTTCAAGGATTTTTTAGAGAAGTCAACGGTCGTAGCTGATGACATTATGCGCGACTCTAATTGGAATTTCATGTACCGTCGATGAATAGGCTTTGAGTGTAGATTTTGCTTGAAAAACAACTGGGTGGCACCCCCCACGTAACTGCTCGAGTCCACTTTTGTTATTTCAATTTGCGCGTTTTTCAAATTCAAACAAAACGTCAAAGAAACGTTGGTAAGAACAGTTTCGATAATTGGCAATTTTTAGTGGTTCCCTATTCCAAGAACGACTGGCCTGTTCCGCGTATTTTATTTGAACTGAAAAAGCAGATAAATCGAAGTGACAGAGGCAGAGTCAGGAAGAGTCGTACCAAGCAGCCATGGAATTGTAAAGCGTATGGTAAACGCACGACAAACACTCTTGGCACGCAAGCACGATGTAACGCAATCAATCTGCTAAATCACTGGAAATCTCGACGTAACAGTTACTTAAATTTTCCCCGTAGATATGTATGCCAAGCGCGGCATCTACATGCATTCACACGCCGCGCATCAGCTTATCTCGCATCTCTAGGCGCGCGCGCGAAGCTTTTATTTTCCATACAATCTTCCTTGATTTACCAGAATTCTCCTTCCGCCATGTTACGAACTGACAATCGATCACGTTCAACTGGGGGCACTTCGTCCCATTCGAGACCGCCGCGTGCCCATGCTCCAACGTATTCGCCACCTGGACCCAGAGGATTACGTAGCTTTACTAGTTGAACCGCTTCGCCGCTGAAGGTTTCCACCTGCGATTTTTCGCTTGATTGTAGAAGTGACAATGATCGAGGGACTGACGTAATTCTTAACTGTGAGGCCTCCGCACTGGAGTTACTCAAATTATTTTTGACAATCAGTTTGAATGTGATTAGCGGTATATGTCTTTCAATGTGAGACGCAAAGTAGGTCAAATTCGAAGTTGAATGAAAAACATGAGCGACTTGTGCGCTTGGTGACAAAATAATACAAAATTAAAAAAAGAAACATAAAGCTTGCTACAAGCTGACTGAAAGCGGTTTACTTTCGATAGAGAAATTGATTTGCCCGCCTTTTTTATATCGACAAGCGACAATTACCCTTTCAATAGCGTAGAGTCTGTAATTGATTCCCATTTGAATTCCATTGGCCAGTTTTTCTGTGCTCGCTCGTATCTGAAGAAAGAAAAGCAGTATAAGTCAACAGCCATCGTAAACTTTCTTCTTTCCAGCATCATTATTGTCGATGAATAACAAAAACGAAAGAACCCATAACTTACCTGTTGCTGACTGTTATTTACAGTGCAGGTGATAAGCGAAGTCATATCGAGCAGTTTAGCGAGTGCACGACCACAGCCAGTTGGATCTTGACGTATGGCGATGCTCTCGGTAATACCGCCTGTGAGATCCGACAAACCGTCCAGCAACGTTCCGTATTTCAGCGCTTCGTACGAGCCGTGCAGTCTGTGAAAAACGAGAGAATAAACGCATTCATTGGTCGATCAGCGAGAGTTAATCTACTTGGTTTATAGTGAACGATTAATTGTACGCTTGCAAGGCTCATATTTCGATAAATTAAGTGGAAATATATATAGAACCGATTTAATTACCCTCATCGATGTATATTACAAAAATCTAACTTTTACGTATGCGCGATCGACCTTTATTCGAGCGTCTAGACCGCTTCGAGCAATAAATTTTCCGCCTGGTTCCATACCGCGGATAAACTTGATCAGATTTTCACATTTGTTGGTATCTTAGTCGAAATTATTCAGAATAAAAGAAACATCGACATGAAGGATGAAACAGATACGCTTTTATTACTTAATTCTACAGCGAACGGCATTACGTTCGATCGCAAGACAGTTTCTTCTCACGATATAGATGATCTACTAGTTAGGGAAAGCTGCCGTGGCTGTGGTGTAAAACCTCCGACCTGACGATATACCTATGAATGTACACACGCCTCTAATGAGCAAAGAGAGGCGTTTGTTTTTTCTTTTTCGGTAAATCGAGTTCAGTCAATTTGGATCGTCGAGAATGCCTGCTGTCCTAGACTCTGTGGCTGGGTATCTGGGTTACTTTGGCTGCACATTTAATTGGACTTTGCAACTTGTTGGACAAGTTACATTTTTCGAGTTTATCTCTTATTTTTGTGCTTTTCGTTTGGGAAGGTTCGGTTAAATAAAGCAAGGTGGAGTTTAATTTTCAATTTATAGTACACGAGTGTTGACGAGTAGATAGAATTCTAAGTTTTTAAATGATAATAAAAACTTGTTTTGCTGGAGAATACTTAAGATGGCTTTTAATAGTGGTGATTGCAAACGTCTTTTTATAATGCGATTTCCCAATTTATTTTTAAAGCACAGAAATGTCTTCAGTTAAACTACGTAATCTTGGTTTTCTTATAATTAAATTTATTGTTTGAAAAGTTGTAAAACACGATACACTTTATGGCCGAACAGAAATGTGTTTATTTTTAGTAAATGTTTGAGCAGTAGTCACAACTCAAGGTTAATTAACCGAAAAAGGTTACTTGTATATCACAAAAAATGTACATCAAGAGAAACATAAAAAAAGGATAGTTAACATTAACTAGCGTAGACCTTCATACTCGACAGGAAAGTTCGAGAAAATTGAGCGGTTAAAGTCATGAGATACAGAGAAAAAGAAATGAGAGTCTTCATGTCGCGCAATTAGTAAGACAACTTGTCATCGACTTCGTCATCGTTGATGAATAAAAAAAAAGAAAAAAAACGTGATTCATCGAAAGAAAGTCGGGAAAACCAAGGCATCGTAAGTATAAAATCAATTTTATTTAATGGATCGTAAGATCGTTATCGGTGAAAAAAATTTTGCTGATCGCGACCACGAAATCTCGTTAACATAAAAAGGATCCAAGTTATATTAACACTTATCTCGCAGTAAATACGGTCCGAGGCGATGTAATGAAAGGGCTTGTGTGAATTTTTTCGTTTCTTTGTGCGAAGCGCGCACTCGATCTTAATCTTGCGAATCAAAGCTCAAGAAATGTAATTTATAAACGAAAAGTAAAGCGCGTAAGATTTATGAAGCTGCTGGGCAAGATATATATCGCAAATGCGCATGTTGAAGGTTTATTTTTTCGTAAGTCAATATCACGTTGTAATATGCTTTTAATTGAGACCACGAACTTTTGCTTTCGACATAGTTTACATGAAAAACGAAATATTTGCAATTGTATTGTCATAAAGAATTTTGTTTTCTATAGTTTAGGAAAATGCAACTTTCTTCTCGAATTATTATTTTACAACGAAACAATTTTTATCGTGAATCTTTTTATTGTATTATCACAAATGCAATCCGACATCATCACGATTGCACAAAATAAAAGCTACATGACACATCCTTCAAATTAGATATTTAAACCGCATGTCACGTTCACTTAAGCAACGGAATGTCGATCTTCACTGCCAGGCATGTCATTCTTGCATACATTTGCCTAATGGAAAGCTCATTATTATTTTTACACATCGATGTACGTAACTTTCATCGCAAGCATTCAAAGTGCAATAATACTTCATTGATTTACTAATGCTTAAAAGGGAAAAGATCAAATGTTAGAATTAATCATTGAACCAATTTATAAATAGAAAAAAATTCTGAAAATTTTTCATTTGTTTGCTACTGAAGCATTTTAATTTAAAACTCTAACAAATTTGAAAACAAAACAATTTTATTTTTTATATTTAAAAAAATTTTTTAAACATTTTTTGAAATTATTTAAAATTTTGTCAAAGCTACATTTCTTTGTTATGAATATAACCAAGAGAGAGTTTGAAACAAGAAAAGCATCGATATTAGAAATTATCATGCGGATGTGCATTGTAAAAGGCGTGTTGCTAATAATACGAGAGGATTACATTAATGATGCATTACACGCGCTTGGAGAAGCAAAAAACATAGAGCAAGTATTTCCCGTTGCCAATAAAAATGTTTGTTAAACGATAGACAAAGTTACGACTCACTTGTTTCTATTCGCGTGGAATGCTGGACATCTTTTTTGCAGAGGAAATAACGTCTGCGTATTTTAATTCTATATCCGATCACCAAACGTTCATATTAAAGAGCTAATGAATGCAAAATAAGCCCTATCCAACTATCAACGCATGCGGATGTGTCAGTACAACACCTAAAACGCATACAAAAGCTAATCTCGCTTGCTATAACAATTCTCACGCATAAAGATAGCGCGCGCGCGCGCGCGCGCACGTCGTGAGTACTTTCTCAGGGAAGCTTCTCTCGCGCGCGCAAGGCGCAACAACACAAAAAAAATCGGAAACGGAAAGTAATTAACAATACCCGAGATTAGACGATGATTGATGCTGCCCCTTTTATGAAAAAAAAAGCCGCAGTAATTTCCCGAATTCACGTTCGTTTATTATCGCTCTCATAAATCTGCACTAATCGTTCGATTTTTCTTTGTGTGAAAAATAAAACTTTTGTTCGCACGAGAAGGCGTTTCTTAAAACTCGACTGCGTATTATATAGATAAGCATAGGAGGTCGACGTGCGTATGTGCTATATATAATAGTGAAAGTTTAATGCGATCCACTCGATTTGATGAAGATTACACTTCGAGATGATCTAAAGTGTATCGCATGTTCTTTTTTAGCTCCGTTTCCCTATGAATGATAGCTATATTTTCCGCTGGCATTTATTTCCGGAAACCGCACGTGAAACCATTACAAAGCAAAATCTGTTTTCCCTTACGATCCTTCAATTTTACCAGGATATCAAATTACCTCTGACCAAAAGAAAATTATCTAGCACTCTCGCCTTCAACGAGCGTTTGATAATCCGCAGATGAAAGAAAGAAACAAAAAAACTGAAATGTAATCGCGCTGCTGCGCAAGCAAGCAGCGTCGATTGTTTTTCTTTTCGTTCGTCTGTTGCCTGCGTATCAAATAAGAAACTCGACCTATCAATTAAGACAGTCAAGCGAAGCGAACGATTTTACTTTTTACGAAATTCCTTCGCTTGTGCGAGTGGCAACACTGCGCTGCATTCTGATTACGGGTCGAAAGATCTTTTTTTAGAATCCGATAAGAGATCGTTTCGTTTCGAAGCTCCTAGAAAGTTTCCAGGTGCTTTTGTACTCTAATTCGACAAAGTGTCGGGTGCTCTACGACTAAAATACAAAAGTCCCGTAGCGCCGTACTAAAAAAAAGAGAACGGGTTCGCTCTAATTGGAAGCGGCATTGACACCTGCTCGGAATAATAAGCCGAGAGTGCGCATAGAAGCGCGCAAGTGGAACGCGCACATTGCGTCTCCCTCCGCGATGCGACGTTATTCGCAACGAAAATGATTATGTGGAGCGGTTGTGAAAATTGATTGTCCTATAAATTCATCGCGCGCGAGCTAATATCGAATGCCAGTCAACTCTCATTGGCGCGTCTGCGCTTGACAAACGACGCGAGATACCCATACCGTAGGCAGACAATTATTAGTCGGTGACTTTGTTCGTTCGAAAGTATACTCAGAGCGAGATGATCCTATTGTCCGGCTTGGACAAGTTCTCGTTGCTCTCGCGCAGAGACGTAACTGATGACTTCCTTATGTACATCGATGAGCGTCTGCATTAGCGCAATAAGCCTGGCTGATTAATCATCTAACGTACGCGCGCGCATGCGAACGGAGCTCCCGGCTGAATAATAGTTGCAAGGATTTTCATTGTCACGGTCGATTAACGAGAGCGTAAGCGCGAATTTTTTCAGGGTCCTTGGTATTCCGACCGCAAAACTCACAAATCACCCGCAACTCTCTCGCAGGGATAATAATAACAATGCTCACCTGCGTTTGCGTGAATTATGCATGTCGTGCGAATTGCTCGAGACACAACGAGAGCTGTGAAACGTCCCCTTTGACGCGCGTTTTCTGAGCGAGCGAATCATATAACGATTCGCGCTGGTTGCGCTGTGATGTATTTACGGATCGGCTTTCATCCGAACGAACGTTATTCCAATTGTGGACCGTGTTTCCAGCAATTCACGAAAATTAGATGTTTACTAAAGTATGTTTCGTTAGTCGTCAATAACGTAGTTGAAATGAAATATTTTAAGTTCCGACTTAGACGTTCGATAAATGAAGCTCTCTAATTGGGCAAAATGAAAGCTCATTCATGCGGGCAATCTACAGCAACTAAGGGTCCTAAGAATCGATAAGTAGCTAAAACAAACATTCGACTTACTTGCTTGCTATCTAACAAATACTTCGAACATATGAATTTCTACAGAAAAGTCAATCGATTGCTTGTCAGTGAACGATCGTCTGCGAGCATATAACGGGAGGACTGCGACAGTTGGCAATGCCCGTATTGTGTATACGGATCTGCGACGTGAACCGAGAGCATGATGCATTAAGGCGCTGTGTGCGGGGAAGAATTGTGCCTTTCTTTATGGACCAGCGGCCAGACTTGAATTAC